TCTATGTACATTCCACTTGGGCACTTCGTGGTTCATTTTTCAAATTTTTTAAAAGTTGCACCACTTATTCGCGCAAACAAGCGGATTGAAAACCCTCCTGTGCACACACACACTTTACACATGGGGGCTGTTTACATAGGCCAGCGTGTGTTCTTTTACAATCGTATTTTGACTTCACGTGGTGCCTCAGTGGCCAGACTGTAGAGCTGAGGCAGCCTTTATTGGCTGTCGAGGCAGTGAAAATTGGACTCTGTTCCTTGGACTGGCTTTACAGTGACACAATGCCATTCTTTCATAACGCAGCCTTATTCGTCATTGTCTCGATCTGAGTGCTGGATTTCTCCATTGGTCTTACTTACAGCTCATGTTCTAAACATCCACGGTTGTATTTATTCACTACATACTGTGGGATACTTCTGCATGGGGCGGTGGGGATAATTGACATTGAAGTGGTTATTGCACTGCAATATGAACCCATCAACCTAATTATAATTCCTGCCACCCACGGCTAACATTAGTGGCAAGTGACATATCTGAACTGGTTGTGACTCAGCCCCCACCCGCATTCTTTCAACCCATAATATATAGTTTTATTTGGGTTAGATCGCGTAAATATATAAATGTGTCGTTAGACCCACCACCAACCGACACAGCCAATTAGTAAGGATTGTCACGTAAACAGAACATGCCAATTCGATACGAGTACAGCAAACAGGTCCGTTGGAGAGAAAATCCACAACATTTACAATGTGAGTTCGACGTTTCGTCAGTAATTACAACTAGCTTCATCAGGCGACAGCCAGATTTGTGGAGAAATCCTGTTTCGTTCCTTAACCCACACTAGTCAGTGTTTTGAAGTATAATCAAACAACCCCCATAATGGACACACCTTTTGATAGCCTTCATCCAGCAGTTATGTACTCCAGTATATAATGTTGAATGGAACTAGGACCCATGTCTAAAAGAGGTCATTGACTATAGGATCTGGCAGTTCACCAACATGGATTCAAGCAAACCTGACTCTGCTGATATTTGAACATCAAAAACCGCTCCAGAGTTAACTTGTACTGAATTAAATTTTGATTTAAAGCTTTCGTGACTGCAGTGATTCATTTTCTTGGTTCTTTCGGTAAAGAAGGCCGTGCGGCCGATGAGTCATTGTGGGAAAAAAATACTTTATGTGTGTGGACAGATTGTATGAGAGAGACATTGTCTGCTTATCTAGCAGCGAATTGACATGCAGAGCGGTAAAGTAGTATTGTTCTTTACTTTTGAACAAGAAGACCGTGGCTGTATTGGCAGGTCTTTTTGCTTCTGTTGGAGTTTTAATTTATTTATTTATTCGGCAACTGCCTGATGATGCTGGTTGTAACCACCAGGGCAACGTCCGTACCCAATTGTTAAATGTTACGTGGATCGCTCTCCAATATCATCCCAGTGTTGCTGCTGAAGCAATAATAAATTGGCATGTTTGTTCATCACGTGACAACTTTATTAATTGACTGTGTTAGGTGGAGGAGGGTCTACGACACACATGTTACTTACGCGGCAATCTGACCAAAGCATCTAATCGAATCATAATACTGCTTGCGAAAGCCTCTGTGTTAAATTCACAAATCGATTGTTTATAGTTCATACAAAATTATGTACAAACGTTATGTAACATAGCAATGTTGAATGCATGTTGATCGAGCGAATTAAACTGAACAAACCAGACCGAAAAAGCCTAAGAAACACTACAAATGAAATTGTAAACATTTTGTACTAAAAAATTATCAATTCTCGAATCACACCGCAACCCTGCCACTCGGACTAATTCATCGATTCGTGACAAGCCGAACTATTGCCGTGAGTTTCGCAATCTCACTCGGTCATGGCAGTGACCACTCCCAATGCCCCCAATCAGTCAGGCGGTGCCATGCGTTGAAGTAAAAAAAGAAACATTCCTGAATACATTTGACGAGCGAACGCAATACGTGCATCGGTGGACTTCCAAGAAGACATTAAAGGTGTTGTTTTTGTTTACTTGGAGCGAGTCTACAATGTAGCCTCCGCAGCTATAGATTGGCGCGCTCGCACGGCACACGGCTTATCGAACGGTCGGCGCCTGTGAAGGCGCCTGCGGTGGCGGTGCTCGCTTTTGTGCCACCACGTGCGGGTGTCACGCATGCAGGAGCACCCCGAGGCTCGTCGCATCGATGCACGATGCCGAACGTGAATAACCGAGGGCCGCGTGTCACGTTGGGGGGGGTGGGGGGGGCGTGCGTCCTGGACTCTCTTAGCACGTGCGAGTTTGCCTAGGCAGAAGCGCGCTGGCATCAACAATAACAACAACAACAGTTGTCATTCGCTGCCGCTCTGCGATCCGTCAGGCCTTTGTGCTGTGCTCGCTGCACTTTGAGAAGAACGCGTGGAAGCGACAGAGGGATGAGTGGCAAGAACACACACGCACGAAGGTGTCACGTGTGAACTGTTCGTGGTGACTGGCGGACGCGCCAACTGCACTCCTTCGAAGTTCATTTGGTTAAGGCACGAGACACTGCTAACCGCCCTTGTTTTAGCCACCTGATTTAGTGCGTTAGCTGCCCTGCTCGGTGATGTGAGCTTCGTGGAGGGGGTGTGGATAGGGCGACGTGGATGCAGGAGCATCTGTCACGAAGCCCCCCTCCATCCACATCCCTATAAAAGCTGATCTTGACACAGTTGGTGCCGGTCTTCTGAAAGGCCTCTCAGCTTTACTCTCACACACACATCACATACAAACACAAAGGGATGTGCATTGCAGTGTGCCACGCTGGGCCAAGCGCTGCAGATGGTTTGCTTCATGCAGCAGTGATGATAGACAATCCAATTATCTCGAAGATGTTTATGATGTTAAGAACATACCAGACGGGCCAGGCACAGAAGGTGCGGCAGAGGTGTGTTCCCTCGAAGAGGCATCCATCTATATTCTACGACAAACTGTAAACTCAGTTTGGAATTGGTATAATATCAATATTGTTTTTTTTTTTATGTATATCTATGTTCTCATTAGTGCTTGATGTGATGTGCCATACGTTTTGCATGCTTACAAATTTGCGTTTTTTCGTAATATAAATCCTCTCGGTCTTGGTTTCGTGCGCAAGGCTTGCGTTGCCCTGCGTTGATGTCGCTCGCTTGACCCCCACCCCACCCCCCGGGATCTCTCTCCTGAAAACGAAGTTCGAAGGGTCGATGCGTTCTTACCTGGCCATGATGATAAGGTGTGCCTTAAGTGTTCCCGGTTCGACTCTTATGAAAGGTGCGTCGCACGCTGGGAGTGACGCTGAGGGAAATCGCCCGTGGTAGTTTTGAGATGAGGTCAGCAGATTTCTTGTGCCATGTGGTCACCCCTTTGGACAATGATAGTGATTTTTTTGTTTAATAACCATTCTCGAACGAAGTATCACGAGTCGCGAGCAAATTGGAAAATCTCAAGGGAACTGCAAAACAAAGTGTCATGGTGTTTTCCCAAACTTTGTAAATTCATCGTTTTAATAATAACAATAATATGAAAAAATCACATTTATACCATACATATTCTCAAAGGACCACTTTAGTGCATCTTGCTAACGTTATATATCATACAAGGCTATATACATACGTAATTATTTAGTACACTTCTTGAGCAAAAACAAAGAATGGTGACTGGCATTTGAGCCTACAAAGGCCCCCGTGTGTACAAAGTGGGGTGAGCTTGGGTCCAAGTCAACACCTCGTCTTTTTCATGGTCATGGGATTAAAAAAAAATCCTTAAGCTGCTGAGGTTGATAGCTCCTGGGATTTCTCCAGGATGAAAATAAAGTTTCTGATTCTGTGTAACCACAGACTGGAGGTGACCAGGTTGCTTGGAGATCAGACCGTTGAGCTGCCACTGCTGAGATCCTGGGCTCGACTTTGGTGTGGGCCACCAATAAATACTACTGGGTGCCCAAGTGTAGTGGCCTGGTTTTCTGAGCTTGGCCATCAACATATGCAGGAGGAGAAAAAAATCCGTTATGAAATATGCCTTTTTTTCATACTTTGGTACAATTCCAGCTCTGAGAATAAAAAAAAACTTTTTGCCTTCACTGACAAGCAATGAAAATAACTCTGCAGTAGGGCCCCCTACTACGGATAACGGAGGTAATATGAAAGGCATTCAGAAGCAATTCTGTATAACCCTCCTCTGCAGTTTGTTGTATGCATGCTGTACTTCTTTCACACCATCTGTAACGCACAGGAGTGATGCCCTGCTCTGCCAGAGTTCCGAATGGATGCTTCATCCCATGACATGACACCAAGAGCACAATTCCAATATATGGAGAAGTTCAAGTACCCTCAACGTGCTGAACTTAAGAAATTGGAGGGAAAGAACATATTAGTGTGCACAGAGTGCAGATGGCAGCGGCCTGCGTCCACTGAAGGTCTCACGCTGGGTCATGAATTATCTGTCTCTTCGCTGTACAACATCTCGGGACGGCGACCTTAGTAGGATGCTTTGAGCGGGACTCATTGGGCATGCAAGATGCATCTCTGCGCATATTCGTGAGTTTCCGCGCCGCGTGTGCGGCTGTGCGCGGTTAAACCGCAAGCGAGCCTGAAGGTCGAGTCAGTGCACTGTTGTGGAGTGACATACGAGAGCAACGCGAGCGTTCCCTATCGCGAATTGTGACACTGCACGTATTTATGGTTTGTGATTAATTTGTAATCACCTTTTTCACCTCTGCCTGTCCCAACACCCACCCCTCCTCCCGTCACATCATCATAATTTCCCTCTATCTCCTCCGATTGCTCTACTTTTCTAAATAACCATTCTCTAATGAATCTCTCTAATTAACACCTTAATCTCTCCCTTCCCTCTCTCTCTCTCCATCCTTGCTATGTGTCACACTCTCGATCACCCCTGCTTGTTTCTCTGCCAATTTCATTCCATCAACCCCGCACACCCACACACCCACCCACCCACCCACATTCTCCCAAACCTTTTACCCACCCTGCAGTTGTTCCACGTGGGCCACATCACGGTGAAGTTTGCCAACTCTCCCCGACCGAGCGTCTGGCTGCTGGAGCGATCGGCAGACTTTGGACGCACGTACTCGCCCTGGCAGTATTTTGCTCGTAAGTCCGGGAAACGGAGGGGGCGAGGTGTGCGTTGCGTTCGTGCAGCGTCGTGACGTACGCGGGGAAAGCAAGCGGCGCTGCTTAGCCGTGATAACGCCACCTCTGGTTTACTTTTCCCCCCAAAAGAAAGGTGTGTTTTTCAATCTTAAAAAGTCGGTACGTTTCACTTAATAGGAAAATCTCTAGGATGTTTGTGTGTTGAACTTCTTTCGCACCCTACATAGCCAACCATGCTAACCCAGAGGTGCCGGTAAAAGACAACAAACTAAACAAAAAAAGCAGTTTTAAAGAAAGGTGTGCCGTACAAGTGACTAATATGGCTAGCGGTCACAGACAGGATCAGGGTTCTGTTGGACTGCTTCGTGTTGCCATTCCATGGGCTCAAGCATATATTTGATAAGAATTAAAAAAATCTGCAGCATTCACTCAATGCAATTGTATGATAATAATTTTATTTATTTATCTACAAAAAGCTTATCGAGTCGAAATGCTTGTTTTTCAAGAGGGCCTTCGATTCGGATGTTTGACCAGCCCCTAACATGTACAAGTTCATGTACAGCGACTTTGTCAATCCACTCTGCTGGATGAGAGCCTCCCCACACTGTGGAGGTCATGGTGGCTTTTTAAACCATACTTCACCAGGCTGGTCTGTGCGGGTTTTTTGAAGGCGCGGAGTATAGAGATAGTGTACTCTGATGCCCACATTCATTAATATATATGATCTGAATAATAACTGGTGGATTTATATGTCAATGGATCAAACTCACCCGATGATGCTGGAAGTAATTAGCAGCGAAACGTAAAACTAAAATTTGTAAATGTTGTGGATTTACTCTTCAACACACCGGTGGGCTGAAGTAGTTACTAATTGGCACGTTTTGTTTGAATGACAAACCTTACTAATTGGCTGTGTCGGGTGGTGGCGGGCTAACGACATATTTATATCTTGACTTAAAGCTTTCGTGACTGGAGGAATTCATATTCTTGGGTCTTTCGGTAAAGTCACGTAGATAGGTTCGACGTTTCGATCGATTGTGTTGCGATCGAAACGTCGAAGTTTTTTGTTATTTTTTTGTTATTTCCGTTGAACCTATCTACGTGACTTTACCGAAAGACCCAGGAAGACATTTATACTTATGCAATCTAACCCAAAGAAATCTTTATTATGAAATGGATCAACATCATTAATTTCTGTGATTTGAATGCTGGTATTGCCGTGAGCAGGGCTTATTTCATCCGGGTGTGTCTGGGTCAGCGACCCAGAAAATATTTTTCTACACCCGGCACACCACATCCAGTATAGCTCTGGCTATGACTGAGGCCACCGATCTCGCACCACTTCTGGGCTACCAGCGACCTGGAAAATATCCAGCGAAAAGTTACGCTGTAATGAAAATGATTCTGGCTGCAAGGGTGCGTGAGTTTGGCGCAGTGCGGACTGCCCCGTGACCATTGATGGCGTTTTTTTACCTGCACCCACGTGGCCACGCAGCTTCGGAGCAAGAGTGCCAGCGGAGGTTTGGGATTGCGGCTGACGAGCGCGTGAGCCGAGACGATGACGTCATCTGCTCTACGCAGCACTCGGGCATTGTGCCACTCGAGAACGGCGAGGTGAGGCGCCTACGACCACTACGACTTAACTATTTTTTTAAAATTTTAATCTTGACTTAAAGCTTTCGTGACTGCAGGAATTCATATTGTTGGGTCTTTCGGTAAAGTCACGTAGATAGGTTATTTTCTTTGAAAATATCTACGTGACTTTACCAAAAGACTCAAGAATAATAATACATTTTTTTATTTTACCCAGGCAAGAAGACCCGCTGAGCTGCTATGTAGCCCTTTTTCAGAAGCGACCTGGCTATAACAACTGATAGCCCAACGAAGTGGCTTATCACGTGGAAATGTATAGCAGCCAAATAATACTGAGCACGTGACGTTGATTCTAAACGTGGGGGGGAAAAACCGGAGGACCCGGAGAAAAATCCACGCGACCACGGGGAATTAGACACACAAACTCCATATATACAGGTGTCAGTGTCGGGATCGAACCCACGACCACCTGTCTACCAGGCGAGGTAGTTAACATCTCGCCATCTGCACGACACCTCGCTGCAGGAGCATGTACCATAGATAAGCGCCACATGCTTCACAGCGGACATTAAAGATCCGGTGGCATTATTAAAAAACGAGTAGGCCACACGTGCTGGTATCACGGTCAAACTTGAACAGATTTAATTAATTGGGTAAAGCATTATCCCGTAGTGGCAGACTATGCAGTACATAACACCTTCCTGATGGCCTGGTGCAATAATGATGGGGCGAATATCAAATGTACTAAATTATAAAATATTTAGGTGGGGGGGAGAATGAGGTGGGGGGGGGGCGGGTGGTGAATGAGGGAGGATGAGGGGAAAATTGTGACATTTGTGTCTTGGACCCAAAACTTCAGAGGGGCCCACAAAAAAGTTTTATTTTTTGCACGAACAAAAGTAGGTCAGTTTTTTTCTTTTCTTGTCAATATGAGTGACGTACTCTTTGGTTCTTTCGGTAAAGTCACGTAGATAGAAAAATCAATAGATCACAACGTTTCGATCGCAACATAAGCAACGGTCATCAGGTGAGACAAACACAGCAGAACTGCTGACGCAGGAGAAGCGCTGCTGCAACAAGAGGTTATACAGTATAGGGTAGAGCCCACCTAAAGCTTATATAACCTCTTGTTGCAGCAGCTCTTTCTCCTGCGTCAGCAGTTCTCCTGCTGTGTTTGTCTCACCTGATGACGGTTGCTTGTGTTGTGATCAAAACATCGTGATCTATTAATTTGCTTCTTCTGTGACTTTACCGAAATAACCAAAGAGTATGGATTCTTGCAGTCACGAAAGCTTCAAATCAAGAATGAGTGACATAAACAAATACTACATTTTATTTATTGCTGTGTTATTGTGTGTATGTGTAAGAGGAGTGGGGAGGAGAGGATAGGACATCAGGAACCATCACAGTTCTCTTCTGGTGTCCATGGGTAGAGAGACTTTAACCTGGGACTGCCGGTAAACCCTGGGTCGGAGACTCCTTGGATTCCCTCTCTGTGATGAACCTGTCACGAATCGTCACGTTTAACCTCTCCCTGCCCCAATCTCCCCCATCATCTCCCTCTATCTTTCATTGGCTATGCAACCACCCAGTGTCTACAGGCCCTGTGCTGCACTGTTCAATCATTCCTCTCTGGCCCTCACGGATGACCTCTCGGGAACACTTCCAAGGGGACATCCACGGCGGAGATAGAGCGATGAGATTAGTTCCCATGTGCACGAGCTAGATGTACGGATGGATTGCATCGCCCGACCATGAGGGATGGCTATGGCTCGGGGAGGCCTTTATCCAGCAGTGATCACGTCTGCTGCTGATGTTTTTATGATACCAGAAAGTGTCATAAATTGATTCGGCTCCTGCATTCCAAAATACTCCACCCCAGTCATTATAATTTACGTCTCCTGCCACTAAAGCTGTTACCCTCCCCGCAAAGCTGCCCTTTGCTCGGCGAACCTTTGACACTTGACCCTGGCGGTCCTCCGTACGCAGGTGGTGGTGTCGCTGATGGGCGGGCGTCCGGGCGCTTCGGACACCTCCATCTCTCCCGCGCTGCGCACCTTCACGACGGCTTCGCACGTGCGACTGCGCCTCCTGCAGACGGGCACGCTGCCGGGGCACCTGTTGGCCAAGGCGCAGCAGGACCCGACCGTCACGCGCAGAGTGAGCGACGCTCGCGCTGCCCGGAGACGGCGGCACGACGCCCGGCCCGACACCCCGCGCCCCCACCCCCAAGCCCAGCGCGCTGCACTCTCCCCCCACCTCCCCCCCCCCCCGCCAATTTGCCACACGGACAAAGCACCCCACCAATGTCATCCTGTTTGCAATAACATCATCAACTAAAGCGCGAGCCTAATACAGTACGACGCAAAACTCTTTAGGTCTGACTACATAATTCGAGTGGTACATTCCCAACGCAGCTGAACCATTTATTAGGAGGGGGGAAGACATGAAATGGGGAGTGGGCCTGTGCCCCCATAAACTGGGGGCGTTATGACAGCACTAGAATGCATCATCCACTAACTCTTAAAAAACACGAGCTTAAAGCTAGTTGTTTCGGTAAAGTCACGTAGAAGGGAAACAATAAAATAATTAAAAAAATATCAAACAATAGAATTCTCACGACGTTTCGACTGCAACACAAGCAATCATCATCAGGTGTGAAAACCACACCTAACGATGATTGCTTGTGTTGCAGTCGAAACGTCGTGAGAATTTAATTGTTTTACATTTTTATTATTTTATTGTTTCCCTTCTACGTGACTTTACCGAAAGAACCAAGAATATGAATCCCTGCAGTCACAAAAGCTTTAAATTAAAATTTAAAGCTAGTCGTTTAACCCAGGGGGGGGGGGGGTGGGGGGAAGCATCACTGAGTTTCGAGACTCTTTTTCAGGTGGGTCCTGTCACATCAGAACGTTTGGCCAATTCTATTCAATGTTTGGCTTCACGTTGATGGAAAGCGGAGAAACCAGAGAAAAGCCACCGCACACACGCAAGGTGGTAACTCTCATTTCAGCGATCTCCTGGCCATTTCACAGCCCAACGCCTGGCACGACCCTGGTGGCCTTCCATCCAAGTGCCAGCCAGGCTCTAAGCTGCTTAAATTGTTATATCTGATGGGATTAAGGTGGCATTGAGGATGGATTGGTCGTAGGCAGCTTAAAAGAATGCATAGCCTAAGGCAAATCAATACGTTGTGCTCGACAATGTAACATTTAGGATGCTGTAATATACAGATACTTTATACATCTAAATTGTATAATTATATAATTAAATCTGCTTAAGCGATGTCCAACTCTCACATAATGTTGTTACTCTAGTTCTCTTAGTGACTGGCCGCTTTGGGTATACAGGCCTTAGGGCATCTGCTAAACTTCTTACGCGTCAAACCAGCACCAGTGAGTATAACAAAATAAAGTAATAATTTTGTTAGCATACAGACAACATCGACATGTAGACCGTGTGCAGGCTGCACGGGTGGCGTTTTAATCTCCCACACACTGCAGTAGTCCCTTGCGCTGACCGCCTCTGCTCTGCCTCCTCTGCAGTATTTCTACAGCATCAAGGAGATCAGCGTTGGCGGGCGGTGCATGTGTCACGGCCACGCGGACTCGTGCAGAGCGCGGAACCCAACCAACCCCTACCAGTGAGCGGGCTCCGTCACCACCCTCCCAAACACCCACGCTTAACCCAGATGGTGACCTTGCCCTAAAACTAGCCCTAACCCCTAACCTGGATGATTAACCTAACCCTCAACCTAACCATAGCCCTGATCATAATCTAGCCCTAAGCATGATCCATAACCCTAAACCAAAGCTTAATCATAATCCTATGCAATCTTAATCAATCTCAGTTTAACACGTAGGCTTTCGCGACCAACATCATCCATAATAGAGGTTTTTGGGTTAGATCGTGTAAATATATACGTGTCGTTAAAACCCGCCACCACCCGTAAACGCGACAACCCTTACTAGTTGGCTGTGTCGGGTAGTGACGGGTTTTAACGACACATTTATATATTTACGCGATCTAATCCAAAAACCTCTATTATGGATTAATCAATCTCCATAAACCTCTCTGCCTCTTCCAGCTCGTAAACACCTGCGCCTAATCCTAATGATAACCTAAACCCTAATGCCTAACCATATCAATCAAACCTTCTAAACTTTACTCTAGGTTTTCCAGTCTCAGGTGACATGTGCTGGTGAATTTACTGATGACTGCAGGTTCAGGCAGTGTGCGATATGTCGATTCGCCAGACTCGTTTTGCTGGGAAAAGCTGCGTGGGCTGAATGCTTCAATGTCGTTGAGAAACTGCCGATCTAATCATAGGTTTTTTACCCTTTTTATTTGGCAACAAAACTGATACCTTTTTTTTACAAGGGATCATGTTTGCATTAACCACAATACCTGCGGTCAAAATGCAAACAAAAAACATTATTCTGATAATGTATGCACTGTCCTTGAAATTGATTGGTCCACACCCGAGACAGCTTTTCTTAGAGCCCAGTCTCACTTGGTGTTGGACCAGATGACGCCAAAAGGCGCACAACTCAAAGACAACGCACCATCAGAGTATTGAGAGCTCGGGGCAGATATCTGGCAGATAAAAAGGGTAAAAAATCCTATTATTATATTTTGCTACTGGCAAAAGAGGTCTCATGATGTAAACTGCCGATCATGAAACCACTGCCATCACATCCCAGTTACTCTGTTAACCCAGCTGCATTTGACACCTCAATGTGCAACCACACGCCACAACTATGGCCTTGGCAAGCCTGCCTAATTATACCCGGGCAGTCCCTTGGCCTGTGAGTTGTGATTGTTATTAATAATTATCGTTATTGTTATTTCAACTTGTAACGCGTTGAAATAATTATGATCTCGTGAAGAGAGACAATGACTCAGAGGCTGCGAGGAATCAAATGCGAGCGGGAAAGGCAGGCGCACGGTGAGCCGGTGAAAAATTCCGCTCCTCGCCCCTCCCTTGAAGCTCTGCGGTCCTCTATATACGAAGGCGTTATCAGTCGATTTTTTAGTGTTTGCACGTGGGAGGAAACGGAGACATCTGGAATAAACCCACATGTATGAGGGGGCAACGCTCTATCCCGTGTCGACGTACACCGCCTTCTCCTGACGAAGGGTGTTTCGCGACATCTGCAGCGACGATCCACCAAACGCTCACCGCCTCCCGCAAGCGCCGGGTTAGCGGGCAGTGACGCGCGTGGCCACCGCCGGCGCCCCGGCCATTGACGCGTGGCGCCCCCTTTGTGTGTGCGTGCCCCAGGCTGCAGTGTGAGTGCCGGCATGGCACCTGCGGAGACTCGTGCGAGCGCTGCTGCCCGGGGATGCAGCAGAGGCCCTGGAGCCCGAGTGGTCCCGACGGCGCCAACGCTTGCGAGCGTGAGTAGCGCCCCCCACGCCCCCCACGCCCCCCGCGCCCCCCACGCCCCCCGCGCCCCCCAACCCTCGCCCTCGTGCCACCGAGCCGCGCCCCGTGACCTCGCCGGCACGCAGAGGAAGCGCCCATTGGCTTGGGACGTGGTGCCAAGACGTTTTCCGCCATCACAGCATCGCCACTGTCACGATCGTTGTCATCATGTGTGTCACTGTGGTCATTGTTATTAGCGTGATCTTTAACATAATCGTTGTCATGACCATTGTCATCAGTGTCAGCATTGATGCTGTTGTAATGATGACAGTCGTGATCATCATCATCATCATCATCGGCCTTGTCATTAAGGTTATCGTCATCATTGTCACGATTATTGCCAATGTCGTCAGTCTTCATCACGACAGATGCTCAATATCATCGCCATCACTATTCATCGTCGTCTTCATCATTGCCAAGATAATCTTCATAAGCTCATCATCGTTATCACCGTCATCATCATTGCTATGCGAGCATCATCTTGAATGCCATCATGATGATGAAAATTACATTACGCAGAAAATCACAATTATTTAATTACTATCTTTATTATGCTTGTTTACCCAGAGAGCCCGTGCCATTGATATATAAATCCCTTCGCAACGTTGTCACCTCACGTAAACCGTACACATAATGTGAGATTCCAATCGTAGCTTCCTACGATTGGAATCTCACAGACGGAATGCGAGCGGCGGCTAATCTCACAGACGGAGGTCACTGCATCGCGTGCTTTTGGATGCGCTTCTGCGGCCGTCTGGAACGCTCTTCCTTCCGACATTAGGAAACCACTGGAGCTATGCACTTTTAAACAATCTACATTGAAAACTCATTTCTTTGAAACTCCTTGTTGCGTCTAGTGTTGTTGTCCTTCCCCACGCACCTCTGATTAGCACGGTTGGCTACGTACGGTGTGAAAGAAGTTCAACGTACATACGTACCTGTATTGCTCATACTGCGCGGCCCTCTGCTCACGCTGCTTGTGGCCCTTCGCGATCCCCCCCCCTCTCCCTCCGACAGCGTGCAACTGCCACGGGCACTCGGACGAGTGCGTGTACGACGCCGAGGTGGACGCGCTCCGCGCCAGCATGAACGCGAGCGGCGGCTACAGCGGCGGAGGCCTCTGCCTCAACTGCCAGGTGCGGAGGGTGGGGGTGGGGGGGAGCCCCCCCCTCCACAATGCGTGCCGACCGTACAGAATGTAGCGGCAGGCCGACGATTTTTGTAAACCCTTTTGGCCCGTGTGCCGAATTTCGAAGCAAAAATCGCATCGGATGTTTTTGCCTCCACCCCCCAAAATATTGCATGAAACAGTACGATGTGCTACGAGGAAGAGCCATTGTCTCCCATTATTTTACATTTATTTATTTTAAGGCAGTGTTGCTTACGAACGTGTTGAGTTTTTTTGGTTAATTTGATTATCAATATGCAGTGGAGGGTTTTAAACGTTAACAGCCTACCACTTGAATGACTCGGGTTGTAAGATTTAGCTTCATCAGGGTTGGATTCCGAGCCATGGCCGGCATGAGTGCTGAGTGACATCAGCACCAGTTCCTGGGCCTCCCCTAGGTCAACTGCACCTTAAATGAGTGCCTGGCTGTAGCAGTCAAACTTGCTCGGTCACTGGACCTGAATGCTCCTGTATTGAAACCCTGACAGTGGCGCATCGTGTCACCATCAGCATTGGAGAGGCAAAGGAGTGGTGCCGGCGACACGACCCCCTTTGTGTGCCGTGCCGACCTTCATCAGTGCTCGCTAACAGCACTTCCTCCAACACTCTGTTTAGGCGATACGGGGGGGGATCCTTGTCTTTGTGCATATGAGTAGTGTGGGTGCGCGTGTGTGGATCAGCTGGTCACGTTGGGGTCTCGTCTCTGCTCACAGCACCACACTTACGGCATCAACTGCGAACGCTGTGAGCCGGGATACTACCGACCGACCGGCGTATCTCGCGAGTCCCCAGACGCCTGCAGACGTGAGTAATGAACTTTTTTTTTATTTTACCCGGTAAAGCCCCCACTGAGCTACAGAGCTCTTTCTCAGAAGCGACCTCGAAATCACAAATGAGAGCTCAACGAAGTGGAATATCATCGTGAGGAAATTTACAGCCACCAAATTATCTAAAACGCGTGATGTTGATTCTAAATGTGGAGGAAAAAACCGGAGGACCGGGAGAAAAATGCACGTGGCCACTGGGAGGACACGCAAACTCCAAATATACAGCAGCAGGCGTCAGGGTCAGGATCGAAACCACAACCTCCTGCATACCAGGCGAGGCAGTCAACATCCCCTAGCCACCGTGGCGTCAGCCACTGAGGCGGTGCTCATCTTTTGTTTACAGCCCAGAGCCAGTACTGGAAATTCCACATTGTTAAACCGGGGTGGGTATATCCCATTGGGCAACCACTGTTGACTTACCCGACAAAGTGGTGCTTATTTTATTGATCCGAGAGGGACGATGGGCTGAGTCAATCCCCAACCACGATTTGAGCTCAGAACCTTCCGATAGGAAGCATTACCTTGAAGTGATAAGTAACTATACTACACAATCTTTAACACGAACTTATGGAGAATGCGTTGACTACAGTCTTGACTGCAATGTGACTTCGAACAGCAGCAACCTGGTACTACTGTGCAAAAACGTATCCTTGCAAACCCGGTAAAGTTTCCCAATGAGAAAAACATTTTCAGAATCAGAATCAGAAAGGGTTTTATTCGCCATGTAAGTTCACACCGACACGGAATTTACTTTGGCAGGATGGTGCATACATTCAACATATAGGAATCTAAAATCTTAAATAAGTTTTAAACAAGTCTTACTATAATAAGGGTTAAAAGTCTAACACTAAGGGGCTGAAGTATATAAAATTAAATAAATATCGAATATAAAATAGCTTTAAGATATAATTTAAAAATACAAATAGGGAAACATAGTTAATATCAGCAACGTGTCGTTATGTAGATCAAATGTTAAAAACAGTGTTAGCCCTTGGCCTTGTTTAACAGGCCAGCAGCAGATGGGAAGAAACTGTTTTTATGGCGTGAGGTTTTGGTCCTGATGGACCGAAGCCTTCTGCCGGAGGGGAGTAGCTGAAACAGAGAGTGTCCAGGGTGGGAGAAATCGGCCATAATCTTCCTCGCTCGCCTCATAGACCTTGTCGTGTGCAGGTCCTCGAGGGTCGGTAGACTGCAGGCAATTACCTTCTCAGCAGTGTGGATGATACGCTGCAGTCTGCTCTTGTCCTTGGCAGTGGCAGCAGCGTACCAGACGGTTATGGAGGAGGTGAGGATGGATTCAATGATCGCTGTATAGAATTGCACCATCATTGTCTTTGGCAGGTTGAATTTCTTCAGCTGCCGTAGAAAGTACATCCTCTGTTGAGCTTTCTTGGTGAGGGAGCTGATGTTCAATTCCCACTTGAGGTCCCGGGAGAGAATAGTGCCCAGGAAGCGGAAGGACTCTACAATTTTTACTGGGGAGTCTAACAGGGTGATGGGGGTGAGTGGTGCTGTATTCTTCCTGAAGTCCACAACCATCTCAACTGTCTTTAGAGCATTTAGCTCTAAGTTGTTCTGGCTACACCAGGTCACCAGATTGTCAGCTTCCCACCTATAGTCAGACTCATCCCCACCAGAGATCAGCCCAATGAGGGTGGTGTCATCCGCAAACTTCAATAGTTTGACGGACAGAGGATTGGAGGTGCAGCTGTTGGTATACAGGGAGAAGAGCAGAGGGGAAAGGACGCAGCCCTGAGGAGTTCCGGTGCTGATGGACCTGGAGCCAGAGACTTGTGTTCCCAGCTTAACGCACTGCTTCCTGTCAGACAGGAAGTCTGTGATCCATTTACAGGTGGTGTATGGCACGTTCAGCTGGAAGAGCTTGTCCTGAAGCAGGGCAGGGATGATGGTGTTGAAGGCAGAGCTGAAGTCCACAAACAGGATCCTGGCGTAGGATGCTGGGGCGTCCAGATGCTGTAGGGTGAAGTGGAGGGCCATGTTAACTGCATCGTCCACAGACCTGTTGGCTCTGTAGGCAAACTGAAGGGGGTCCAGGAGAGGGTCTGTGATGGCTTTGAGGTGTGCCAGGACCAGGCGCTCAAAAGACTTCATTACCACAGATGTAAGGGCGACCGGTCTGTAATCATTTAGTCCTGTTGGCCTTAGCTTTTTGGGCACAGGGATGATGGTGGAGGACTTGAGACAGGCTGGTACATGGCATGTCTCCAGGGAGGTGTTAAAGATGTTGGTGAACACCGGAGACAGCTGGTCAGCGCAGTGCCTGAGGGTGGCTGGAGAGACAGAGTCCGGCCCGGCTGCTTTGCGTGGATTCTGCCTCTTGAAAAGTCTATTAACTTCTTCCTCCTGAAAGGAGATAGTCGTCTCTGTAGTATTGGTGGGGGATGGGGCCTCTTGGGTTGGAAGGGGTGGTTCAGGACAGTCCAATTGTCTTTCAAATCTACAGTAGAACTCGTTCAGGTCGTTGGCTAGGCGGGAGTCGTTAGTGGTGTGGGGGGCTCTGGGTTTGTAGTTGGTGATCTGCCTGAGCCCTCTCCAGACAGAAGCAGCGTCGTTTGTAGAGAACTGGTGTTTTAGTCTCTCTGAGTACAGTCGTTTAGCCTCTCTCACCGCTTTGCTAAACCTGTTCTTCGACTCCTTGAATCTGTCTCTATCTCCACTCCTAAACGCTTCCTCCTTCTCCAACCTCAACCTTCTGAGCTTTGCTGAGAACCAGGGCTTATTGTTGTTAAAGTTCACCCTGGTACGTGTTGGGATACAGCAGTCCTCACAGAAGCTGATGTAGGACGTCACAGCCTCTGTGAGTTCATCCAGACTATTGGTAGCAGTCGTGAACATATCCCAGTCAGTACAGTCTAAGCACGCCCGCAAATCTTCCACAGCCTCACTGGTCCACTGTTTAGATGTCCTCACAGCAGGTTTACAGAGTTTTAGTTTCTGCCTGTATGCAGGAATCAGGTGGACCATGGCATGGTCAGAGTGTCCTAGTGCTGCTCGGGGGACGGCATGGTAGGCTCTACTGACTGTAGTGTAGCAGTGATCCAGAGTGTTCCCTTCTCTGGTTGGGCATTTAATGAATTGTATGTATTTGGGGAGTTCGTGGCTGAGATTACCTTTGTTAAAGTCGCCAAGTACGATAACCAACGAATCTGGATTTGCTCGCTCCACACTCAGAATCTGATCGGCGAGCATGCGTTGGGCTTCTTGTTCTTTCAAGTAAAAATTACCTCTTATCATCATCATCAGGCGTTACCAAGAGCTCAGCTCTCACGATTTTGCTTGCTTTTTAATGTTCCTGTTTGCTGAAAAAACAAATCAACTGGCTAATTTTCCCACGTGACGACTTGAGTCGATTGGCCCTGTCGGGTGGTAAAGGCTTATAGTTCAAACAAATTGGCAGCATTCCTGCACGGTTGAACCCGAAAAGAAACGAATCACAAAACATTTCCACGGTTATTATTATCCGCGAAATTGCAATTTTGTGCGCAAATCATACCCTTTATGGCAGCTTATCCCGGTTGTGGGCGCGCGTTTGCAGCGTGCGCGTGCAGCGGCAAGCATCTCGCGGGCACCTGCAAGGACGGCAGCGGTCACTGCCACTGCGCGCCCGGCTTCAGGGGAGACACGTGCAACCGCTGCGTCGAGGGACACGGCAGATACCCGGCCTGTCGCCGTGAGTCCGCGTGGGGGATCCAAGGAGGTTGTGGGGTTATCTGCAGGCCCTGGGAGTTCAGGGGTCATGGGGGGCCACGTGGTGGGGAGGGCACGGGCTGTGTTGTTGTTTGTGGGTCAGTTTCCCAAATATTCTGGAATATTCCCTCTTTAAAAGCAATTTTAAGAACGTTTTGCCACCTTGTCACGAGTGGTACCACATCATTTCAATTTCCTCTCCCCTTTGTTTTTCCCTTACAGCTGTGGAGACCTCGGTGGAGATGACCCCACAGAGGCGGCTGCCCAATGCCCCACAGAGAGGTAGGTGCACCCTCACAGCAGCTGGCCGTGTCTCGTGCTGCTTGCCGTGCACTGCAGCTGCGGGCGCTGGATGCAGCGATGGTTTAATGTTGGCGTGCCGGAGGATTAACCCAGAACCTAATGAAACCGGTTGGGAATGGTAACGCGCATGTGCATCACGGTTAACGCAGCCCAGTCCAACTTGCGTATGTCCTAACAAGCATTTCTCAGAAGTATGACAAGTTTTTCTCAGGACATACAATAATAATGTTACAATGTTATGATGATCTGAGCAGCACCATGTTTGAGCCCGGCTGAATGCCTACGTGTTGTGTTCTCCTTCCAGATCAGCCCTCGGTGGAGATGACTCCGCAGAGGCGGCTACCAGGCATGCCACCCAGAGGTACGGCGCCGCCCGTGCTCGAAGTAGCTGAGTTGCACCATGCGTGTCACGGTGGCGAGATGTTATCTCCCTCGCCTGGTATGCAGGAGGCTGTGGATTCTATCCCGACCCTGACGATGCCTGCTGTATGTTGAGAGTTTGCATGCCTCTTTCTCATGATCATCACCATGGCTAGGAGATGTTAACTACCTCGCCTGGTTTGCAGGAGGCCATGGGTTCGATCCCGACCCTGACGATGCCTGCTGTATATTTGGAGTTTTCATGTTCTCCACATTTAGAAACATGCGTTTAGATTATTTTGCTGCTATAAATTTCCATGTGACAAGCCACTTCGTTGAGCTATTATTTGTGGCCAGGTTGCTTCTGAAAAAGAGCTACATAGCTCAGTGGGCTTTAGCTGGTAAAATAAAAATAGTTCATAGCTATTTTTAAGAGTGTCTGTGTGTGAGTGTGTGCGCAGGGGACCCAGTGACCCGAGTAAAATTCCCACCCACGGAATTTGTTTTATGTATTTGTGACAATATTGAGATGAATTTCGATTTAAAGCTTTCGTGACTGCATGGATTCATCTTCTTGGTTCTTTCGGTAAAGTAACGTAGAATGGAAATAAAATAATAAAAATAAAACATTATTTTTTATTATGTTTTATTTTTATTATTTTATTTCCATTCTACGTGACTTTACCGAAAAAACCAAGAAGATGGATATTGAGATGATCACTCTCCACACTTGAGAACCCACATGAATGTGGCTGAAACCTGGATTTAAATCCATTATCTCAGGGGTGCAGGCTCAGTACTCTGACCCCTGAGTCACCATATATTTTATACACTTTCTAAATTGTGTAACCATCCCTGAGTACAGTACATGTGACTAAATATAGTCAATAGTTAGTAATCTATAGCCATTTGTTAATCCACTGCTGGATGAAGGTCTCCCCACACCATGCAATTCATGGGAGTTGTTCAGCCACATTTCACGATGCTGGTCAGTGTGGGCTTGTGAATGGGTATCACTCGCCACCAATGGCAGCCACGAGCATAAATTTAACTCAGGTAACCAGATTCAAGGCGCTGTGTGGTAATCGTTCCACCACACTTGCAGTTTATTATCGCTGTTACAATTACGCTTTGTCCACCTGGGAAAGCCTCACTGAATCTCAAGACTTTTTCACGAGGGTCCTGCCACGTTTTTACTGTAGGCAGCGGTACTGCTGCTGTGCGTAATCTCAATTGAGTGATGTTGTTCAGTGTTGGGATACATTTGAAAAATTGAGAGGATGAAGGGCCAAATAACAAACTTCCTCTTCAGACAAGGACACGTGTTTACAGATTACTACCTCGTATTTTTGAGAACAAACATATCGAGGGTGCGTTGAATGATAAAAAAAACGAGAGAGGTTTTTATTTAGTTTAACACGTGGGCTTTTGCAACCAATATTATTCATGATGAAGGTTTCGGGGTTAGATCGCGTTTTGACGTTTCGCTGGTAATTACATCCAGCATCATGGGGGCGATTTGCCAGAAAAGTGACGTAATCCACCTGCTTCCAGTCTTAAATAGATGTAACCACAAAACCTTTGTTATGAATAGGTTTTTATTTCTTCATACAATACTTCACCATAGCTGACCTCCTGCCCTCTGTGTCACAACACCGGGCCCCTGCACTCGTCACGCGTCCGCATGAGTGACACAAAACGCAGGTTGACGCTCCTTCCTTTCTCCCTTCAATCCCTACCTCCCTTTGTTTTTGTTTTCCTTTTCAGCCGTGGAGCCCTCGGTGCAGATGACCCCACAGAGACGGCTGCCTAATGCCCCACACAGAGGTAGGCGCACCCTCACGGCAGCTGGCGGTGCACGGTCGCTCTGGGCGTAAGAATGCAGTGACGTTTGAATGTTGGCGCGCTGGAGGATTAACCCAGATACTGATGAAACGAGTTCAGGAAGGTCATATGCTTCGTGGGTAATGAAACTCTATCCAGCGTGTACGTATTGTCCTAACAAGTGTCCATTAGCGATAATATTGTTATGTACCAAGCAGCACAACGAGATGACGTCTGCTAAAACTCCACTCTTGCACTTCTTTACTCACGAAATGTATCGAGTTGTGGTTGTTGTTACTTCTGCAGTGAGTAGCATTCGTGCCCACCGAACGCCGATGTGTTTCATTCTCCGTGCAGGCATGGAGCCCTCCGTGGGGATGACTCCACAGAGGCGGCTACCGAACAAGCCGCACAGAGGTACGACGGCGCTCTCGTTCGCCGCGGCCGAGCGAGAGCGCGTGGACACTCACGAGGTCCCTTTTTGCAGCTGTCTCTAATGTCCACCGCTCGCCCACTCGCTCACCCACCCAACCCACTCGCCCACGTCTGCGTGTCTCTCTGTGTGTAGTCCCCGAGTGCAGGGGCCCCGGTGCCACCTCCAGCCACGTGGATGCGAGCAGCGGCCGCTGCCGGTGCCACACGGGGTTCGAGGGGGCGCGCTGCGAGCGCTGCGCTGGAGGATACTTTGGATTCCCTCTCTGCCAGAGTACGTGGCGTGCGCACACCTCCTGATGCCCTCACTCGTGCGGGACTTAGCGATGATGATAAATAAGGAAGGGTCCGTCTCAGTGTATTCATCTATATATATCCAGATCAGCTCGAGCGTCCAGCGAATCACGCAACTTCTGTGTGTGGCTGCTCTAACTTTGTATCCCCACCTAATCCCCGGCCCCTGTGAAAACAGACACCGCTCATCTTCCGTGCAGCTCACTTCTGCTCGCTCGTTTCTTCTCTCTCGCTCCCTTTCCCTCCCCTCTCATCATCACAACTCTCATCCATGACATTATGGCCCTCCTCCCCTCCCTGCCCAGTGCTCCTTCTTCATGCCGCACATCTTGAGCCGTGCCTTCCTCTTTGCGGACTTCTGTCCCAGCAATCCTCCCCTTCCCCAGGTGTGCAGTGGGTAAAAGGTTTTATGAAATCGATAAAGCATTTTCAGCTCTGGAAGTCATGGATTTAATTTTTTTTCCAGTACCATTTTGTTTCAGCAGGTGTACTTCAATTCATTAGAATTGCTCTTGCTATTTTGGTGACCCAAGTCACCCTTTCAAATGAGACTCTATCCTGCTCTCTTGAGTTCTCTCTTCCTGGTTAAACAAAACAATCTTGAAACTCGATTGTTTTTAACTTTTCAAGTGTCGGTCTACGTGTGTGTGTGGTTGTGTTGTGTAGTGGTGGGGAGCGGTGGTGCAGCGGTTAGCGCGCTGCGCTACACTCCCGGCGACCCAAGTTTGGTTCCCACTCACGCACAACATCAGTGACGATAATCTGAACTGGTCCTGGGCCTCTCCTAGGTTGACTCAAACTCAAATGGGTTCCCCGGTGTGGTGTCTAAAAACATCGCCAATGGGGAGACAAAGGCGGTCGGGCGTGGTGTTGGTCACCCATCCCATCGTGTGCCATGCAGGCCTTCATAGGTGCTCGCTAACAGCAATTGCCCCAACAGTCTGTTAAGGCTTTGTGTTTTTTGAAGCTCCCATGTGTGTGCATAGTATGCATAACCTGCGCTTGCATGTATTCATGTGTGAACCCGTGTGTGTATGTGTGTGCACGCGTAGTGTGCCAGTGTAGCACGGTGGGCACCGTGCCCGAGGTGTGTGACTCCACTGGACGCTGCCTGTGCCGCCCCGAGTTTGACGGGGAGTCATGTGACCAGTGCGGTCCCCTCCGCCACTCCTTCCCACAATGCCTCGGTATGTCCAACGGTGTGGCTCACGAAGCCAGGATGTAAGAGCAAGCAAGCTAGTCACTGCCAGGCCAAGCGGTGTAACACGAAAGTTCCCGATTTAAAATAATGACCGTTACTTGTTTAAAACACTGCAATATTTATTCGAAAGAAAACTGCTTCAAAGTTCTATTGAAAAATTCTGACAGTGTTAAAGGCATGCCCTTTTTGGAATAATGTTTTTATTTCCACAGTTTGATCTCAGTTTAAAAAAAATATATTTTTCCCCAATGTCATCCCAACTTGGCTGTAGGTGTCACGTCATGAGAAAAATACTCCATTCGTATGTCCGGCAGAGCAGGGCAACCCATGATGTTAAAGAATGGCCCATGGAAACGGATAACGCAGAGCTACTTCTGAGTTCCCTATCAAGTGACCACTGGTCTCAACACAGTAAGGGGCAGTTCTTTCTCACCCACTCCACCGCCGAGAGTCATACTTGTCGCACGACAGTCAAACGGGTATTTTGAAAAGTCAGAGCATGGAATTTAGCCAACTAACGTGAAAATAGAAGTGTAGTATTATTATATTCTTGGTTCTTTCGGTAAAGTCACGTGACTTTACCGAAAGAACCAAGAATATGAATCACTGCAGTCACGAAAGCTTTAAATCAAAATTTGTAGTATTATTGTTTAGTATGATCATTGGCGATTGGACTGGGTCCATCCACTCACCACACATAAGGACCCAGTTTCATCACGAGTGACTGCCTGCCGTCTCAGCCAATGAGACGTTTAAGCAAATGCTTGCGGATACATCTTGAAGGCAAATGTTATACTTGCTGGTCAGAATGTGGGATTTTTCTTTCATCGCCCACGGCCGCTTGTTTATCTGGACCTGGGCGATGAAGCGGATCAGGTGGTGGTGGCGGGAGATAGACGGGGGGGGGGGGGGGGGGGGGGGGGGTGCGAGGTGAGCTCACTGAGCGTTACTTATCTCCCGTGTCGGGCTCTGAAGCCCCGTGTATTAATAGCACACCGCCGTCATCTGTCCAGAGACCCCACCATAGTCCCCCCCTGAGCCACGGTTCATATTAACAGCTGCCGTTATGCCTTATCTTATCGGATAACGAAATTTATAAAGCACCTTAACCAAGGCGCTTTACAAGGAATTAACAACGGTGCAATATATGAATGTAATGGGCGGAGATGAGGTGAATTTAATAGACGACAGGCAGCAATGGGGGGCGAATCTGTGATGCGTGAATTCGGTGAAAGCGAAATTGATGACAGTGAATGATGATGGACGGATTGAATGAATGAGGAATGGGTGATAGCCTAGCGAGCCAGTTCTCGCTGCCACTCATTATATACGAAGGCTTTCACGACCAATATTGTCATTCATAATGAGTTTATTTTGGCTTCTCTTAACGTCTAATGATGCTGGTTGTAATCTCCAGCGAAATATCTGACAGTATCATGGTCTGAAATTGTTGCTCACATTCCAACAATACGGTTCTTTAAAATACAAATTCAAGTGGCATATTTATCCACGCGAAAACTTAATTTCATTGGTTCTTTGTTTGGGCGTATGTATGCACATGTATGTTGAACTTCTATCGCACCATGCGTAAGCACCGTGCTAATCGGAGGTGCGTGGTGGGTGGACGGTTATAGTTGAACATTGACATTATCCCTTCAGAAACAAACACACTTTGGGATGTGTCTGTACACGCTTAGAGAAATATTTATTAATTCAAGGTCGCTTTTTGACACTTCTGTGTGTGTTGAATGTCCTATTGCTACCTCTGCTTCATAGGACTCAAACCTGTCTTCTCACGTGGTGCTTATTCTCACATTTACAAGAATTGACGTTGACACGCCGCACTGTGAAGTGGTTAGGTGGCTAGGCAGTCAGGGCACTGGCCAGGCGTTGCTGAGGCTGAAATCGGGGTTCAGCCACCCGTGACTCTACCAGGCCATCAAGTGTCGCGAATTGATCGCATCAGCCCAGTCACTATTGACTTGCACAAAAAATAATCGCGTTGAATTTTAGTTTTTACTTTTTCACTTCAGCATATTCTGCCATGTGATAAAGGCCTCTATTCTAGGGCCTGTGCGAATGTGCACCACTCGTGTCAATAAGAGGTAACTGCAGGGACTCTTAAGATCCAATTGCAGGGGCTCTCAGAGGCAATTGCAGGGACTCTAAGAGGTAGTTGAAGGGACTTCAGAAGTAGTTCTGTAATTTCATCTTCCAGAAGCCATTCTCTTTCATGGAGCGATGTTACACTGCTTCCTGTTAGAGTTTCAAAGAAACCGATTTTAGTTGAGCGAATACAACATTTTTATTTATGAAAAACTTAATATGGCCATTCATTTACATGTGATGAACACTCTTTGCGGGGCATATTCAAGGTGTGCAGCTTCGTTCGGGTAAAGAGATCTATTTCAAGTGACTTTAGAAGTAGTTCTTTGGCATCGTATTCCGCGGTCATTCTCTGGCACGACGACAGGAGACCCGTTTCTCTCGCTCCCGCGCCGTTGCAGCTGCACCGTTGCTGCGGCCGCGTTTTTGCCCGGACCCATCCCAGCGGAGCATGCGCCGTGACTCCCCCCCCCCCCCCCACCCCGCGCGTTGCAGGTTGCGCGTGCGACCCGTTCGGGGCGGTGGCCGAGGACTGCAGCGGCCAGGGCCAGTGCCGGTGTCGTCCCAACTTCGTGGGCCTGCGCTGCGAGGCGTGCGCCCTCGGCTTCTACGCCTTCCCCAGCTGCATGCGTACGGACGAAGCCCGGCGCCCGAAGCTGCTCGCTCAGGCTGCCCGTCTACCCACACGCGCACACACTCGCCCGCTTTGTGACGAACCTGCCCGCTCAACTACCCAACGACCGTTAACTCTCACGCCCCGCGCCCGCTAACTCAAGCTCCCGGCAAGCCATCCGCTCACCTGCTTAATACTTTGTCTACGCTCTCTCCCTGACTTCTAAATTGTCAACCAACCAACCAACCATTTTTTTCGTACCCCCAATCACTCACCTACTAACTCACTTCCCCAGTCACGAACTCACTTAATCTACTCATTTCCTGGCTACCAACGCTCCCACATATCTGCTAACTCACCTGCCCGTTCACTCAACTCTTCTGTTGCTCAGCTGCCTCCTCACGCCCTACCATCTCGACACATTTCCTCACCACTAATTCCTCTCTGCATGCACTTGCTCATCCTCTCGCCGGCTCATTAACTCACCTATTCAGTTCTTCACCTGCCTGCTCACTCTTTTGCCGACTAACTCCGCATTCGCCAACTCTCACACCCAAATCTCTCTCCGACTCTCCGACTCCCCGTGGATTTACACCAAGTGATGCACTCGCTCTCCTACTCATGATCTCACGCTCACCCACCCACCCACTTCGTTCATCCACTTATTTAATTCTTCTGTTAAGCACTCACTGATCAATTCTTCTTTTTCCCACGCATTCACTTATCACGAAACATGCCCTCCCTACGATTACTCATTATACAGCTATGTCGCTCACATTTCCGCTCACACTTTTAGAAAACTCCCCCCCCCCTCTTGCCCATCTCATTCATGGATTACAACCATACCAGGGTTCGCAGGCATCGAGGGCAGCAGAAGGCAGTACAGAAAATCCGTCATTGTGCTGTACTTCTACGGTGCACGTCTTCGCCAACCCACACTGACGAGCATGATGAAGCATGGTCAACATAACCCCTGTGACCCGCATGCCATGCAGATGCCCAATACAGCAGTTGATTGACCCAGAGCTATAGATACATTTTTGCTCCTTGAAAGTCGAGGGTTAAAATGGCCTTACGACGTTCGAACCTGGTACCAACGATACCGGTGCTCTTAAAGAGCAAACGAATGAACGTACCCGCGCCGCGTTTTCCTCCGCGCAGCGCGTCGTGGTGCCCTCATGCCGTGCGTGCGTGTCCCCCGCGTGTGCGTGCGACAGCGTGCGACTGTGACGTGCGCGGCTCCTTCTCCGGAGAGTGCGACGCGGTGTCGGGCGCCTGCAGCTGCCGCGCGGGAGTCTCGGGGCGGCGCTGCGACGCCTGCGCTTCGGGCGCCTACGGTTTCCCCGCTTGCCAGGGTGAGTCCGCGTCCGCGTGCGCGTTGCTTGTGTTTTTCATTTTTGGGCGCGTGCGTGCGTGCGTGTGTTCATCTGCCTATAATTTTGTATTCCTCATGCGTTTGCCACCGCGTCGTGTTCTCCGGTGTGTCCGTCTCCATCTGCCGCCCCCGTAATCTGAAACTCCTTTGCGCCATTCATCTGTGCTGTTGACGTCCTGCCCCCTGCTCAAGTCCAGGCTCAAGAAATTTCCATTCGTCTTTTCTCTGTCCATGCTTGACTGCCCCCCTCTCCATGAAATTAACGTGGCCCACTGTTTCTGTGGTGGTCACAGTCACGCGCCGTATAAATCGACGTCGTCTTGCATTGGCTCATCTGCCCGTGTGTCCATCGCTGCTCCTTGGATTCCTCCAGGATAAATAATGATTCTGACACTCTGTCCGCAGCGTTCGGTCTGCTCAGCCGTGTGTGGTTTTGTCCTTGGCAGTGCTCTACTGTGACCCTGCCGGCTCAAGAAGCGGCTCGCAGTCGGCCCAGGTGAGTCAACATCCTGCGTACGCTCGGCCAGGAGTTCAGCTCACGCATCGTTTTGGGGTTGGCCATGGCTGCATGCGAAACGTCGCGAAGGAGAAATGAGCGGCGCTCGCCACGGCTAACCCGAAAGAGTAGCTTTTAAGAACATTTCTCATACACGGAGCCGTGAAAACCTCTACATGGATAGATTGTTTATTTTTCAACGTGCACTAAAACATTGGTTCGTACACGTTCAGTAGAACATTATGGACTGCACTGGGAATTTTCTGCACTGAAAAGCCCCACGGCACGTGTGTGTGTAGATTGCTTCGGCCAAGGTGATGAGATGGACCTTTTCCAATAATGAATTGCTTCACATACATACACACACATACGTTAAATCACACAAAACATTTAAGTCACTATGGTGGAAGTGGTATGCAAGCATGATAAAACAAAAGACTTTGCACGTTTGTCTATAACACCGCCTAATGATGCAAATATATTTATGGAGAGAGTAAGCTGACATTTTGGGTGGTTGTCTTTCTCTAGAGCAGAGGTCAAAGAGGTCAATGACTTGTAGTTAGAGATCACACTTTACGCCGTGGTGCTCCAAGACAAACTGAGACATTTGATGACAAATGACAAGTTACACTTTAAGACAGGTATCTTATTAGTAGACACACATACGCACGCAGCAATGTGATGCGGCTGCTGCCGCTGCCCCTGCTGCTGCCGCTGCTGCTGCTGCTGCTACTGCTGCTGCTACAGAGGACTGTGCATGTGGTGTTGCTGTCGCAGGCCGGGTGTCAGTGCCGCGAGAACGTGCAGGGAGCCAGCTGCGGCGTCTGCAAGCCCCTCCACTGGGACCTGCGCGAGAGCCACCCCCAGGGCTGCAGAAGTGCGTCTCACCCCGCATCGCATGGGCCTAGAGGGCTTGAATCAAGTGCACAGGACCCTTATCCATTGCCATCATTGCATCTCGGCTCGACTCAGTGGCCTGGCTGTCGAGTGTGCAGGCGGTGTAACTGCACCGCGGATCCTGGGCCGGAGGAGCACGGGTGCCGGGCTACGAAGATTGGGAGATTTGGACAGGAGGCCCCAATTTTGTATTCCTTGCACCAGGACCCATGCCAACTGACTCAACTACTGCACCTCTCCTCCATGGCTTTCCCAAATCACTCACCGAGCAACTCCAAATTACCCAGAATGACTGTGGCCAACTTCTCGCCTGCACCCCTAAATGAGACCACATCACCAAAGTCCTCGTATCCTTAAAATGGCTCCAGGTCAAATAGAAGATTGCCCTCACCGTCTTCAAAATCCTCCGTTAACTCACGCCAGCCTACCTCTCCTCTCTCATCTCACGCTACTCCCATTCGCGGTATCTCCGCTCGAGCTCCCTATCAAAGCTCGTCGACCTTCGGTCAATGCGAGGTCACTCCTTCTCCGTTGCTACTTCCACTCCCTTCCTCTGGCCATCCGCACTGCTGAGACACTTTCCCTATTCAAGTCCAGGCTCAAGTCCTTCCTCTTCTATTGAGACGGCAACCGATTGTCTGTCCGTCTGTCTCTGGGCGTGTTTCCATCCGGACGGAAAAAGCGCTCGCCAAACTCTCTAGAGCAGCGTTCTTCGTTGCAAGGCCCGCGGGCCACTGGCGGCCCCTGGTGTCTGTTAGTGAGGCCCCTGACGTGCGGTCCCCGACAATACACAACACGTGACAGCACCCCCCCCCCCCCTTCATCATCGTGCTGCTGTCACAAACCCAATGGTTTGAAATGTGTGGCGGCCCTCGGACTGATGATGTCTTATTGGCGAAAGTGACCCCCTCTGAACATTCGTGAAGAACACTGCCTTAGAAGCACAAGACTTGGGATGTCGCCATATTTAAGTTTATTTCTAAATCCAACTTGCATTGTGTGTGTTGTGTGTTGTACGTGTTGTGTGTGTGTGCGTGTTCCGCTTCACCGCAGGCTGCCAGTGCGACAGGGAGGGCGCGCTGAGTGGGCTCGCTGAGTGCACACAGGTCGGTCACCCGTCGCTCCACGTCTGCTCAGCTCGGTCTCGCTCGATCAACAGTGGAACGTTGTTTGTTGAATGAGCCTGCCGATGTTGGCTATGCAGCACGCAGCCTGTAGTCCGGCAATGTGGAGGCAGCAGAGGGTTGGTGGATCGTGCAAATGTTGCGAAACTCCCGTCCCCGTGGGCGTCAAGGAGATGTCGTACTCTGGCTTGTCAGGAGAAGGCAGTCCAGCAAAGTGTGGACGAATATCATCCGTCCTTTCTGCGTGGGATAGATTCCCCCTCGCATGCCTGGGTTTTCTCCTGGTAACTCCGGGTTCCTCCCACATCTATGAACACTCATTCATTAACTGAAAATATCTTAAAATAGAGAGGAGTGCAGAGCTTGGGCAATGGTTGGAGCCTGCTCATTGCGTGGTGGCTGCTGCCTTCCAGCTCGTGTCTGTGGTTCCTCAGCAAATTGTGAGATGCGATTTGCACGAACGATGCTATATAAAACTAAACGTTATTATAAAATGTGAAACGTGGGCTACGTTTTTCGATGCCGGGGGGGAAATGTTACGTCTGTCTTTCCGTGCGTTCGAGATCACTTCTCATACTCTTTGGTTCTTTCGGTAAAGTCACGTAGGTATAAAATAAAATTAATCACTTTTCATGTTCTCACTAAAACTACAGAATCGCTACGAAATGAAATGGCTAGGTAACAGTGCTGCCCAGCTCACTGCCACCAACGACAATCCAGGACTAGTCCTCAACAAGACCCATTATGAAATGAGTACTGCCAAAAGTGAAAAGCTGTTATGCATAAAAATAGATAAACACGCAGCACTCCCATATTTTGGCCAGAGCTCGCAAATAATACTTGAATTAATATAGCCCCCATAATGTAGCAACGTCTCAGAGTGCAGTTCTTTTCACCTCGGGGACTCCCACGATGGCAGCCGTTCCGCTGTGGTACAAGGTAAACATAGCACCGTGCCTACAAGTGGGCATTAACTAGGGTGCCAACAATTATAATAATACAACAAAATTGTAACGCGTGCAAATTTGGCGAAACACAAATCGTTGCGTAACCTGAAAACTCAGAGGCGCAATAATAAGTGTCGGTGTTGACGTCGAATATTCAAGTTTTCAAGAGATTTTCCCTGGGGGAGGGGGACTAAAACTATTTCCACTCAAGCCCAGAATAAACCTTCGCTGTGATGTATTTGTTGTCAATGCAACTACGATGCAGTGACTGATACATGTTGTCCCATGGATGGATTAGCCCTTCCCTAATCACGTACACTTTCCACCACTGCGGACATGAATCGAGCCCAGCTCCACCCTCATTAGAGTGTGCTCTGGCATTCCCCCAGAGGAGGCAAAGATCCCTAAATCTGACCCTGCCTGGGCCTCAAAGGCTCTAAATAAGAAGTGGTGACGATGGCGATGGAGCTCGCCGGGTTGGATTGCGAATGCTGCGCTTGTGTGTCTGCGGCAGGAGACGGGACAGTGCCCCTGCAAGCCCCACGCTGATTCCCGCACGTGTGGCCAGTGCCAGGATGGCTTCTTTGCTCTGAAGGCCTCCAGCTACCTGGGCTGCCAAGGTGTGTGTCGCTGCCGCAGTCGCCTCCCGAGAACGAAATATTTTTTTAACAGAAATCCCCTTTGAAATATCTTAATCGATCGTGCAGCGTCTTGAGATTGCCATCACGGATGCTTTGTAAATCCACTCAGTGTTGTTTTCTTATTGCCAAGTGGTCACTGAACCTCTTCTGAGCTTGGCCTTACCTGGTGCAGTGTCTGAGCGTCGACACTGACTTAGACGTTGGACATAGGGCAACCTATGTGGTGCTCACTACGCCACCCCGTTTTGCGCTTTGCTGGCATAAATAGGTGCTCGCTAACAACGCTTGCCCCCCCCGCACCAGTTTCTCAGCATGTCTCCGAATTAAATGGGTGCCTACCCAGTCGTGCAAACGTTACCGCAGGAAGACTAAGGCGCTCAGGCATGGTGTTGGCCACACCAGCCTCTTGTGCTGTGTTCGCCTAAGGAGGTGCTCGCTTATGGCACTACGGCCTGTAAGGCTGCATGGACCCTTGCGAGTTGGCAGTGTACAACAGGGCCGGTTGGAAGGCACAGTCACGCCGTTTGCGATCTATGAATCACCTTTTACGTGGTATTGTCATAGGTTGAAAGCATCATTCATGCCGTTAATAAACGTAACTGGGCCTGGGCAGGACACGACATTAGGAGGGACGACAGCCGATAGGTAAGCACAACGATGTATGGGCAGTCAAAGGAGGGAACCGATCCAAGTGGATGTCAGACGCCGAGATGGAGCGGTGAATTTGGCCCACGCGCAGGAGCTGGTCAGATTGTTGCATCGCAGGATGACTGGGGAGGCCTTCATCCAGCAGCGGATCTCACAGAGGGCTGTTAAATGATGACACATTACCGTTGTGACCAACACTTAACACGCTCGTGTCTGCATCCCTGCGTCACAGCGTGCGGCTGTGACATGGGCGGATCGCTAGGTTCCGGCTGTGACGCCGGCACGGGCGCTTGCAGGTGCAAGAAGGGCGTGAGCGGACGCTCGTGCTCCAGGTGAGTTCGGACCCTCCACGGCGCCCGCCCTGGGGTCAATGCCCCGAACGGACTCTTGTCCGGAGAGTTCGTCCCCTTGAAGGCCACGGTGCAACCGATGCTGCCGGCATTCGTCCGCCGGCATGAGTTGCCGCACCGTGCTCCAATGTGAACAATGTAGCTGCCCAAATATTGGCAGATATCACTGCTAGTGGGTTACCTGGGTTGGCAACTCCCAATCCAATCGCAGGCAGATGTACAAGTATGTTTGTATGTTGAACTTCTTTCGCACCGTACATAGCCAACCGTGATAATCGGAGGTGCAGGGGAAGGGCAACAAAATAAAACACAAAACGCAGTTCGAAATAAAAAAAATGTTTTTATCTATATTGAAAAAAGTGCATAGTTCCAGTGGCTTTCTAATATCGGAGGAGTGAGATGTTAACTACCTCACCTGGTATGCAGGAGGTCGTGGGTTTGATCCCGACCCTGACACCTGCTGTATATTTGCGTGTCTCTCCCCGTGGTCACGTGGATTTTTTTAAACATGGGTTTAGAGTATTTAGCTGCTATAAATGTCCACGTGATGATAAGCCACTTCGTAGTCATATCATTTTTGATAGCCAGGTCGCTTCTTAAAAAGAGCTGTATAGCTCAGTTTGGCCTTACCCGGTAAAAAAGAAAAGTTTAGCGATGTACAGTTTATAACGTTACAGTTGCTGACCCCTCGGTCCCGGTGCGACGTGGCCTATGTGTCTCAGTCCTCGCCAGGGCTACTACTTTCCCGGGCTGGAGCGGCTGCGTGTGGAGCTGGAGGACGGACGAACGCCCGCGGGGGACCCCCCGCGCTTCGGCTTCGACGGGGCGGAGTTCGCCAACTTCAGCGGGCGAGGATACGTGAAGATGTCGCCTCTTCAGGTGCGACGCATTTCTTGTGGAGGGTGGGGTGGTCGGTCAGAGGCAGAGGAATAAAACAAAAAGGTCATGTATGTATGTTGAACTTCTATTGCACCGTATGTAGCCAACCGGTCTTGAGCCTGGTGTTTGACAGAGGTAGGGAATCGACGACACCAATAGCTGGGGGAGGGGAATTTCAGACAGCAGGGGCAGCAGAAGAGAATTTGGAGACCTCCCACTGACAAAAAATGAACTGGTCGCTTTAATGGACAGCCTTGGTTGCTGGGGAGAGGTCGAAGAGTGCGTGGAGGGGAGTAGAGTGAGATGTGAGGGGAGAGGTAAATAAGGGGCGAGTTCAAGAAAGACCTTGAAAATCGCGAGCGCAATCTTGAAATCGATATGGAATGCGATTGGGAGGGATCCCAGTATGGTGGTGATGATGTAGCCTCATTTACAGTCGCAGGTATTCGAGTGAGACCTCCCACGGAGAAAAATTCATCGAATGCACAGTGGCTGCTGGACCACACAGTGACACGGGAAGGGCGTGGAATGAGATGACAGAGGTAGACCGGAATGAGCCCATGGAGGATCATGAAAATGGGGGACGGTGGGGGCTGTGTGATCCTAACTTGACTTCACCTTCTCTCTGTTGAACAGGAAGTGGTGCAGGTGGACGTGGAGCTGGGTCCCTCCACCCTGGATCTGTACGTCGTGGCGCTGAGCTACGTGAGCACGCTGGACGTGCCCGTGATGGGCAGGGTGACGGTCACACCGCGTGGGCCGCAAGGTGCGTCTGCACGTCCAACAACAACAACAACGACCCGTTGCCGCTACGGCGCTTGTGCCAGGCTATGTGCACTTTAAGGCCGCGTGAAGTGTCGAATGCCCACTGGCAAGAGGTCACGGGCAGACCCAGGTGCCATGCCTGTGACTGACTGAGATGACTGATGCACCACCTGTGCCCCCTTCTGTGCCAACTTGCTGTGTTTTAGCCACCCGGTGCTCCGCTCGTTGTTCTAAGCGTCCCTCCAACCAGCCCGACACCACGCACGTGCACACACATCCATGCTGTACCTCATAGGTTAGCATGAAAGATTGGGATTATTTGTCGAAGTTACTCGCGACTCGAAGGCAACGTTGCATTTCGTCCCACGGAAAATGCATTTTTACCCGCATAGTGGCGACACAGCAGGGTGAGTTAAGTCAAAGACCGTAGACGTTCCTGGTGGAGTGCAACGCCTTGCGGCCTGTTTCCAGCAGGCTCGGCGGTGCAGCAGGAGAAGGCCGTGGTGTTTGCTGCCGGCATGGGGCCCGGTCGCTCCATCACGGAAGCCATCGTGCTACGCCCCGGCTCGTGGACTCTCTCCGTCCACGTGTCGTTCCCCTCGTCTGCGTCATCACCATCATCGCACTCAACCTCGTCGCCGCTGCTGCTGTTGGTTAGTCCAGAATTTTCGAGCCGCACAATCCACTTAAACGGTTTCCCATTCCGGGACGTCTGCAAGTAGCAGGGTGGGTTGTCCCATCCACTGCTGAATCACAGGGACGCGCAGGCATCGCAGCGCGTTGTTTTTAAAGACACTGTACACACCGCAGAGAACCGTAGCAGCACGATCGCACTCTACGATAGCTCGCGCCAAACTGTGCCACACGCCCTCACGAATGGCCTTGTGGGAGTCTCGGTACGTCTTCCGACCTGAAGACCGTCATTGGAATGGGAAGAGGTTGACTTGCTGTTGTCAGCATCAAAAAGTTAGCTTCAAGTGATGATTGTTGTTTGCAGCCATGAAAGATAACGCTGTGTAACAAAACATGTTTTGTTCCTGGGTAGTATGTGTAATTTTTTAATTGCTTATGCCTCAAAAGTATAGAAAATGGCTATATCTTTTATAGTAATTTTTTTATTACTTTAGTATAAATATATGTTAATTTTGATTATTTTTTTTCCGACTTTACATGAACGAAAAGACACAAATTCGCCCGTTGTCTCATTGAAAATAGGTAAAATAAAAAATATCACTGTCCAGGTCACAAAAGCAAAGTTTGTGGGGAATAATATCCATGTTCTGTACTTTTAAGGCATAAGCAATTACGAAATAACACTTACAACCCAGGAACAAAAATTGTGTTGCATCGTGTAATCATAGTTCAGGACAAAAACAGACAACTCCCTGCACTTCTAATGTGCAGTCTCGCAAGGGAATCACCATCTCTGACCACATGATACCTCTTTCATGTCGAGGAAAAATGTGAGGAAATTAAATATTGCACTTGAGTGCCAGGATCATGCCCCATTCACAACGTAATTGTTTTTTTTTTACCATGGTTTACTTAATGTTTCAAACCTCTTTGCATGTTGAAACACCCTCATAATGAAACTATGTACGTATGTGGATTTGCTCATTGCTTTATTATTGCGAAGCGGTAGTGTAGCGGTAGTGTAGCGGCAGTTTCAATTTCTGTTCGCGGCCAACAACAGTGACGATTAAAGGAACCAGTCCTGGGTCGCCCCAAGGTCGACTCAGCTTAAAATGAGTCTCTGGTGCGGTGTGTAAACATCAGCACTGGTGAGACTAAGGCTGCCGGGCGTGGTGCTGGCCACCCTCCCCCACGTGTGCCGTGCCGGCCTGCAAAGGTGCTCGCAAACAGCACTTGCCCCAACAGTCCTTCTCGGCTAAACGGGAGAAGCTTTGCCTTTTTCTCCGTCACTTTATTAAAAGCGACTGAGGGCTCTTCTTGCACAGCAGTTGCGAGTTGCAATATCCACAGACGATGAATGACAGCAGCCGCCGCCGCAGGGTTTACACCCGTGGCATCTACGCTCATTGCACTGCGACGCCCCCCCCCCCTCCTCGGGCCCCCTCTCTCTCTCCCCCCGTGCGTGCAGGACCACTCGCTGCTGCTGCCCAGTGCCGGCGCCCTCGCCGAGTCGCCGGTCCTCCGGCAGGCTGCCTCTGACCCCTGCTCCGTCAGTCCGACCGCCGCCCAGCGCGCTCAGCTGTGAGGCCACTTTTGTATTTTTCCATCGCTGCGAATGCCTCGCGACCACGGCCGCCCGCGTTTGGCCAATGTGCCTTAAACGTGACCCTCGGCGTCACTGAAGCAAACTGATCGATGCGTGCAGGTGCTGTTTGAGATTGACACTACACGTAGCTGTACGGCTCTTCTGTCAATCCACTGCTGGCTGAGGACCTCCGCAATTCCGCTCTGGTAATGGTGGTTACTTGACCATAGTTCGCCACACCGATCAGTGCGGACTGGTTAAGGCGGGGAGCATAGAAGTACAGTACAATGTTATTTTCTGCACTGCCCTCTGTTGCCCACCGCATTAGCACAGCCCCACAGCCGCCTTTAATGGTGGTCACCCGCACATTCCGGGTGATATGATCACGGGCGTGCAATGACACATTTATTCATTAATCGCGCATGGTCGACGTGTGACCTCTTGCCACAGCATTTGCTGCCATACACCGGTGTCTCGAGTGATTTGTTTGATCCTCGGCGACCACAGGGGCGGCGCCATGCCTACATGGCAACGACTGAATGAATGAAAAACAAAAACACCCGTCGCAGTCGTTATATTTCCATTTGTGCTTCCCGCTTGACGCACCGCCTCCCCGTCGCCCCCAGGTGTCTCCATTACCTGTACCTGCCACTGGAGGGGTTCGCCGGCATGCGGGGCATCGAGGGCACGTACCACGGCGCCGGCACCCATCGCTCGCCCAGCCAGGGCCGCAAGGCCACACACAGGCACCCCGTCATGGCCGACGTCAGCCACAAGCAGGTGAAGCGCTTGTCTGTATGGCCTCGCGGTCACTTTGGAGTACGAGCGTCTTCCCCCCCCCCCCCCCCAAAAAACGTAACTTTTATTTATTTATTTTGCAGGTAAGGCCCACTGAGCTATGTCTCTCTTTTTCAGAAGCGACCTGGCCACAAAATAATAGGTCAACGTAGTGGCTTATCACGCGGAAATTTATATCAACCAAATACTCTAAACGCGCGTTGATTCTAAACACGGAGGGAAAAACCGGAGAACTCGGAGAAAAATCCACGCGACCACGGGGAGAGAGAGACACGCAAACTCCAAATATACAGCAGCAGGCGTCAGGGTCGGGATCGAACCCCACGACCTCCTGCATACCGGGCGAGGGAGATAAAATCTCGCCACTCCCACCCTCCCCTCTGCCTCTCATATGCTCAGGAGCGAATGTCGACTCCTGCTCACCATGAGAGGCCTTCAGGAGAGGGTTCATATGGTTTTTCTATTCTTCCTCCGTCGAAGGAGTACCGACTACAGTGGTTTACCATATGGTCCATAGTTTGGGCTGCATGGCCACAGTGTTGTTTTTAATTTTCCATTCATGACGAGGATGTGTGCATCGGCCTGTCGATGTTCTGTTGCGGTTGTTGGTTACATCGGTGCCTTCGAAGAGGAGGAACGTCAAAGCCAGGAGGTGCGATGTTTGGGTCTCAAATGGACGTCCGAGAGCAAACACCTCATTCGACAGCCAAACACTTTGCGCCGCCTGGCTTTGACGTTACAATGAAAAGCTGCGATCGCCGCACCACTGAAAGTTCCCAATGCGCCACCCCCTCTCCAGCAATCGCTCTACCTGGCCGTGCGGGCTCCGGTGGCCGGCCGCTACTCGCTGCTGCTGGAGTACGCGAGCGAGGCGGAGTCCGAGTCCGTGCAGGAGGCGCGTGTGTCCGTGCGCGACGCCGGCGGGGTACAGCAGTCGCTCAGGGCCAGCGTGCAGATCCTGCCATGCAACTACAGGTGCGAGCGCGTTGCACGCGGGCGCGACAACAACGACAACAAGCGCTTGTTGTGCCGGGCCAGGTGCCTTTTGAGGTCATGCGAAGTGTCGAAGGCTGTCTGGCAGGAGGGCACGGGACAGGTTTTTTGTTCAGGTATTTTTGGGGTCACTGAGTGAGACAATCTGCACTCCCCCGCTGCGTCAACATGCTGCGTTTTTAGCCGCCCGGCGCTCCGCTCGGTGTTTTGAGCGTCGCTCCAATGCCCTGCGTTGTTGCTGGAGAGCGACTGCTCTCGCCTTGTGTGCACGTCCACTCGTCCGTACGTAAGCACCAACGGGCACGGGTGGAGTGAGTGCAACGTAAGCGTGGAAGGACCATCCATCGTGAGGTTTTCACAAGTTTGCCTCTTTATGTCTTGAATCTTCCTGATGACGGATTATAATCCTCTGTTTTGGGCAATAGCCCTATCTGATGGAGGGCTTTTATTCAAAGCGATCGCCAATTACACATTCATCGTATGTATGTTGAATTTCTTTCGCAGCGTACGTAGCCAACCAGTCATCCTTCTGCGGCCATCTGGAATGCTCTTCCGATATTAGGAAGCTACTGGAGCTACGCACTTTTAGATCATCTACATTGAAAACTCATTTCTTGAGAACTGATTTTTGTGTTTAGTTTTGTTGACCTTCCCCCGCATCTCCTATTAGCATGGTTGGCTACGTACGGCACGAAAGAAGTTGAACATACGAACATACATACAGGTGCTAATCTTCGTGTGAACTCGGGCCGTCTCCTTTCTCCCGCAGCTTCCTCTGCCGCGCTGTTGCCCTGGACCCGTCCGGCGGCGTGGCCTCGTATGACCTCCCTGAGCAGGCCGAGCTGCACCTCACGGGCAGTGGCCTCAACTTCCTGCTGGTCAGTGCTTCCTGCTGCTGCTGCTGCTGCCACACATGGTCCACACTACCCTCCCTCCCAGCACAGAGCACCCCACGTGAGACCCCACGTGGGGCCCCACGTGGAACCCCACGTGGTACCTGCACATTGGACCTCGTTCACAAATGTTGTGCTCCGTGTAAACCTCTGACATGGGTGTTGCTGCTGCTGCTGCTGCCGTCCACAGCACAAGGTGTACCTGATACCCGTGCACAGGTTCAGTGCGGCCCTGCTGGAGCCCAGGGTACACTGTGTGTCCCGTCATGGCACCTACTCACCCACCGGGTCAGTATCATCAAAGCATTTGAGCCGTACTTTCATTCGTAATCGATCCATTTCATTCGCTTTAATCATGCAATTTTGCTCATCGTTGCCAATTTCTATTTAATATCTGCCCATGGTTTGTTTGTTTGCCAGCAAATTTGTATTCACTTCCGCACCTGTGTTTTCACCCGCGGCCTGTACATCGTCGTGCCAGTTCGGGATCAGTCCGTACCCACTCAGTAGCGTTATAATCTGTGTTCGATCCGTCGGCGATCACCCGCCTCCCACAGCCACGAGTGCCTCGCGTCCGAGTTCCTGTTCCCCGCCGGCTCCGTGCGGCTCGCGCCGACGCACGACTCGGCGGAGAAGCCCGGCGTGGGTGCGAGCGGCACCGCGGCGTTCGGACCAAGGCCTCAACCCCGGAACCCCAAGACCCTCGCCGAGGGCAGCAGCGCTGAGCTCGCCCTGCTCGAAGGGGAGGAGGTGCGTAGCCCCGTGACAAACACCGCCTCTCCCGGTTGGTTACGTATGGTGCCATTTCTTGGATAACTCACCTGGGCATAGACTTGTAAGTTGCCATCCAATGAGGAATACGCAAAGCATTGCTTAACTGTTACCGAACGGCGAGCTTGCTTTAAAATGTGCGTCTTGTTCTAATACTGTGCTCCAGCACTGCGAGCATCGATACAGTGTCATCGTCCCGGAGAAGCAACGTCCATGTTGCGGTGTCGTGTGCAGAACCAGGTCCGCATGATCGTGCGGGTGGAGAAGTCGGGACGCCACGTCTTCCTGCTTCACTACTTCCAGCCGGGGCAGCCCAGTGTCCACACCAAGGTGGCACTGGAAGCCAGCACTTGGTCCTGGCATGGTAACGGCCCTCTGAACACGTGCATGGCACACGAGATATGCGTGACATCGTTCTTTACCACGGTAGCGGTAACACACATCCCGCTGTCTTTCCACGTGAACCCTAGGGGTGCCACGGTGGCGAGATGTTAACTACTTCACCTGGTAAACAGGAGGTCGTGGGTTCGATTTTGACCCTACTGCCTGTATATTTGGAGTTTGCGTGTCTCGCTCCCCGTGGTCGCGTGGATTTTTCATGCGTTTCGAGTATTTGGATGCTATAAATTCCCACATGCTCATCCATGTTCGTTGAGCTATCATTTGTGATAGCCAGGTCGCTTCTGAAAAAGAGCTATATAGCCCCTCCTAATGTTCACAGGCCCCATTCACTCTACCAACGGCGGCCACTGCTCTTGTAGCTCCACCTAACACTCGGGTGTACTCACCCATTGCTCAGGTGGCCCTGCCGTCACCCATAACACAGGTCAAGCATCATAAATATTGAACCGGAGGGCACAATTCTGACTTATTACAAAAATTCTGCGACACCTGGACAGAAATTCTGAAACCGGGACTCTCCCGGCCTAACCGGAACAGCTGTAACCGGTGGTAGCTTTTCCCATACTGTCACGTGCACCAGGTCATGTGGGTAACAGTTGTTCTCTGTGGGGTGACCCTTGACCTTGTTGCGTGTGCTGCTTTCCACCGCAGGCTCCTTCAACGCCACGTTCTGCCCGCACGCGTACGGCTGCCGCGGCGTCGTGGCATTCGAGTCTCAGCTCGGCGTGGACTTGAGGGAGGGCCAGGAGGTGTCCATCACTCTGACCAACCCCTCCGGCGAGGCCCTCTGGCTGGTACGTGCAAGCAGACCCGGATTGCGTACGTGTGTATGTATGTTGAACTTATTTCGCACCGTATGTCGCCAACCGTGCTAAATCGAAGGAAAAACAAATGAAAAACTCAAATCAGTTTAAAAAAAATCGTTTTCAATCTGGATGATTTAAAAGTGCATTGTTCCAGTGGCTTCCTAATATCGGAAGGAAGAGCGTTCCAGACGGCGGAGAAGCGCATCTGAAAGTGCGCGACGAAGTGAGCGTCTTTGTTCGATGGCTAGCCAAAAGGCTATGGGATTAACCCATAGGATATTAAGGCCCTTATATGTTGTAGGCCGTCCATTCCATAATTGCAGTAACAGTTGAGCGACGATAGCACGGCCATCGGAATTTTTGTTGTCTTTGAATTACGATGATGTCATTCGTGACTTTGCCACGGCTAAAGCTCGAGGCGGGGTAAAAATGTGTTTAAAGAAATTAGTGTCGTGAGTGATTTATGCTCGACAAATTTACCTTGAGTCGAATACATTTCTTAATTTTACATAGGTAAATAACTAAATATGCTGGATTGCTTTGTAATTAGTTTTACAATACGCAATATGCATTTGGCCCCTTCCCTCCATATTAGCCTTAGGCCCCTCTTCACCTCAATCGAGCCCTGAGCACAATATTTGTTTTCTCACTGAATATTTTCCAGCTCATTAGGAGACTGCAGTAAATGGCATTGGAGGCTTGTAACCACAGCCGTAGCGATGGGAATACTGAATGTGGTGTGCCCTGAGTGCGAATATACATTTTCGGTTCCCCTGCATTCTGTAACGGCTGCGTGCGGTGGATCGTGGCGCTTTCCGGGCCTGCAGGCGTACGTGCTGGCGGTGCCGGAGCACCTCTTCACGCCCTCCATGCTGCGGGAGGAGCCCGTCGACCGTTCGCGCGACTTCGTCACCGTCTGCGGCGCCCACGGCTTCTCCATGCGGTGAGCCGGAGTTGTATTGTTGTCGCGTTGATAGACAGCGGAGTCGCATTGGCAGAAGATATATTTCAATTAATGGGATTCATATTGAAAAGTAATTAATACTGCCTTGTTAAATATGCAGGTCTGTATCTCGCGTGTATGAATGTGAAAGGTGGATAATTACAAAGACCCTAGAGAGCAAACTAAAAGCAGCAGAAATGTGTTTTTTTAACGATGGACATTAAAGAGTTCATGGACAGACGAGATGAGTAATACGTTCATTACGGAAAGAAGCAGGGTACAAAAAGAAAATTAATAAGACTAATTATAGAAAGGCAGGATTAGATTTCTTGGACATGTAATGAGAACACAAGATACAGAATATGAATATGTGTTTTTCACTGAGAAAATCATAGGTACCGCAAGAATCCAGGGAAGACAGTGAATTATGTACTTTAAAACATTTGAACAATCTGATGCAACTCTTGAGTAAACATCATGGACAGAGCTGAATGGAACGAAGGCCGTGATCGCTGATGCTTTTGAGAAAGGACGCAGCTACGCGTAGAGAGAGCGTTAGAAAGAGAGCGAGCGTTAGAGAGAGAGCGAGCGTTAGAGAGAGAGAGCGAGCGTTAGAGAGAGCGAGCGTTAGAGAGATAGCGAGCGTTAAAGAGAGAGCGAGCGTTAGAGAGAGAGCGAGTGAGAGTTCCATCGATATGCGTGCACCGTATAGAATTGGCCATACTCTTGTGGTACCATCAAGCAGCATTGCCGCCATCACACAAGCCCCCACACCTCGGTGACCTTTACCCCCCCCCCTCCACCCCAGCAGCGGAGACTCCGTCCCCGAGTTCTGCCGGGTGGCGGCGTCGTCGCTGTCGGCGGCGGCGGATGACGACGGCGCCCGACCGTGCGGCTGCGACCCCGCGGGCTCCCTTCCCGGGCCGTGCCGCCCCCTCGGCGGGCAGTGCCCGTGCCGCCCCGGCGTCGTCGGACGCTCGTGCGACCGCTGCGCCGCGGCTCACCACGGCTTCCCCGAGTGCCGCCGTGAGTACACGTGACGGGGGATGGGAGGGGGTGGTGCTGTGTGGCGAGGACCGGCTCTTAGAGGGTGGGTTCCACGGGAACGGCGAGGCTTGCCCAGCTCATCTGATGCTGGGGGCGACGAAGCATTCTCGACCGCGGCCCCAAAAATCGTCGTTGCGGTCGCGGGCAGTTGCTGTAGATTCACACGGTAGAGGCTCTCTCTGAGCCTCTCCTGTCTCTTCACTCATCCCCACGTGTCTCCCGCATGTCAACCACGTGTCTCCCGCATGTCAACCACGTGTCTCCTAATGTCAGCCACTTGTCTTCTAATGTCAACCACGTGTCTCCTAATGTCAGCCACTTGTCTCCTAATGTCAACCACGTGTCTCCTAATGTCAACCACGTGTCTCCTAATGTCAACCACGTGTCTCCTAATGTCAACCACGTGTCTCCTAATGTCAACCACTTGTCTCCCATGTGTCAACCACGTGTTTCCGCATATCAACAACCATGCGTCTCCTCATGTGAACCACGTCTCTCTCATGTATCTACCATGAGAGAGACACATGTGTCAAGCACGAGTCTCCGCATGTCAACATGTGTCTCCAATGTATCCCCTCCCAGCGTGCAAGTGTGGCGGGCGGCTGTGTGACGAGCGCACGGGGGAGTGCGTGTGCCCCCCGCGGACTGTGCGGCCGGACTGCACGGCGTGCCAGCGGCTGACGTTCGGCTTCCACCCCCTGGCCGGGTGCCGCCCCTGCGAGTGTGAGGATCAAGGCCTGGCCAAGGCCGGGTGCGACCGTGAGACCGGGCAGTGCAGGTTCGTACGGTGGGCGTTAGAGAGCGCGTAGGTTCATCGTTTAAAATTGATCTCGTATCGGCTTTCGATGAAGAGCGGGCAGCGGGAATGGCGAGTTGTTTCGCGCACTACGCGACGAAAACCACATCCCGTTCACGGCCAACACCAGTGATGATTATCTGAACCGGTTCTGGACTTCCACTTGGTTGAGTAGCTAGTGCGGTGTGTAAAGATCAGCGTTGGGGGGGACGGAGGCGACAGGGCGTGCATGGTGCTGGCCACACCAACCCCTCTTGCCGGCTTTCAAAGGTGTTCGATAATGGACACTTTCCCCAAAGGTCCGTTAAGGCCATATGGGGAATATTTGTCTCTTTGTGACCGTGTGTGACCGTGTGCGTGCGCACCTTGGGCAGGTGCAAACCGAACGTGGGAGGGCAGCGGTGTGAGCACTGTCTGCCGGGATTCTTCGGGTATCCCGAGTGTCGCCCGTGCGACTGCGACGCAGCCGGGGTGTCCGGCGCCGGATGTGACGCCGTCACGGGCCAGTGCCTCTGCAAGGTGCGGCACTTCCTCCCACAATGCATTGCCGTGGCTTTGTCGCATGCCACAAACCGCGTTCTGCGCCGAATGCCATTTTAACCCAGGAGGGCTAAGTGATCGAGTGAAATATCGTGTGCGGGGCTGTTTGATTTGTAGAGTTCGAATTCTCCACATTATCTCCCCAAAAAGTATACATTACGTTCGAGTGTAAGGTAGCATGGGCATATGAGGAGCGGAAAGGGGGGAATTCCACAAAGGATCACACAGGAACTAAAATCGAAATCAAAGAGACTCAGATACGCGCTGGAGATAATGTGAAGAGTGAATAGTCATTAGAGACGATGTTGAGCGAAATTCGCCACCTCAGTGATCCAAACAAAACGGATGAGTCAACGCGACTGCTGCACTCGAGGTGACGCACCTCACACGTCGGCCATCTTGCCGCCCACGCCTGCCTGCGTCCAGGAGAACGTGGAGGGGCGGCGCTGCGATGTTTGCCGCCTCGGGACCTTCGACCTCGGCGCGGAAAACCCCAAGGGCTGCACGGCCTGCTTCTGCTTCGGAGTCACGGGGGAGTGCACAAGCTCCGAGATGCACCAAGACACGGTCAGGGGCACGCACACACACACTCTCACGCACATACTCTCACGCACACACGCACGCTCACGCACGAACTCTCATGCACACACTCTCACGCACACACTCTCACGCACACACACACACTCTCACGCACACACTCTCACGCACACACGCACGCTCACGCACGAACTCTCATGCACACACTCTCACGCACACATTCTCACGCACACACACACACTCTCACGCACACACTCTCACGCACACACGCACGCTCACGCACGAACTCTCACGCACACACTCTCACGCACACACACACACTCTCACGCACACACTCTCACGCACGCACACACTCTCACGCACGCACTCTCACGCACTCTCACGCACACACACTCACGCACACACACACACGCACACACTCTCACGCACGCACTCTCACGCACGCACTCTCACGCACACACTCTCACGCACACACTCACGCACACACACTCACGCACGCACGCACTCTCACGCACGCACTCTCACGCACGCACTCTCACGCACGCACGCACTCTCACGCACGCACTCTCACGCACTCTCACGCACTCTCACGCACACACTCTCACGCACTCTCATGCACACTCACGCACTCTCACGCACACACGCACGCTCACGCACACACTCTCACGCACACACACACACTCTCACGCACACACTCTCACGCACACACGCACGCTCACGCACGAACTCTCATGCACGCACTCTCACGCACGCACACTCACGCACGCACGCACTCTCACGCACGCACTCTCACGCACGCACGCACTCTCACGCACGCACTCTCACGCACGCACACTCACGCACGCACACTCTCACGCACACACACTCACGCACTCTCACGCACGCACTCTCACGCACGCACACTCACGCACACACTCACGCACACTCACGCACGCACTCATCCACGTACTCACACACGCACTCACGCACGCACACTCACGCACACACTCACGCACGCACTCTCACGCACGCACTCACGCACGCACTCACGCACGCTTGCTGACATGCACACTCACAAATACACACACGCACTCGCGCGCGCACTCGTGCACGCACTTACTCGCTCACGCACTCACGCATTCACACATGCACGTTCGTGCACGCACTCATGCATGCACTCACGCATTCACTTATGCACTCAGGCACGAAAAACACACACTCATGCACGAACACACATCCACGCACGCACTCACGCGCTCACCCATGCACTCATACATACACGCGTGCACATAAGTACGAAAGTATGCGCGCACACACGTACATTGGCAGCCTTAACAGGCGCTCGCTAACATAACAGCACTTGGCCCAAAAGCCTACACAGCTTGGTAGTGAATGCAATTCTGCCCGGTGCTACAGATCGCAAACATGTCGGGCTGGCGGCTGCTGATGGGCAGTGGGGGCGGCGGAGAGGAGAGCGTGCAGGTGAAGCACGATGAGACGGCGCAGAGAGCGGAGGCCACTCTGAGCAAGCGGCTCGTGGACGCCGAGCTGGAGCTGTACTGGGCAGCGCCGCACGCCTACCTGGGCGACCAGGTGAGTCCCGCTCGTTCGTCAACAGCTCCAGCGGCATCCAATACACCCTGACGCTGCCCCGGTAACGACGTTGCTTTTGTGCCCAGTGCCGCAATGTGCCGTCGTTTGCCCCGCCCGTCCACAGCTGTCATCGTACGGAGGGGAGCTGAGCTTCCGGGTGCGTGCCTCTGGGGGTCAGGACGGACATCGAACTCCACCCGGTGACCACCAGCAGCCCGACCTCATCCTGCGGGTGGGTGTGGAGGAACCCTCCTCCCCAGATCAGACCACCTCGAGTCGGCTCATGTTATGAACAGTCATTCCTCGTTGAACGTGATAGATGGGCGCCATGGTGACGAGATGTTAACTACGTCACCTGGTATGCAGGAGGTTGTGGATTCGATCCCGACCCTGACGCCCGTTATATATTTTGGTTTTTGCATGCCGCGTGGATTTTTGTCCGGGTCCTCCGGTTTTTCCATCCATATCCAGAATCAACATCACGCATCTAGAGTATTTGGCTGCTACAAATCTCCACGTGATGAGCCACTTCGTTGAGCTATCATTTGTGGCCAGGTTGCTTCTGAAAGATAGCTCAATAGCTCAGTGGTAAAAATAGAAATAGTCACTAAAAATGTGTTCCTGAAGAGTGCCAGGTGAAGTAAAAATGCGTTTACAGGGGATAAATAAACACAGAACAACACAAACTTCAATCACGTTTGCGCTATAAAATGAGCCTGCAGTCATCCCACGGCGGGACAAAGAACTGAGATGAGCATCTACATCATTAGACCTCCTTTGCCAGTACCAAAATGTAATAATAAGGGTTTTCCCCTTTTTCTGGCAACAAAACTGAAACCTTTTTACAAGGATTCATGTCTGCATTAACCACAATACCTGCAGTCAAAATGCAAACAAAAAACACACTATGATAATGTATGCATTGTCCTTGAAACTCATTGGTCCACACCAGACATGAATCCTTGTAAAAAGGTTTCAGTTGTGTTGCCAGAAAAAAGGGGAAAAACCCTATTATTACATTTTGGTACTGGCAAAGGAGGTCTAATGATGTAAATGCTCACCCCGAGCCCTCATTACTTTGATAGTGCATTGTCTTTGAGCTGTACGCCTTTTGGCGTCATGTGGCCGAGCACCAATTTGGTCGAGGCTCAAAAGAAAGCTGTCCCTTGGTGTGGACCAATCAGTTTCAAGGACAATGCATATATTATCATAGTATGCTTTTTGTTTGCATTTTGACTGCAGGTATTGTGGTTAATGCAGAAATGAATCCTTGTAAAAAGGTTTCAGTTGTGTTGCCAGAAAAAAGGGGAAAAACCCTATTATTATAAACTGAGATGAGGTTACGCCGCCGCCGCGCTCCGTATCATTCCACGCGCATAACCAAAATTCCCAAACCACTCAGCCGCATCGCTCAATAAAGTAGTTCGTCGTCGAGCGCTCAGTTCCGCGCCGTGCGAAAAGCGTTCTCGAGTAGGAGAACCGTGCCATGGCGACGAACGCGTCGCGCGAACGCGCACGTTCGGCGAGGGCTTGCCGGACTCCGCGGGGAGGAGGTGTACGTGCGTTCCCGTCACCCGCCGTGTTGCCGCGTGCCTGCAGGGAAGCCACATGAGCTTGATCCATCGCGCCGAGCGGCAGCCGGTCGTGGGAGAGACATTCCACGGCTCCGTGCGACTCCTGGAGGTGCGTGGACCATGATGGCTGTTCTTGCGCTGTGCGGGACCATGTGTGTGTGTGTTCAGGTGTATCTGTGTGTGGAAACTCGTGTATTGTTCTGTGTGTTGTTCTGTGTGTTCAAGTGGCTTTTTCTGTGCAGACTCATGTGTGTGTGTGTGTTCAGGTGTATCTGTGTGTGGAAACTCGTGTATTGTTCTGTGTGTTCAGGTGGCTTTTTCTGTGCAGACTCATGTGTGTGTGCTGCGGTTTATATGGGTATTCTTTAGTGCTGGTGTTTCTGTCTGTTCAGCCATGTCTGGATATTTGTGTGTGTGTTTTTAGATGCGTCAATATTATGCATGCGTGTTTATGTGTCTTGGGTTTTTGTGTTCGTCTGTGTGTAAAAATAAATAATGATGCCCTTCATTCCTTTTAAGTACCCAGGAAAGCGTCGCTGAGTAACAAGGCTCTTTTTCAGGAGGGTCCTGCTACATTCGGATATTTTTACCAATTTCATGAATGAACATTTAGCGTATTTTTGTGTTTAGCATAGGCCACTTCGTTGCGCTATCATTTGTGGCCAGGTTGCTTCTGAAACAGCTATAGAGCTCAGGGCGGCCTTACCTGGTAAAATAAAAAAGAGTGTAGTAGTAAATAGTTTAGTAGTTACATGAGGTGGAGACTGCGGTACTCAGAGGAAAGCCATCCATAAGAGGGGTCCAGATACCTTCCATTGCTCTACTGCCACGTCACAGCCCAAGCCTATAACACCTGGCATTCTTATCTCATCTCGTAATACATTTATATAGTGCAGTCAATAAGCTATGGTGCAAGATGGTTGGGGAGATGAAACGAGATGATTGGATGGCATATACGTCAAATCACGTGACGACGCGTGGGATAAATGAAGACTGAAACGAGAAGAGTGGATCAATGATCGATGGCTCCCATCGAAGAACGAACCAGGCGTAAACCTGACGCTGTTCCCGTGCTCTTCAGGGCGGCTTCCAGCACGACGCTAGCGGGCGCCCCGCGTCGCGCGAGGAGCTCGCCATGGTGCTGCAGGACCTGCAGGCGCTGCTGCTGCGCGGCCGCACCGGCCCCGGGCCCTCCCGACTCACCCTCTCGCACGTCGTCATGGAGACGGCCTCCGCGAACGTGTCCGGACCGCTCGCGCGGGGCGTTGAGCGGTGCCTGTGCCCCGCGAGCTACCGGGGAGGTTCCTGTCAGGTGCGTGTGGCGGACAGGCTGGCGTGAAGGGTCGTGGTTGAGCGTTCGCGGGTCACGGTTTAGGGTGAAGGGTTTACGTGTCACATCCGGGAGTTAAGTTCATGTGTCAGGGTTAGGGCAAAGGGTTATGGTGGCAGGGTTCATCGTTTAGGGTTAGAGTTAAGTGGTAGGGTTAGCGTTCATGTGTTAGGGTTTTAAGGTTAGCGTTAAGGAGTTCATCTGTCAGGATTAAGATGAACGCCTTTGTGATTAGGGTTAGGGTGCAGGCCTTACATGTGAGGGTTAGAAAAGGTATACTTCCACGAGCAGGACGAGTGATAGGGTTTGTGTGTCAGTGGCCAGAGTGAATTTGTCTGCTTAGATGAAGGATTACGGGTCAAATGTGAGTGACTGTAAGTTGTCTTGGAACAGGGTTAAGGTTACTGTTGTTATGTTTTAGTTAGTGATAATGCACAGCCTATGTGTGAGGGATAGTGATGGTGTAATGGTGGGGAGCAGTAGTGCAGTGATTAGCGCACTGCGCTACGAACCCGGCATACCGAGTTTCATTCCCGTTGATGCCCAATTACAGTGGCGAGCAATTGTAACGGTCCTGGGCCTCCCCTAGGTTGACTCAGCCTTCAATAAGTATCTGGTGTGGTGTGTAAACATCAGCACTGGCGAGACAGTTTAGCCGGGCATGGTGCTGGCCATTGACTCCCTCGTGTGCTGTGTCGGCCTCCATAGGTGCTCGCTAAGAGCACTTGTCCCAAAAGTAGAATAGAGGTTATACGGGGGATCTTTGTCTTTATGGTTGCATTAGCAATGTGCTTCATAAGTTCGGCGTAGTGGTATAATATATCAGGGCTAGTGCTTATGTCCTCCAGTGAATCTCTCGGCCGAGTCTTCGTCTATGCCAGGGGTCGGCAGGCAAAATAACAAGAAGGGTAAATTTTTGGGGAATTTGGTCAAAAGCTCAATATTTCAGGAGCCGCAATGCACTGTGTGGTGACTGCGAGACGGTGGGGTCCTTAATAAAGAACGTGTCACGAAGCAGCCCTGCAAGAGTGCGGCTCCGGAGCCGCAGGTCGCCGACCCCTGGGTTGGCTTCAGGGTTGCGGCCCCTGGAGGAGAACTCACATCTCCTGGTGCCCCCCCCCTCTTGTACCCCCCCCCCCCCCGCCACAGGAGTGTGCCCGCGGGCACTACCGCGACAGCCGAGGCTCCTTCTTGGGCCGGTGCCTCCCGTGTGACTGCAATGGCCACTCGGACGAGTGTCAGGACGAGACGGGCGTCTGCATCGTGAGTGCCGCCGCCGCCGCAGCAGCGGCCAGCGGCGTCCCTCGGCTAACAGACCGCGGCACGGAGGGCGAGGCCTGGCTCTCCCTGCCACCCCCCACCCCCCACACCCCTAACCCAATGCTCCTCCACTCCGCCCTTAAGGAAAATCAAGGCACCTCATGTAGCTACGACAATTGAGAGTCGCTCGTATCCTATAGTGGCCCTGAGCCATCACATGAAGGTCCATGATCCTGCGGCGAGAGTCAACTTCTCGACGAATTGTCACAAATGCAATGCCTTGATTCGATTTTATTAATTCAGACTTTTCCTTGTCTCACTTTTCCCATCGCATTTATATTGTTCATACGGTTTTGTACAACTCATTAATGGTAAATAACCGATTCTCATGCATACACACACAATTCAATGCATGTATAATGATAACAATAATATAATTGTATATACCGTCATTCATGCAATAAATCGATGAATCGATGCACCATTACTTGCTTGGGAAATAGCACAGCCTCGATTGTCATCCTGACGAATTGGCTAAACCGTCGCTTGGTGAATTGCCTCGTTTGTTAGTTGTGGAGACATTTGCAAAAAAATTGCTATAAGAAAATCAGACGAAGAGGGGTATCGTAAATCATTGCCTCATATCAGTCGGAAGTCTGTCCTACCACCAACAGAGGCTGAGAAGCGAATGCCCACTTGGTAGAGAAATAATCTATTCCTACACGCACGATCGCACGTCTGTATCGTGATGGTAAGAACCGGTTTAATTCGCCGAATCACTGCATTGTTGCACGCCTAGTGGCCCTGCCGCGATGGCACGTTAGTGTGTGTGTGTGTGCATCTCGGCCTGTCTGACACGCGCACGCCGCGCTGCGCTGTGTTATTCTGCGTGTGAGCAGCACTGCGATCACAACACGCGCGGGGATCACTGCGAGCTGTGCCGGGAAGGCTGCCTGCCCCGCGACGTGCAGGGCGACGAGCCCAGCAGCCAGTGCTTCCCCTGCCCCTGTCCCATGACCATCCGCTCCAACCAGTGAGACTCGCGCACACACACGCACACGCACGCACGCACACACCGTTGACACACAGACACACACCAACCAGTGAGACTTGCGTGCACACACGCACGCATGCACACACCGTTGACACACAGACACACGCCAACCAGTGAGACTCGCGCATGCACGCACACACGCACGCACGCACACACCGTTCACACACAGACACACACCAACCAGTGAGACTTGCGTGCAAACACGCACACACACACACACACCAACCATTGACACACACGCACAAAGTCGATCGGGCGTGGTGCTGGCCACCCATCCCCTCGTGTGCCATGACGGCCCTCCATAGGTGCTGCTCGCTAACAGCACTTGCTGATCGACGTTGCTGATCTCGTCAAGGAGCGTAAACCATCACGCACACTCAGGCCATCCATGCAGCGGCTTTTGGCCGAGCGTCGCACAAAGACGGTGACCGCGTCGCATGCTCTCAGATGCGCTCCTGCGGCAGCCACTGGAGCTGTGCACCTTTAAATCTAAAATTTCTTTAGAATTGATTGATGTGTTTAGTTTGTTGTCTTCCCCCCAGCGCGGTTGGCTACGTACGGTGCGAAACAAGTTTGACGTGCGTACATACATACTTGCCCCAACATGCTGCTGAGGCCGTAATGGGGATCTTTTGTCCTTTGTACGTACACACAGCTTTGCCATCGGCTGCGTGCAGAAGCCAGAGGGCCTGGAGTGTCTGTGCCGTGAGGGCTACGAGGGCAAGAACTGCGAGAGGTGGGTCTCCCGGCGGGCACTGCCATCGCCTCGTCGCTCCGTCGCGTCCCCCGTCTGATTGCACTGCCCTCCGACGGTCAACGCGGCTGGCGCAGCTGGTGATGTGCAGCTGCAGCCCTTGAGATGAGGATCATCGTCGTCATTGTTCTGCGTGGTGAAAAATGAAGGGCAGCAAAAGAGGGATTTTCTCTTCTGAATGCCTACAATAGAATTGTGGTTCAGAAAAAAAATTCACCCCGTCCATAACACAGGCTGATGCCGCCGTCTGCATAGAAATTAAATACACTTTGTCAGTCTTGAGTTTGCTCACAGACAACGTTTCCCATCGCTCCCCACAAGAGAGGCCCTTATATATGAATATCTGTTTGATTTTATTGCTACGTGCTAGGGTAGCTGCGATGTCGTTTTTCGCCGTATAGTACAACGCAATGCAATATTATCTTACAATAAGTCCCGATACGAGTTTCCGTTAACTTTGCAAATACACTTTGCACGTTTCCCGTCTGGATTTTGTGCTTTGATGCTCATCGGCTGCGGTTCACTCGACGCGAGCCTGACGTCAGCCTTCGCACCATCGCCACTTTACGCTGAGCCTAAACAAAACGCGACGCCAGCAACAAAAGGCACCAGGCTAGGAGATGTTAACTACCTCGCCTGGTATACAGGAGGTCGTGGGTTCGATCCCAACCTGACGATGCCTGCTGTGTATTTGGAGTTTGCGTGTCTCTCTCTCTCTCATCATCATCATCACGGTGGCTAGGAGATGTTAATTACCTCGCCTGGTATACAGGAGGTCGTGGGTTCGATCCCGACCCTAATGATGCCTGCTGTGTATTTGGAGTTTGCGTGTCTCTCTCTCTCTCATCATCATCATCACGGTGGCTAGGATATGTTAATTACCTCGCCTGGTATACAGGAGGTCGTAGGTTCGATCCCGACCCTAACGATGCCTGCTGTGTATTTGGAGTTTGTGTGTCTCTCTCTCTCATCATCATCACGGTGGCTAGGAGATGTTAACTACCTCGCCTGGTATACAGGAGGTCGTGGGTTCGATCCCGACCCTAACGATGCCTACTGTGTATATGGAGTTTGCGTGTCTCTCTCTCTCTCATCATCATCACGGTGGCTAGGAGATGTTAACTACCTCGCCTGGTATACAGGAGGTCGTGGGTTCGATCCCGACCCTAACGATGCCTACTGTGTATATGGAGTTTGCGTGTCTCTCTCTCTCTCATCATCATCACGGTGGCTAGGAGATGTTAACTACCTCGCCTGGTATACAGGAGGTCGTGGGTTCGATTCCGAACCTGACACCTGCCGTATATTTGAAGATTTTTCTCTGGGTCCTCTGCTTTTTTCCCCTCCACATTTAGAATCAACATCACGCGTTTAGAGGATTTGACTGCTATACATTTCCACACGATGATACGCTACTTTGTTGAGCTATCATTAGTGACCAGGTAGCTTCTCAAAACAACAACTACACAGCTTAGTGGGCCTTACCTGGTAAAATAAAAACATATTTAGTTTAGTTTGAGCAGGGAGGAACTTTGTCCCAGATTCACGGTCATGATTCGCTTCGCTGTTGTTTTTTTTATTCTGAAAAAACGTGGGATTCAGGTGGTAAAATAAGCAAAAACATAATATATGCATTGTCTTTGAAACTGATTGGCCGACATTTGTGACCAGGTCTCCTCTGAAGAAGAGACTTGCACAGCTCATGGTTCAAAACAAAAAATATATAATCTAGATTAGAAGCTTTCGTGACTGCAGGATTGCATACTCTTAGGTTCTTTCGGTAAAGTCACGTAGATAGGAAAACATTATATATATTAAAAAAAAGAAAGCTTAATAGTTATTTTTTTTAACAAAGTTTCATAACTCGTGGGGTCCCAACAGGTGCGCGCCGGGCTACTTCGGCAACCCGATGGTGATCGGCAGCGAGTGCAAGGCCTGCCAGTGCAACGGCAACGCGGCGGACGACGGCGGCGGCCCCGGCGTGCCGGGCAGCTCGTGTGACCCCGTGACCGGCCGGTGCCACGAGTGCCGGCACCACACGGCCGGCCCGCGCTGCCAGGACTGCGAGCAGGGTTATTACGGCGACGCCGTCTTCGCCAACAACTGCACGGGTAGGCGGGGGGGCGGCGGTTGGCCGCGTACGGTGTGAAAGAAGTTTGACGTAGACGCGTGACGGTGGCTTGGGTGAGACGTCCTGGAGTGACGGTTGCGGCGACGGTGCGGTCCCTTGTCGCGTGTCCGTGCGCAGCTTGCCGCTGCGACAAGTGCGGCATGAAGGGATGCGACGGCAGGAGTGGGAAGTGCATCTGCAAGCTTGGGGTCATGGGTCACTCCTGCAGCACCTGTGAGGTACGAGGGCCAACGTCACGCTCGGCTGGGTGGGTAGCTGGAGGCGACGAGAACAGACGTGGGAGCATGCAAGTGCAGTACGACAACTGCCCCTAACCCGGTTTTGCATGGTGGTCGCCCATCCAACCACTCTCCAGGCTCCATCCTGCTTAGCTTCCGAGACCGGGCGCATTCCGTGTGATTTGGTGATAAGCGCACTCTGCATGCACGTCTGAACGATTCTCTCTGTTTGCGTCCATGGTGGTGAGCCACTCCGTAGGCATGAGTATTTGGTGATCTGAGCCAAGTGTGTGCACGTGTGGGCAGGGGTGGCATAGTGATTAGCGCACTGCGCTGTGAATCCGGCAACCTGAGTTCGATTCCCAGCCACAGCCAACACCAGCGGCGTATATCCGAACCGGTCCTGAGCCTCCCCTAGATCGACTCAGCCTTAAGTGATAACCTACCACGGAGTGTAAACATCCGGCAATTGTGCTGGCCAAACCACCCTCTCGTGTGCCATGCCGGCACTAACAGGTGATCCCTCGCAGCACTCGTCAAGGTGCATCAACCGTCACCACCCAAACTCCGGTCGTCATCCTCGCAGCAGCGGCTTTTGGCTGGCCATCGAACAAAGACGGTTACCGCATCACGCTCTTTCAGATGCGCTTTTGCGGCCGTCTGGAACGCTCTTCCTTCCGATATTAGGAAGCCACTGGAGCTACTTACTATTAAATCGTCCAGATTGAAAACCCCTTTATTTAGAACTGCTTTTTGTGTAGGAGTTTGTTCTTTCCCCGCACCTCCGATGAGCACGGTTGGCTACGTATGGTGCGAAAGAAGTTCAACATACACACAAGAGATAGATGATGATGATGAATGGACTAACCACAGCTCGCTCTTAGCAGGCATTAAATGGGTCCCCCGCGCGGCGTGTTGACGCATGAACATTCAAGACACGTTATACTTGCCCCAACACTCTGTATGGCTATGCGACAATCTGAGCGGTGCGCGTGTGTGTGTGCGTGTCCCTTGCAGCCGGGCTACTACGGCTTCGACTCGTGCAAGGGCTGCGAGCCGTGCGAGTGCGCCGTCGCGGCCCTGGGCTCGCAGTGCGACCCGCGCTCGGGACGGTGCCGGTGCCCGCCCAGCGTGACGGGCCGGCGCTGCGAGCTCTGCCAGCCCGGCTACTGGAACTACGGCCCCAACGGATGCCAGCGTGAGTTGTGGCGCTGGCACCCATCCTGGCACAGAAGACAACGTTTAAAGGTCTCCCCCGTGTGGCCGAAACGGACTTTGTGGTGGCACGTGCCGTGGGCGAGCACCTAGTGAAGGCCGGCACACGAGGGGGTGGGTGGTACCACGCCCGGCCGCCTTTGTGTCCCCAGTGGCGATGTTTACTACACGCCGCACCAGGTACTCATTTGACGCTGAGTCGACCTAGGGGAAGGCTCAGGACAGGTTCAGACAATCGTCACCGGTGTTGGCCGTGAGCGGGAATCGAACTCGGTGTCACCGGGTTTCGTAGCGCAGCGCGCTCAACGCTGCGCTACCCACACACAGAGGCACGGACGGGTTCAACGTTCGCAGCCACGTGCTGGGCTTGCTGTGCAGTGCACAGTGCACAGTGCAGGGCTGCGTTGTGGCCTGCAGAGGGCGGTGCAGCAACGCCCATTGCTGTTCTCGACCTCTCTGTGTCTGCGCTCCCACGCCTCTTCTACCCCCCGCCTTCACCAACACGCGCTGACCAACGCGGGGAAGTATGGCCAAATAACCCCACCACGACCGGCACGGAGTGGGCAGGCCCCCCATCCACCAGTGTATTGACACAAGGGCTGTACCTGTCCAGTATATGCACAGTGCTGTGTTTGTTTGGTGTGCTTTAGGATGCGTGCGACGTGAACGGCGCAGCTGAGGTTCTGCAGTCGGGAAAAAACCGACGTGGGTGCCTCGTGAGCCGCACTGGGCTGGCTCTGCCCAGCGATGCGTGTCGCGTGTGTGCCTGCGCGTGTCCGTGCATGTGCGTTTGCGTGTGTGGGCAGCGGAGGCGTAGCGGTTAGCGCGCCGCGCTACAAAGCCGATGACCCGGGTTCGATTCTCGCTCGCGGTCAACAGCGGAGACAATTATTTGAACCGGTGCTGGGTCTCCCTTAGGTCGACTCAGTACCTACAAATGAGTACCGGGGGGTGGTGTGTAAAAAACATCGTCACTGGGGAGACAAAGGCGGCCGGGCGTGGTGCTGGCCACCCACGCCCTCGTGTGCCGTGCCGGGCCTTCATATGCACGTTGAACTTCTTTCGCACCGTGCGTAGCCAACCGTGCTAATCGGAGGTGCTCGCCAACAGCCCTTGCCCCAACAATTCTGTCGAGGCTACACAGGGGATCTTTGTCTTCGTTGTTGTGCGCGACACGCAGGCTGCGAGTGCACGACGGGCTCGTGCGACCCGCATTCGGGACGGTGCAGCTGCAAGGGCGGCGTGAGTGGCGAGCAGTGCGATCAGTGCAGCAGCCCTCTGGAAGTGCCGGTGCTCACAGCGGACGGCACCATGCAGTGCGACAGTAAGGAGGCCGTGGGTGGCATTGCACCCCTCTGATGCGTTAGAATTCTCTCCCACGTGATTGGCCGCACGGCCCGCTGCATCCCTCTCCTCCTCAGGACCTCACCGAGGACTTTCCGAATCGCATTCTCCCCAATTTTCCCAACTTATCACGCTGCCACTTTTCACTCTTGAGGATCTAAAACGTGAATAATACAGGGCCACTCGCACAAGGCCTCACAGCGCTTTGCACAGAATAACCCGACCCTTATCAAACGCTTAACAGATAATACTGAATAAAACCCTTAACAAAGAAAATTAATTGGAATTCAAAAGAATAAACGCAATGTAAAAGGCGCATAATGTACACAGGCGGGTATGCAGGTGAAAACAAACATGATTTAAGACGGAACCTTAAAGACTCAACTCCCTCAGACTCCCTAAAAACCTGGGGAAGAGTGTTCCACAGGCTTCTCTGCAGATTTTCAACTCTCTCCCCTCTTCCCCCTGGTTGCTAATTAAAACCATTAACTCGCGTTGCAGTGCATTCTGCATTCACCACGGTTAACATCGGTGGGGGAATCTCTCAACCGGTCCGGACCCTCTTCTACATCGACTCGGCCTTAAATGAGTACCCGCCATTTTGTGTAAACCTCAACCCTGGGGAGACAAAGGCAGCCGGGATGAGGTTCCGGCCACAAAATCCTTTCCCTCCATGCACCCTTTCCGGCCTCGATAGGTCCTCGCTATACGCCACTTCCGATCGACGCGGCTGGCTTCGTACGGCCCGACAGCGGTTCAACATACGCGCAGCACATGACAGCGCTCGCCCCGACATTTGGTTGAAGGTTACGCGGGGGGGACGCGTGCCGCCCCTTTCTCTGCGCGCTCACCGCAGTGTGCGACGGCTGCGTGCTCACCCTGCTCAACGACATGGACGGCGCCGGCAAGTCGCTGTCCGACATCAAGAACATCCTCAAGGGCGTGAGCATCAGCACCGTCACAACCGTGCGCCTCAGCAAGCTCAACTCCTCCCTCCTGCAGGCGCAGGTAGGGCGGGCCACGACGTGCGGTGTGTCATCATCGGCAACGTCACAGTCGGCGTCGGCCGTGATCGATCCACTGCTGGGTGAAGGGTTTTTCCCCGAGCCGTCTCTATGAAGCTCCACGTGGTGATAAGCCGCTTCGTGGAGCTCTTGGACCTTGTTTTTGGTCAGTATCAAAGTATGAAAAATAAGAATAGGTTTTACCCTTTCTGGAAATGAAACAGTTGTTAAGATGTTAAAACACCAACTAGATAACTTTTGCAAGGAATCAACCACACTTACCTATGGTCAAATATGCAAACAAACGTGCTCTGATAATATATGCATTTACTTTGAGACTGATTGGCCTCCATAGTATTATTTTCGTCCAGGTTGCAAAAGAGCATTATTGTATAGCTCAGTGGGCCTTACTTGGTAAAATAAAAAACATCGTTTAGTTTGAATACACCCATCTTAATTGAAAGAGCAGTCTGCGCCGGATCAACGCGTTATGTATCTCATTGCTCCAATGCAGAAAGACCTGTCGCGCTACAAGAAGTCTGTCACCGACCAGAAGAAGAAGGTGGACGTGATGGAGACCGACACAATGGACTTCCAGATGGACATCAACGTCCTGCAGGAGCAGGTAACACCGATCGTCCCGCCCAATCCGTCGGGATAAGCTTAAGAAGTCACCCGCGAACGTGGGAAACTCGCGAATCCAGAACTCGCGCATCGCGAGTGTTTACCTGCGTACGTTTGTTTGACTCGACCCTGACCGACGGGCGGGTGGGGATGTTGCCCGCTGCCAGGTGGACAGCGGCACGCGGCGCGTGAAGGCCCTGGAGGCGTCGCTCGAGCGCACGCACAAGCGCGGCGGCGGCGTCAGCAGGACCGTGGACAGCGTCGTGCGCTTCATCCAGGGTGGGTTCCGCAACCGCCGCCCTCGCCCCGCCCGGCAAAATTTCGGCACGGGCCGGCGACTCGCCGGCCAGTGCTCGCCGGCGACTCGCCGAGAGATGCGGTCGTTCGCTCCTGGTTGGCTGCGGTCTGCGGGGGGGTGCCGGGACTCATTGATATCCTATGGGTTGATCCCGTGTCTTTTGGCTCGCCATCGCAGCGGCTTTTGGTATGGCCATCGAACAAAGATGCTCACTGCGTCACACGCTTTGAGATGCGCTTCTGCGGCCGTCTGGAACGCTCTTCCTTCCGATATTAGGAAGCCACTGGAGCTATGCACTTTCAGATCTCGATTGAAAACTAATTTCTTTAAATCCGATATTTGTGTTTCGTTTGTTGTCCTTCTTCTGCACCTCCGTTTAGCGCTGTTGGCTATGTAGAGTGCGAAAGAAGTTCAACATACATACAACTTATTATAAGCACCATAGGCGACCGATGTGTGCGATTGTCCTAAGAGTCGTAAGGCATTGTTGATGCGTGTGGTTGTTGATGTTGTGAGTTCCACCATTAGTTTTGTGCTGCTGCTGTGCTTTCACGCATGGCCACTGTCCTGAATTTTCCACGCTACACTCACAACACCCGCGCTGCGTATTCTTCCCAGCACTCTTCTGCCTTCTTGCTTCTCGTTCCTTTTCTCTTGTCTCCCCGTACATCCTGCTTCCGGGGCTTCATCGTCCCTCACTGCTAGTGTTCGCCCACACCCCTGCTCCCGATATTAAAGATCCCTGATTCCCCCCTTATCCCCCCCACCCCCCTTTGCCCATCACCCTCCCCATGCAGAGTTGATCTCGAAGTCCGGCGCAGGGCCCAGTGGGCTGCCCCTCCCTGCCGAGGAGTTCCAGCGGAAGATGGCGGAGGCCGAGTCGCTCGTGCGGGAGATGAGGAACAGGAATTTTGACAAGATGCAAGACGTGGCCGACGAAGAGAAGCGGCTTGCGGAGGATTGTACGTCACGACGCCAGATGTCACCGCACCAGATGTGACCACACCAGATGTGACCACACCAGATGTGACCGCACCAGATGTGACCGCACCAGATGTGACCACACCAGATGTGACCACACCAGATGTGGCAGCACCAGATGTGACCACACCAGATGTGGCAGCACCAGATGCGACCACACCAGATGTGGCGGCACTAGATGTTACCGCACCAGATTTGACCGCACCAGATGTTACCGTACCAGATATGGTGGCACCAGATGTGACCGCACCAGATGTGACCGCACCAGATGTGACGGCACTAGATGTTACCGTACCAGATGTGACCGCACCAGATGTGGCGGCACCAGATGTGACCGCACCAGATGTGACCGTACCACATGTACCGGCTTCATATATGCAATACTAGGGCTAAACTGAATATTTTTTGGGTCGCTGGTAGACTGGAGTAGGCACGTGTTGAGCAACCACAACCATGTATGCATGTTGAGCTTATTTCGCACTGTTCTAGCCAACCGTGCGATTTTGTTGGTGCGGGAAAGAGAGGTATGTTGAGCATGATGCGCTGAGTGTTGTGTTTGTTTAAGGACGGAAGCCCTTCGTCCATTACAGGCTTCCTGGCCCATTAAACAGATGCTGCTGCTGATTCCACCACCCTGCCTGCTGCTCTCAGTTTACCATCCACAAACACCACAGTGGGGGCCATTATTTTTCGTGGTTGAAAAAAAAATCAACGAACGATATTTCACATTCATAATTAAACTACGTTTTTCAATTCCACATTTTTTTTCTCCCAAAACTATATTTTCACTTTAACGCTATTTTATCTGATCACTCTATATTCCATCCCGACCCTAATGCCTGTATATTTAGAGTTTGCATGTTCTCCTTGTGGTCGTGTGGATTTTTTGCCAGGTTCTCCACATTTATAATCAACACGCGTTTAGAGTATTCGGCTGCTATAAATTTGCACACGATAAGCCACTTCGTTGCAGCTATCATTTGTGGCCAGGTCGCTTCTGAAAAAGAGCTACATAGCTCAGTGGGCCTTTCCCCGCACGCACCTCCGATTAGCCTCGGCACCTCCAATCACCACGGTCGGCTACATACGGTGGTTTAAAAAAAATACATATTAAGTTACGATTTGTTTCGGTTTTCCCATCGCCGCGCGCAGTGATGAGTCGTGTGCGTAAGGAGTTCTCCAAACCGCTGAAGGACCTGGCGAGCCGGGCCAGCACGGCGCACGACAACCTGGAGAAGTACGACCGCCTCCTGGCCGACCTGCTCGAGTCCATCAACGCCGCGCGCAACCTCACCAACTACGCCAACACCCTCAACAAGGTCAACCAGGCGACCCTTGACCGCAACCAGGTGAGGCCAACGATCGGCGTGCGGTGCTACGCTCGAGCAAGCCGGCAAGATGTTCAGATGGGGGGGGGGGGGGGGGGTGGGGGGGGGGGCCGGGCCGGGCCCGGCCGGGCCAGGCCCTCCCGTTGTTTTGTGTTGGGGAATTTTGACCGCGCAAAAGTCACCGTCGTCGCCGCCGTCTCCGGCGGCGTCGTTACTGTCGCGGTCGTGCGCTGTGATGGCACGTGCTTGTGTAACCGCCGCGGCCGCCCCCGTGTCTTGCGAGCAGCAAAAGGTGAAGGACGTGAGGCAGGCGGCGGGCGAGGCGAACAAGTCCCTCTCCGACGCCGAGAACGTGCTCGGCCAGGCCTACCAGATGATTCAGCTGCTGGAGGCGTCCCGAGTGGTGGGTCACCCGCGCCGCTGTCGCTGCCGCGCCAGCGAGGACGCAGACAGCGTGCCCGTCGAGTTGCTGTGCGTCGCGGAATACCGTTGCCGCGGCAACAATGACCGACCCCTCTCTAGTGGCGCGATTGTTGCGGCTAAGTTGCTCGCAGGGACCGATAAGTGTCGTTTCTTTTAGCGAGTCGCCGTGGGCTCGATAAAACGAAGCCCACGGCCCGCCATCCCCCATCGCTTTGAGCAAGAGGCGCGTTCACACGTGAAATTGCGTTTGTGGGTGGCACGAACCCAGTGCCGCCACACCGCTCCGCCCCGCCGCCTTCTCCCCCCTCAGGCGAGCGTTTGTCCCCCCCCCCCCCCACACACACACACCCCGCGCGCAGGAGTACGAGAAGCTGTCAGCCGAGGTGGACGGAGCCAAGAACCTTCTCCGGGACAAGGTGGAGAAGATGGCGGAGGGCGCGGCGCAGGAGCCGTTGGTGCGGCGAGCGGAGGAGCATGCCAAGCGCCTGCAGGAGCTCGCCGACAACCTCAAGCGGTGCGGTTCTTTTTTTTGTTTACAATCTCACGGCTGCTGAAGTCTAGGACCAAAAGTCCAAGTTCCCATTCGGCCAGCAGAACAACACAAACGTAGATGTGATAGTTAAGCGTTGACACGCTCCTCGTATTTGGTTCGTTGTCCTTCCCTCGCACCCCCAATTAGCGTGGTTGGCTACGTACGGTGTGAAAGAAGTTCAACATACATGCATACAGATAAGAGATGGTGGGAGGGAGTCCCAGACATGAGCAGTGTGAGGGTCAAGAAGCGGGAAGAGAAGCGTTTTGACCTGCAGTGTGGTGGTGGTGGTGTTGCCAAGGCATCTAAGCAAGCCCCCACCTGTACACGCAGTTCCATGTCCCTTCGTACTCGTCCCCAGGCTGCTCAAAGACATCGACCAGAACGAGTACATCCAGAAGGCCATCCTGGCATCCAAGGCCTACGAGGACATCATCAAGGCCCTGAAGGAGACGGAGGAGGCTGCCGACCAGGCGCTACAGGCTGCGCTGAAGGCCGAGCAGGTCAGCGCGTTGTGTCCGTGGTGAATCCGTGCGTTCACAACGCACTCTCGCGACTCCGTGGGGCTGCCTGGTGGACAGCAGGGGACAGTGCGACCTCGTCCATAGTTGTAATGTACTTCTTTGCTCCCTCGTCTTGCTTCTACGTCCTTTTCCATCCCGCCTGTACTGACCAGCGTGCTGGACTGTTGTCTTGGTGTAATTCATGAGAGGATAACAACAAATATTTGTCTTGTTTTATCGTCACCAAGGTGATAGATTTTCACTGCTATGCCGTTGTTTATGTTTGCTTTATATATCCTGTACCCAAGTTGGATGTATTTATGGTAGGTCTGGGCTGAGACATCATGACATAGGAAAGGTCACTGCTCTGAAACGTCACCTGTTATATATGTTTTATGAAGACCACACAGTGTTATATTGAAGAACGTGTTGAGTTTTTTTGGTGTTAGTAATCCTGTATGAGTGGACTCTGTAGGTTCAGTGTCAACTGTGCAATGAAATCTAGCAAATGGAAGGAAGCAGTTGCAAGCCACAGTGGTGGTATCCACCGCAGGAGCTGCGATTACCTTACGAGCAACTGAGCCTACTTGGTCGTCTCATGGGTGGCACCGAGCGAGCCGCCGTTTTCCCAGAAGCCTTTGCAGCCATTGATGTGAAAACCCCTGACCTCAGCTGACCCCTGACCTCTACTGCCTCCCATTTGACAGGACGTGCAGCGGGAGAACCTCCCGAAGAAGGCGGCCGATTCGAAGAAGGCGAGCGAGACACTCAAGAAGGAGATAGAGGACAAACAAGGGACGCTTAAGGGTGAGACCTTGCGGAAGAAGTTCTCTCTCTATGCGAGCATGCGTAGAGAGAGATTAAATAAACTATTAAATTAGAATTGTGCAAATGCAATACATATTTGCACACGTATGCGCGTAGGTACACATACATACACACGTGATCAGCGCTTATAGCTGTGCCCATTGCTTGCCCTCCCCTGCACAGACCTGGATAAGAAGCTGCAGGGAGTCAAGGACACCGTGAACACGGCCAAGGACAAGCTGAAGGCTCTGACGGATGCCCTTCAGCGCGCCAAGCAGGACCTGGCCATGGTGGACCGAGGTAGGGCACAGCCACCACTTGCCACGGCTCGATTTTGTACCAAATGATCAGGGAGTACGAACAAGTGCCCCTTTCTTTACAGGGCAGCGAGATGGATATGCGGATCGAAGCCGTAATAATGAATGTACCTTTGGTGTTCTCAGCATTCTTGTAGCAAGATGCCATCACAAAGGCACTGTGCGTCACAGACGGGTTTAGTCTTCCAGTATGGGGAGATGTTGCTCAGGGGTTTCACCCTATTAGGCCAAATTCGGGAAATTTGGACCATGATGCCATGGCCTACTCTTTATTTTCGAATAACGCCATGGGACCTATGTCTTCCACTGTGAAGCAGAGACCGCGTATTTATAGAGTTAAAATATCCCGTGGTATTAACCAGGGCAGCTTCAGGGTTCGAACCGCCAAACTCTGCAATGCACGTGCCGCTTGGCCGTGTCACCGCCGCAAATACGGCGGAACCAACGGTGAAAAGTGTGCAAAGAATCGTGTGGTAAGAGGTGCGTCATGGAATTCCATTGGGGCACACAGCAGGCATTCAGCAAATGTATAACAACAGGAAGTGGCCCGGTGGCTCAGAGGTCAGATTGCTGACCTCACACCGCCGAGATCCTGGGTTCTAATCCAGGCAGCTGCCTCTGATTAAACCTACTTCTCAAGTGTAGTGAGTTGATGGCTTAAGCCCAGTCACCATTGACTACAAAAACACCATCACGTTAAATTAGGTAACGCACCTAATTTGGCTTAACACCAGCCCTGAACATTTTTTTAATATTATTTCAACTTTCAGACTACAAACATTACTCTCCATAGTAGAGTGGGTTTCACAATGATGCCCTCTTCTGGTGTGGACCAGAGAACACTTGAAGGGATCTCAGAGGCACTTTTGTGATATCCGCATCCATGGGTTTGCAAGTGCTCCAAATTACAACTTGGTCTCATGACAAACAGGACAAAATTGCGTAGAGGAGACCAAATATTCCTTTCACCAAAAGTACTTCATTGAAAAAAATAAAACGAGGTGAAGGTACGACGGCATCATACAGCCAGACGGGGATGGGTGAGGGAACGCGAGGGGTGAAGCACAATGGAGTAACACCAACGAGCGAGATAGGGGGTCCCACGCAGTTGGTTGAACATTATCGGGGAGGGGGGGGGGGGTGGGCACACACACGCGGTGGAGGGGTGTCCAGATATTTGTTCCAAACGAACCAACCGCCTCGCAGGGAACATTGACGAGGTGCTCCGCAAGGCCAAGGAGGACGCGCAGGCCGCGGGCGACCTGGCCGTGAGCACGGAGAACGAGGCCAACAGCATCCTCGAGGAGGCGAAGAAGCTGGCCGAAAAGATCAAAAGCGGCGCCGTCGACAGCCAGGGCTTCCAGCTCGCTTTCACCGAGGCCACCAAGAAGGGTGAGTCGCCGCGGCGTGGCCGGGTTGTGCCGGGCGCTGCCCCCCGCGGCGATTTTTAGGGCAGTCGTCAACGGCGATGGTCGCCCAGTGAAAACTTTTAGCCGCTTCGAAATCTAAACAAATCTGGCCGCGGGTCTCCCTCGCGGGAAAACTGGGACAGGAACTTCCAGTGAGATCGCATCCATAGAGAGAGAGAGAGTTATACTGGATGTGGTGTCGTTGGTGGCGAAATATTTCGTGGGCAGCCGACTCGGACTGACCCGGCTGAATGGAGCCTTGATTAAAGAATCCTCCCTGAACTGGAATCTCGAGCCGCCGCTGGCGGCGACGTGAGCCAGCACAGTGTAGGTCAAAGGTAAAGATAAAAGCTCAGCCCTGCAATTTTTTTCTCTCACGCCGCTGGAGAGCCCCCCTACGAAGCCCCTTTCAGGGGGTATTTTGGCCTACTCTTTCACCCTGGCTCTGCGTCTTGAAAGAGGTGGGGAGCACCCACGCTTTATCCTTCCACGTGCAACCTGTGACTCAACGGACAAATAAGTCGACACGTGCTTCAAGAAAACTGGCTTAACAATACTGTATATACATAACACGTAGAGAGGCCAGAGAGCACACAGAGGGGCCAGAGATATAAAGGCGCTGGCCTCTCCATGTACCGTTTAGAAAGTCGATTTCCCAAAACATCGGCTATTTAATTATCTTTTCTGTTGTTGCCATAGTGTTATTGACGAATGTATTGAGTTGATTATTATTATTATTATTGTTATTTGTGCTCGTGCACCAGTGCCAACTCAGCAGCATCACCAAATCTTTCGTCAACAAGCTGTGGCTTACCCTTGTAATGCTGTTGGGTGGACAGGGAGGCGAAGGGCATTTTAAAGACACTTGCGCCATTGTTTCAACTACCGCGCCGGGAGATCGAACCGGAGACCGAGACACCGCGGCAGTGTCCGATGTTCCGTTCGAGTTGATGTCAACGTTTCTGAGGAAGCCACCGGAGCTGCACACTTTTAAATCATCTCGATTGATAACTCATCTCTTTTCGATAACTGCTTGTTCCATGATGTAACTGCTTGTCGTTGCGTTCAGTGTTGTCGTCCGTCCCCCGCACCTCCGATTAGCACAGTTGGCTACGTACGGTGCGAAATAAGTTCAACATACATACACTATACACTACAGTGCACAATACACTATACACTACATACTACACCAGGGGTCGGGAACCTTTTTGACTAAGAGAGCCATGAAAGCAAAAAATTTGGAAATTTATTTCATTGAGAGCCATATAATATATTTTAAAAGTGAATTCAACTAAATGTCAGTATAATAAGCCTCTGAATTTATTCTTTTAAATAATGTTGTTATAACACTCACCATTAATGCGACTTCTGGTGCTGCATGGATTTGCTGATGTCTTTGTAGTCGGGTTGGTACTTTGTAGTCGGGTTGGTACTTGGTGAGGTTAAGCTTCATGCAAGCGTTGAGGCTTTCATCCGTTAAACGTGATCGTAGGTTGGACTTGATGTTTTTAAGATGTGAGAATGACTGCTCACATGCATACGTAGATCCAAACATGGTCAATACAGCAATACTCACACGCTGCAGTGTGTGGTATGTGACAGGAAGCGCGTTCCAAGTTTTGAGAATCAGCTGGTCTTCGGGTTGGAGTTTTTTCATTTCTGTCCACATGTGCTTGCTCGCCAACTCCGCTTTCTGTCGTGTGATTCTTTCTAAATCTTCATTCAGTGACTTGAACTTATTCACCCACATGTCTGAGGCCTTCAGGTCAGCCACTTCTGCTTCAAAATCTCTGACGGAGACACCAGGGATGTAATTCAGGTCGGCTGTGTTCAGTGAACACTCGTTTGGATGGGTGATGAACTTAAAAAGACGAGTGTGCTCACGAAATTCTCCAAAGCGTGCTTTGAAGGACTGTAGGAGACTGGATGTGCAGCCAGCTAGCTGGTGGAGATCAAGGTTTTGAATGGGCTCACTTGCTGTGCATGCATCTTTAAATTGGCTCAGTTTTTCAAAATGTAGTAAACGACCTGTTTCAAGATCCGTGATGAAAAGCTCCAGCTTGTTTTCAAAAGCAAATACAGCTTGTTGAAGGGATAACACTGTATTTCCAATGCCTTGCATTTTCACGTTGAGCTGGTTCAGATGTTCAGTCAGATCTACGAGATAGTAAAACTTGAGGAGCCACTCGGTGTCGGCTAGCTCAGGATGCCCGACGCCTTTCATTTCAAGGAAAGTCCGGATTTCGTTCAGGCAAGCCGCAAAACGGCTAAGCACCTTCCCTCTTGACAACCAACGCACATTGCTGTGCAAAAGCAGACCAGGATAGTTATTTACAACTTCATCCAGCAGTGTTTTAAACTGGCGATCATTTAAGGCTCGGGCAACAATAAAGTTGATCACACGAATGACCAGCGACATCACTTCGCCAAACTGCCTGTCACACATCTGAGCACAAAGTGCCTCCTGGTGTATAATGCAATGGAAACTTAGGATGGGTCTATTTTCATGTTCACGGAGAAGCGCCACAAATCCTTTGTTTTTCCCCACCATACACGGAGCACCATCAGTACACACTGAGAGAAGTTTATCCATAGGTAGACTTTTTTCTTGAGCAAACTCCATGAAAGACTTGAATAAATCCTCACCTCTTGTGGACCCTTTTAATGGCAGAACAGCAAGACTTTCTTCGCGCAGTGTGTCACCAACAGCATATCTTGCAATCACGCTGAACTGCGACAAATGGCTCACGTCCGTTGACTCATCCAAAGCCAGAGAAAAGAACGGCGCTGCATTTATGTCCTTCACTTGCGTTTCCTCCACTTTGTTTGCCATCACGATGGTACGATCATGAACAGTTCTTGCCGACAGAGGCATGTCTTGTATCCGTTTGATTATCTTGTCTTTGTTCGGAAGATCATCAAAAAGTTCATTGGCTACATCCAGCATGAACGTTTTAGCATACTCGCCATCTGTGAATGGTTTTCCGTTCCTCACTATTGCTAAAGAACCAGCAAAGCTAGCCGAATTATAGTCACCTTGCCGGGTCCATACGCGGAGTTGCTGCTGGCTAGCTTGCACCCTGCTCAGAAGCTCTTGGCACGCTTTCTTTCTGCTGTCTCCCGCAGGGTATTTTGATGCAAAGGTAGCGTGGCGCGTGTCGAAGTGCCGCTTTACATTCGACCGTTTCAACGATGTAATTTTGTCATTGCAAATTAGACACACCGCAGAACCCGCTCTCTCCACAAAGGCAAATTCTTCGGTCCATTCGTCCTGAAATGTACGATACTCGTCGTCTTTTTTTCTTTTCGCCATCTTCTTCGTCGAAGGGTTAGCTTTGAGCTAATGACCGAGCAGACGCAGTCTCAGACTGATTCAAAAGGGGGCGTTTACCTGTTTTACCCAGCAACGGCAAACGTAGGCCAGTATCATCCAATTAAAATAATGGACAATTGCTCCTGCAGCCCTGAACAGGACATGCGCAGTGAAAAATCGATGGATGGATTAAAACAAGTGAGAATATTTTGTTTTATCTGCGAGCCATATGCAATCATCAAAAGAGCCACATCTGGCTCGCGAGCCATAGGTTCCCGACCCCTGTACTACACTATACACAGCACTCATATACACTACACCACTATACACTACACCACCATGCTAAATTGAAAACTAATTTCTTGAGAACTGTTTTTTTGGGTTTAGCTTGTTGTCCTTTCCCCGCACCTCCGATAAGCGCTGATGCCTGCGTACGGTATGCGAAATAAATTCAACACATGCACGTGTACAACATCCCCCGGTGTTTAGTCGCCATCGCTGCTGTCTCCGTCGGTTGCTTCGTCCGCAGTGAAGGACCTGACGGACCTGGTGCCCGAGCTCCTGAAGAAGCTGGCCGAGCTGGAGGGCAAGAACATCACCGCGGACGTCGCCGGGAATCTGAGCAAAATCCGGGAGATCATCGAGGCGGCGCGGCACTCGGCCAGCCTGGTGAGTGCGGCGCGAGAATGTTTTGGCCTCGCAGTTGGCGAGCGCCTGTTAAGGTAGGACAGGGCACACGACGGGGCTCGGTATGGCCAGCACCATAACCTCGGTCTCGGCGAACAGCTGATTTCGACGCTTTGTGTCGGGTGCTTATTTTTCAGGCTGAGTTGATATAGGGGAGGCCCAGGACGTGTTCAGATACAGCTTGCCACTCGGGGAATCCGTGATCTAGAGTCAAACCCGGGTTCTGGGATTGTAACACAGTTCGTGAAATGCTATGTACCACAAATAACCCCCCGTATAGCCTTAGGCCGGCACGGCACACGAGGGGATGGATGGCCAACACCACGCCTGGCCACCTTTGTCTTCCCAGTGTTTATACACCACACAAGGTACTCGTTTGAGGCTGAGTAAACCTAGGGGAGGCCCAAGACTTCTTCACATTATCGTCATTGGTGTTGACAAGCAGGAAAGGCAGCCTGGAGGAAGTGAACCGGCACGAAATTCTACACCCCCCCCCTCCAAGCTCTGCGGTCTAGAGAGGTTGTGAACCGCTGGGCCCCCCGTGCATCCACAGGCGAAGGTGGCGATGAAGTTCAACGGCACTTCCGGGGTGAATGTGCGGCTGGGGTCGCCCCTGGAGGAGCTACGGCCCTACACCTCGGTGGCCCTCTACCTCCTGGACGCGGATCCGGCGCGCGGGGATGACACCACCGGTGACGACAGCCGCTTCCTGTTTTACCTCGGCAAAAAAACGGTGGGGCTCGCACACACCCAGCACCGCACACGCCACACACAACGCACACACCCAGCACCGCAAACGCCACACACACCACCCAGCACCGCACACGCCACACACACCACCCAGCACCGCACACGCCACACACACCGCACACACCCAGCACCGCACACGCCACACACACACACCCAGCACTGCACACACCCAGCACCGCACACACCACCCAGCACCGCACACGCCACACACCCCGCACACGCCACACACACCGCACACACCACCCAGCACCGCATACGCCACACACACCACCCAGCACCGCACACACCCAGCACCGCACAGACCCAGCACCGCACACGCCACACACACCGCACACACCCAGCACCGCACACGCCACACACGCCACACACACCGCACACACCGCACACACCGTACACACCGCACCCACCGCACACACTGCACACCGCACAGCATGTCACACACCGCACACACCGCACACCGCACACGCTGCACAGCACGCCACACACCGCACGCGCCAGTGCGGAGGATCGTGGTTTCCCCTGGTTCATACCGTGTTGAATATTCACCATATAGCACCGTGTGGCTAACAGGATGTCCCATTCTAGATTTGAAGCTTTCACTCCAACGCTGTCCGCTGGACAGGTTGGTCCCTTCACCTGATGAAGGCTGCTTGTGTTGTGGCCGAAACGTCGTGATTTTTGTTGTTTTAATTTTTTACCTACGTGACTTTACCGAATAGAACCAAAGAGTAAGGATGTCCCATAGCGCGACACGGCCTTAAGTGCCCTGGTCTCTGACGTTGCGACCTGTTTTGAATCCACAGGATGGAGGTCGCAGAAAGCGCCAGACGGTGAGTGTCCCGTCTTCCCATCACCCACAGGCACCTTCACTGCACTAAGGCCAGCACTCGTTGAGAGGCCAGCTCGCTGCATGCCCAACTCAGCGCATATTGACGACTTGTGGCATGCTTGTTACACACGTTGTTGTACATTGTGTCTCATTGGTGTTGTCTTTTTTTGTTCTATTTCACGTTTGCATTGTGTGTTGTCGGCATATGTAAGCAGAAGCCCCATTTTCTCTCTCGACATATAAATTGGAATTGGTCCATCGACCAAATTGGCTTTCCAGATGTTAACCATCAGCATTTGTTTGAGCGAGCAAACTCTGGACCAGTTTCGGCTGGTCCAGGCCCATTAAGCTGCTGGATGATACTGGTTAATATCATTCCAGAAGATAATACTGGTTAATATAATTCCAGAAGATAATACTGGTTAATATAATTCCAGAAGATAATACTGGTTAATATCATTTCAGAAGAAAATACTGGTTAATATCATTTTAGAAGATAATACTGGTTGATATCATTCCAGAAGATAATACTGGTTAATATCATTCCAGAAGATAATACTGGTTAATATCATTCCAGAAGATAATACTGGTTAATATCATTCCAGAAGATAATACTGGTTAATATCATTCCTGAAGATAATACTGGTTAATATCATTCCAGAAGATAATACTGGTTAATATCATTCCAGAAGATAATACTGGTTAATATCATTCCAGAAGATAATACTGGTTAATATCATTCCAGAAGATAATACTGGTTAATATCATTCCTGAAGATAATACTGGTTAATATCATTCCAGAAGATAATACTGGTTAATATCATTCCAGAAGATAATACTGGTTAATATCATTCCAGAAGATAATACTGGTTAATATCATTCCAGAAGATAATACTGGTTAATATCATTCCAGAAGATAATACTGGTTAATATCATTCCCGAATGCCAAGAGGCCGATGCACTAAATAATATTCAATAAACGGCTGAGGCAGAAATTTTATTTCATGAAAAAAATTCCATTCAGTGGGTTTGGCCATGTCGGTGCATAAAAATATCAGACTTGGCAAACACAATTTCACACGGAATGCAGACACAATCTCACGGGCAATGAGGATCTTGTGAACTAAGGGAAAAAAATGTGATCGGAGAAAAAGAGCAAACCCAGACAAACCTGGATTTTTAGACATCACTAAATGAACTGAGGAATATCCAGCATCATATTACAGCGCACGTGGTAAAATAAATAAATAATCAGTAGAGGATGACCCCAAATAAATTGAATTACAAATGCAATCACGTGCGTGGATAAGCCAGCACCAGCACTTGAGCAAGACTGCGGCGAACAGGCACTCGTCGAGACAGAGAGATGGAGGTAACTGCCGAGGCACTTCAGAGATTAGATGATGATGAATATAATACCACAGCTCACTGTTAGCAGGCATTAAATGAGTTCCCCGTGCGTCGTGTTAGTGGATGAACACTCTGCTGTGTTTTTTTTTATCTTTTGCTGATCTCGTCACGGAGCATAAACCATCACGCAAACTCCGGTCATCCTCACAGCGGCGGCTTTTGGCTAACCATCGAACAAACACCGTCACTATATCGCGCGCTTTCAGATGCGCTTCTGCGGTTGTCTGGAACGCTCTTCCTTCCGATATTAAGAAGCCATCGGGAGCTGTGCACTTTTAAATCATCATCATCGTCGAGATTGACAAAATAATTTCTTCAGAAATGCTTTTTGTGTTTAGTTTATTGTCCTTATCCCACTTCTTCGATCAGCACGGTTGGCTACATCCCGTGCAGAAGAAGTTCAACATATATATAAGAGATAGATGATGAATGAACAATCACAGCTCGCTCTTAGCATTAATTAAATTAATTCCCCGTGCGTCGTGGTAATGGATGAAACACTCTGCTGTGTGTGTTTTTTGCATTTCTCAGGGTTTGGGCGACTACATAGGAGCCTTCCTGGAGAAAAAGAAGGTGGTGTTTGTGTACAACTTGGGCATCGGTGACACCTTCCTACGGTTCCCCGAGCCTGACGCCATCATCAACTCTAAGGCTTTCACCTACGTGAGATTCGAGCGGTGAGTGGCGCGCGAGCGCACTCGCAGTCGCGCTGCCCACGCACACTCGCAGCGCGTCCCATTAAACGTATGCCTCCGCTCGGGTTGGCATGGGTGTCCAGGACCAGGTGTCTGGATTCTGCGTGGAAAAACCTCTCCGAGCCAGACTCGAGAAAAGTCGCAACTCAGTGCAAGCCAGAGAGACTACCCAAACAAAATAATAAACCTACAAACCCGGGCCCAACCACACTGGACTTGCGATCCAGAGGTCGCTGGTTCGATCTTCCACTGCAGCAGTTGGAACAATGGTGCACGTTTCTTAAACCCCCCTGCATCTGTCCACCCAACGATATAAATGGCTGCATTGCAATTAGCTTGGTATGGCGGGATATCTTGCAGGCACTCCCTCTGCTTCCAAGATATCTGGCCAATTTTGGCGCCATGTTGGTGAGACGTTAACTACCTTGCCTGGTTTACAGGAGGTCGTGGGTTTGATCCCGACCCTGACGCCTGTATATTTGAAGTTTGCATGTTCTCCCCATGGTCACATTGATTTTTCCCTCCACGTAAATTTCCACGTGATAAGCCACTTCGTTGAGCTATCGTTTGTGATAACCAGGTCCCTTCTAAAAAAGAGCTACATCGTTCAGTGGGCCTTACCTGGTAAGATACAAAAAAAGAGTTTAATAGTTTAGACATATCATTAGACCTCCTTTTCCAGTACCAAAATGTAATAATAGGGTTTTTCCCCTTTTTTTCTGGCAACAAAACTGAAACCTTTTTACAAGGATTCATGTCTGCATTAACCACAATACCTGCAGTCAAAATGCAAAGAAAAACATACTATGATAATATATGCATTGTCCTTGAAACTGATTGGATCACACCAAGGGATGGCTTTCTTTTGAGCCTCGACCCAATTGGTGCTTGAGCAGATGACGCCTTTTGGCGTCATCTTGTCAAGCACCTTTTGGCGTCATCTGGTCAAGCACCAATTGGGTCGAGGCTCAAAACAAAGCCATCCCTTGGTGTGGACCAATCAGTTTCAAGGACAATGCATATATTATCATAGTATGTTTTTTGTTTGCATTTTGACTGCAGGTATTGTGGTTAATGCAGACATGAATCCTTGTAAAAAGGTTTCAGTTTTGTTGCCAGAAAAAAAGGGAAAAACCCTATTATTACAGTTTAGACATAGTTTTAACAGACTAGGCCAAATTACGCTGCAGGAGGCCCTTCTGCCAGTGAACAGTTAATTTCAGGGCTGGACCCTCGTGATAACCGCCATTGACATGTGGACTCCTCCGGCCCCCCTCTTCCATGACTCGATGTAGGATCTATGAGCACGCCCAGGCGGAGTTTCGGCAAGACAAGCGGATATTCAAGACCACGTCCGTCGCCAGCCGGAAGGACTACCTGCTGGACCTGGACCCGGCCAACACCGTGCTGTATGTGGGCGGTGCTCCTGCTGGTGCTCAGGTAACAACAACAACAACAATCATAATAATGAGTCAAAATTATGTCCTGCTCAAATGAGCATTGAGGCCATGCTCATCTCCTGTTCCCAACCCTGAGCCAGTGGAGGAAATTCCACATTCATATGGTAGGGGTTGGGGGTTGGTCTCTCTTCTGCACAATGAATAATCGACTTCCCCACAAATCGGTACCCTTTTATCGATTCCACAGTAATGATGGGTTGATTCAACCCCCAACCAGGATTTTGAATTCACGAACATTCTGATTGCGAGCTTCTCGCCTTACCACTGAGCCACCTGACCGGTTTCTGACAATAACAACAACAATAATAATATCGTGCAGTTGGTATTTGTGCCATTCTCGTAGTGCGAGGCTGTCGTGAAGGAGCTGTATTTCACCGATGAGCAGTCAACCAGTAGGCAGGTGACATTAATATTTGGTTGTTTATCCAGCCAAGTAATTTGTGGGTAATTTTTTGGAAAAATTTGAACGTAATGCCAGTACACATGGCCTACTTCTTACTTGAATAACGCAACAGAATCTTAAACATCTGCCATGAAAGCACGGGCTGTGTGGTTAACAATATACCCGCAGTATTAACCAGGGTGGGTGCTGAGCTTGAACCCCAAGCCCCTGGAAGAAGAAGTGGCGAACGCGCTACTGCTCAGGCATGTGTCATGGCATTGCGGGTGGCCACGTGGGCCTCTTATTTGTAAAAAAAACTTCGCCTTTTTACAAATAATATTCCAGCCATGCTATGAGTGTTACAGCATGAGATGCGGTGATGTTAACTCGGGGTGAGGTAGTCGAGCGACTTAGAGGTCAGATGACTGGTCCGTCAATAATGAGATCCTGGGTTCAAATATGGGGTTCAGCTGGCCTTGGTTAAAGACAGGTGCATCAAGGTGATGGCTTCACCCCAGTTACAAATGACTGTCACATTAAATTGAGTTTTTCACTTAATTTAATATATGCCAGCGATGTGAATTTGATTTGGTTTCAATGGCATGTGATGGACAACTCTTTTCAGGGCATACACAAGCTGTTCACTAGAGTGGATAAAGAGGTATTTTGAATTCATACTCTTTGGGTCTTTCGGTAAAGTCACGTAGACAGCAATCATTGGAAGGACGTTATTAACCAGGTAAAGTCAGGCCTGGCTGTGATGCTTCCATCCTACCTGCCTATGTTAGCAGTTATTTCTGAATCTTTGAGTTACATTACCTTGTTAAATGTCTTTACATTAACAGGCTAAATGTCTCACTAACATAGCTGCTATTTCCTTTTCCTCGATGCGGCGGTGGCGCTCGTTGTTTAATAGGCTGAATGTCTCCCTCATTAACACAGCCGTTGCTGCAGGAGCCGTCTCACATTGACATGCTAATCTCTAATCTCGAGCAATACAATGGCTTCTTCAGCACTGTAACCATGGGGTTACATTAACATTGACATGCTAATCTCTAGCCATACAATGGCTTCTTCAGCACCGTAACCATGGGGTTACATTAACACATTGACATCCTAACCTCTAATCTCTAGCAATACAATGGCTTCTTCAGCACCGTAACCGTGGAGTTACATTAACACATTGACATGCTAATCTCTAGCCATACAATGGCTTCTTCCACCGTAGCCGTGGGGTTACAATAACACATTGACATGCTAATCTCTAGCCATACAATGGCTTCTTCAGCACCGTAGTCATGGGGTTACATTAACACATTGACATGTTAATCTCTAATCTCTAGCCATACAATGGTTTCTTCAGCACCGTAACCGTGGGGTTACATTAACACATTGACATGGTAATCTCTAATCTCTAGCCATACAATGGGTTCTTCAGCATCGTCACCGTGGGGTTACATTAACAGATTGACATGCTAATCTCTAGCCATACAATGGCTTCTTCAGCACCGTAGTCATGGGGTTACATTAACACATTGACATCCTAACCTCTAATCTCTAGCAATACAATGGCTTCTTCAGCACCGTAACCGTGGAGTTACATTAACACATTGACATGCTAATCTCTAGCCATACAATGGCTTCTTCCACCGTAGCCGTGGGGTTACAATAACACATTGACATGCTAATCTCTAGCCATACAATGGCTTCTTCAGCACCGTAGTCATGGGGTTACATTAACACATTGACATGTTAATCTCTAATCTCTAGCCATACAATGGTTTCTTCAGCACCGTAACCGTGGGGTTACATTAACACATTGACATGCTAATATCTAATCTCTAGCCATACAATGGCTTCTTCAGCACCGTAACCGTGGGGTTACATTAACACATTGACATGCTAATCTCTAGCTATACAATGGCTTCTTCAGCACCGTAGTCATGGGGTTACATTAACACATTGACATGCTAATCTCTAATCTCTAGCCATACAATGGCTTCTTCAGCACCGTAACCGTGGGGTTACATTAACACATTGACATGCTAATCTCTAATCTCTAGCAATACAATGGGTTCTTCAGCATCGTCACCGTGGGGTTACATTAACAGATTGACATGCTAATCTCTAGCCATACAATGGCTTCTTCAGCACTGTAACCATGGGGTTACATTAACACATTGACATGCTAATCTCTAGCCATACAATGGCTTCTTCCACCGTAGCCGTGGGGTTACATTAACACATTGACATGCTAATCTCTAGCCATACAATGGCTTCTTCAGCACCGTAGTCATGGGGTTACATTAACACATTGACATGCTAATCTCCAGCCATACAATGGCTTCTTCAGTACCGTAACCGTGGGGTTACATTAACACATTGACATGCTAATCTCTAGCCATACAATGGCTTCTTCAGTACCGTAACCGTGGGGTTACATTAACACATTGACATGCTAATCTCCAGCCATACAATGGCTTCTTTAACACCGTAGTAGTGGGGTTACATTAACAGATTGACATGCTAATCTCCAGCCATACAATGGCTTCTTTAACACCGTAGTAGTGGGGTTACATTAACAGATTGACATGCTAATCTCTAGCCATACAATGGCTTCTTCAGCACCGTAACCGTGGAGTTACATTAACAGATTGACATGCTAATTTCTAGCAGTAAAATGGCCTAGGTATTCTTAGCTCTGCGATCTTACATTTACTTGCAAATTCCATGTCTAGCCCCACCCACTTACCCTTGGGTTGTACCCATCTCAAACGTTTAGAACCTCTGGCTGCAGCAGTTCTCTCGCTCTATATCTTCCTGCTTCAGCAGTCCGCCTGCTGTATTTTTTCACCTGAAGACGATTGCTTGTGTTGCGATCGAAACGTCGTGATTTTTATTATTATTTTTCTATCTATGTGACTTTACCAAAAGACCCAAAGAGTAGTTATTTTGAAGTGACGATTCATAGTTCTGTGATATCACCTTCCACTGATCATTCTCTAACATGGGGTAATTTACTGCTCTGGAAACATTAAAAATTGATGCTTCTTCAGCTCATGGCACAACACCGACAGCACCATAGCTAGAATAAAATTTAACAAAAGACAAAAACATTTTTTAATCAAATTACATAAAAAAAATTATTGGTCTCATAATTATGTCAACGATTGCCTGTGGCCTGCACATATTCCAAACGAAGGCTGAGAATGATTTTTTTCCCTTTGTGCAGCTGCCCGCGGCCCTGTCTCTGCCGAACTTTGTGGGGAACCTGGAGCTGGCCGCCATTAACGAGAACATAACGAGTCTCTACAACTTCGAGAAGACGTACTTCATGAACACCGCCACCGATAATCCAGCCAAGCGGTAAGTGGTTCCACTTGGCAGTGTCGCGGTTAGCGCTACGCTGTGCTACGAACCCGGCGACCCGAGTTCAATTCCCACTCATGGCCAACACCGGTGACGATTATCTGAACCGGTCCTGGGCCTCCTCTAGGTCGACTCAGCCTCAAATGAGTACCAGGTACGATGTGTAAACATCGCCACTCAGGAGCCAAAGGCGTGATGCTGGCCACCCACCCCCTCGTGTGCCGTGCCAGCCTTCATAGGTGCTCGCGAACAGCACTTGGCCCAACAATCTGTTAAGGCTATACAAGGGATCTTTATATTCGCGCCGTTACCTGTTTACTGCAGGCTTAGTGACGTGTCCGTCAAACTGGGCACGAAACACAGACTGCTCCCTACTCATAGACTGACAGCTTTGCCGTCTGGGCGGCCGTCTCTGGCGCGCACCCCTAATGCCAGGCCCGAGTGAACGGTCTGTAAGCGCGTGCTTCCAGGCGGTGACGTGGCCCAGCGACGGCGCATTCACCGCTGAACACAGGGGGTTCGCGGTTCGGGCACATCGGCCGCCTTGGTTAACAATATATGCGTGTTTTCTGGCATCACGGTTCGAATTTGATTAATTACTCATAAACTGCTCGTTTGGTAAACATGCAACATCGCCCCGTAGGCTGGCAGACTGAACCCTGCTGGCTGACCGGTGCTGCGTTTACCTTGTCTCACACAGAGACAGCTACCACTGGGTGGGGGGGGGGGGGGGGGTCCCCTGCCGCGGTGCACCTTGAGATGAATTGCACGGGAGGCACTGTGTGACTATTAAGCAACGACGACGACGACGATGATGCATTGTGCCGCCACACCGCACACTCTCGCACCACAGCTACAAGGACTCGCCGGAAGTGAACCCACAGACGTACTACTTCGACGGCACCGGGTACGCCGAGGCGCCAGTGGACTCCAGCGGCAGCCGCTACAACTTTGACTTCGACATCCGCACGTCGATGGATGACGGCATCCTGCTCTTCATGGAGAAAGACGTAGGCGAAGATTGTGTCGTGCCCCTTTTTTGTCGAACAACCACTCCGGTTCGCAATCACCCAGCAAGCATGCAACGTTTTCCCAACGTTGGCCCAACGTTCTGGGCACAGTGCGAGGAAGAGGCACAGGGAGGGACGGTAGAGACTGGGAGAGCATAGAGGGTGGGATGGGCGAGACCAGTGAGAGACTAGAGAAGCAAGGTATTGTGGGTCAAGACCGTGGAGGGATTTTTTAGACTTGAGAGTGAAAATTTTAAACGGACAGCGATAGTAGACAGGGAGCCAGGGAAAGTAGAGCAGAAGTGTGGGAATTGTGGGGGAGGTTAAAAATTATCTGGGCCGAGGCAATTTGTATCCTTTGGAGTGAAGGGCATAGGCAGGCAGGCTGAGCAGGAGAGAATTGCAGTTGTCAAGATGGGTGAAAACAAGGGAGTGAACCAGGAGCTTAGCAGCAGAGAGTGAGATGGGGGACGGATTTTGCGAACATTGAAAAGGTGAAAGCAGCGAGTGCGGGTAGTGGCATACATGTGGCTGGAGAGGGAGGGGGAGGAGTTGAAGGTGACCCCGAGGTTGCGAGAAAAAGAGACAGAAGGAGTAAGGGAGAAGGGAGGGAATTAGATGGCAGTGGGGAGAAGGAAAGAAAAGGATTTCAGTATTAGAAGGATTCATGGAGAGGGAGTTACGTGACATCCAGGATTGGACAGCCGTTAAGCAGGCGGATATGCGGGAGGAAAGGTCAGTGGTGAAGGAAAAGAAAACCTGGGTGTCGTCGGTGAAGAAGTGATGGTGTTAATGTTAAATTAAGAAATGACAGCTTCCAGAGGTGAGATATAGTGGGAAAAGAGCAAGGGCCCTAGGACAGACCCGGAGTGTTCACCAGGGCGGCCACGGGCTTCGAACCATGAAACCTCCGCATTAAGTGGCAGCCGCCGCATTATGAAACAAAGTAGGTACGCTCTGCACGTGCAGCGAACAACACGGTGACTCGGAGCGTTACGAATTTAACTCGTGTTGCGTCCTATTTCTGCCTTTTCTCAGAACAAGTTCATGTGCCTGTCCATCTACAACGGGCAGCTGCATTTCGTCTTTGACTTTGGCGCTGGCCCCGTGGTGCCCAAGTATTCGTCTGTCATCAAGATCCACCAGAAGGACTACTACGCGGTACGGTGATACTCATTGCGAGGGGGGGGGGGGAAGATTCTCATCAACTAACCGGCTAAAAGTTGAAAAGTTGTGATCGAATACTTTTTATGAAATCGATTACCTGATCCAACGTCCTGCCTGCCGAAGGCGGGAGGAGACGCCCACAAGCCACGCTTAGGGACAGGCTACCTTTAAGGCGGGGGAGGTCACCGATTTATTACCTCTTTTTTTATGGATCTCCATATTTCACCATCTTTTGCCTCTTCCGAAGCATTCTTTTGTCTTCCGACGACCCCCTTTATCGGCGCAATCGATCCATTTCTGCCTTTGTCTCACCGTCTCGGCCTCCGGACAACGCGAGCCGAACATGGTGGCACGTTGCCTGTGGTGTGGCATGGTGGACGCTGGGGTCGGTGGATCACGCGGATTTGTGAAACTTTCCAAACCCGCTGGGCTGCTAGGTGGCCGTGGGAGATGTGGTAATACAGAAAATAGATGATTGAATCGTTGTGCGTACAGCTTTGAGGGTTATCCCCTTGCTTGCGTGCGTGCTGGGTTTTCTCCGAGTTCTCAGGTTTGAAGTGAACACTCGTTAATGGAATTGGCAAAACATCCAAATGCAGGACCCTCATGAAAAAGAGTCGAGTGACTCAGTAAGTCTTTGTGGATGATCGAAAGACATTGGTATTATTATGACAATATCCCACTCAATCTGGGGTGAGGCTTTACTGGAATAAGGTCATTGTTATTATTCTTATCAAATATGTATATACAGTAATGTTATCCATTAACTCATCCAGACTTCACAAATGTTACCCATGGAAAATAATCATAGCAGAGATGTTTGGATCTAGTGTGGATTGACGCAGGTGCACGGAGAATAGGAATAGCGGATAATGCTTGTGTGTACGTGGCAGTGTGTACACAGTGTCACCTCATTATAAGAAACCGCTTGCAGATGTGGAAGAAAATTTTCGACCAAATCAGGCGTAACGACAATTTGAGAACACTGATTCAGTTTCGCATATTACAGGTGTCCCATTGGAATGCACGGTTAAAACACGATACACGCACAAGCGCATTCGGTACGAGTATCCAAGATGTGGTGCGGTGTACCATTCCCGATATTCGGGCACGCAACGGGAAACTCGTTGCGTGCCCACTCGCTTTTGTCCACACTGGCCGGTGGCGGCGTCGCGAATCGCGAACGCCGCCCGGACAGTCGCACGGGAGCAAGACGAGCGAGGGTTGAATGTTTGGGCGGCGCGCGGCGGGTAACGTAACGCGGACGTATCGGTCGACACGAGACGACGCGTAAATGGCGGGGTACGCTCGGCAGCGTCATCGCGCGCGCGCGATTCATTATAACGAGGGCGAGGAGGTCGCGTGGGGCGTGACCCCAGGCTGCTCCGTCACCTTCTCTCCCGGGGCGCTGCACACCCCTTTACAGGTCCAGCTCAACGTGTACCAGTTGGTCAGCAAAGTTTCCCTCAACGTGGGGCCCAAGTCTGAGCGGCTATTCTTCGACGTCTTCAGCCCGGAGATCCAGTCCCTGTGGAGCGTGGTGGGGAACATCGCCTACATCGGCGGGGTTCCCAAGGGCCGAATCCCAGACAGGTGAGCTCCTGCCCGTGAGGTGTGTTTGATGGACAGCAGTCAAAAACAACCCTCGTGACCCGCACTGCATGGGAAGGCCCTCAGCCAGAAGTTCATCGACAAAGAAGGGCTGTACGTGTACAGTACAACGTCACGTATCCGACTCCCCAGGGGACCGAGATTGAGGCAGGTGTGTGAACATCTATATGTGTAAAAATACACGGTAAAAATACACGGTTAAAATACACGGTTAAAATACACGGTTAAAATACACGGTTAAAATACACGGTAAAAATACACGGTAAAAATACACGGTTAAAATACACGGTTAAAATACACGGTAAAAATACACGGTAAAAATACACGGTTAAAATACACGGTTAAAATACACGGTAAAAATACACGGTTAAAATACACGGTTAAAATACACGGTTAAAATACACGGTTAAAATACACGGTTAAAATACACGGTAAAAATACACGGTTAAAATACACGGTTAAAATACACGGTTAAAATACACGGTTAAAATACACGGTTCAAATACACGGTTAAAATACACGGTAAAAATACACGGTTAAAATACACGGTTAAAATACACGGTTAAAATACACGGTTAAAATACACGGTTAAAATACACGGTTAAAATACACGGTTAAAATACACGGTTAAAATACACGGTTAAAATACACGGTTAAAATACACGGTAAAAATACACGGTTAAAATACACGGTTAAAATACACGGTTAAAATACACGGTTAAAATACACGGTTAAAATACACGGTTAAAATACACGGTTAAAATACACGGTAAAAATACACGGTTAAAATACACGGTAAAAATACACGGTTAAAATACACGGTAAAAATACACGGTTAAAATACACGGTAAAAATACACGGTTAAAATACACGGTTAAAATACACGGTAAAAATACACGGTAAAAATACACGGTTAAAATACACGGTAAAAATACACGGTAAAAATACACGGTTAAAATACACGGTTAAAATACACGGTTAAAATACACGGTAAAAATACACGGTTAAAATACACGGTTAAAATACACGGTTAAAATACACGGTTAAAATACACGGTTAAAATACACGGTTAAAATACACGGTTAAAATACACGGTTAAAATACACGGTAAAAATACACGGTTAAAATACACGGTTAAAATACACGGTTAAAATACACGGTTAAAATACACGGTTAAAATACACGGTTAAAATACACGGTTAAAATACACGGTAAAAATACACGGTTAAAATACACGGTAAAAATACACGGTTAAAATACACGGTAAAAATACACGGTTAAAATACACGGTAAAAATACACGGTTAAAATACACGGTTAAAATACACGGTAAAAATACACGGTAAAAATACACGGTTAAAATACACGGTAAAAATACACGGTAAAAATACACGGTTAAAATACACGGTTAAAATACACGGTTAAAATACACGGTAAAAATACACGGTTAAAATACACGGTTAAAATACACGGTAAAAATACACGGTAAAAATACACGGTTAAAAATACACGGTAAAAATACACGGTAAAAATACACGGTTAAAATACACGGTTAAAATACACGGTTAAAATACACGGTTAAAATACACGGTAAAAATACACGGTAAAAATACACGGTTAAAATACACGGTAAAAATACACGGTAAAAATACACGGTTAAAATACATGGTTAAAATACACGGTTAAAATACACGGTTAAAATACACGGTAAAAATACACGGTAAAAATACACGGTTAAAATACACGGTAAAAATACACGGTAAAAATACACGGTTAAAATACACGGTAAAAATACACGGTTAAAATACACGGTAAAAATACACGGTTAAAATACACGGTTAAAATACACGGTTAAAATACACGGTAAAAATACACGGTTAAAATACACGGTTAAAATACACGGTTAAAATACACGGTTAAAATACACGGTAAAAATACACGGTAAAAATACACGGTTAAAATACACGGTAAAAATACACGGTTAAAATACACGGTTAAAATACACGGTTAAAATACACGGTAAAAATACACGGTTAAAATACACGGTTAAACCATGCCGCAAATAGGTTAACGGGCAAAAGTAAAGCGCAGACCGCTTTAAATGCGGGAAAAGGCTTCACCGTGATTTAGAAGAGAACGATTGAGTGCGAGGTTGAGAACGCGCTACTGCGCGTGACGAGGTCCGATTTGTGAGCGCCGATAGAATTTGACGGTGCCGCCACGTGCAAACGTTGCACCGGGTGCGTGGCGGTCCGCTGGCCCGGCGACGGGTGTACTCCGCGTTTGTTGACCGTCGGTCCCGTGCGGCCTTGTCCCCATCCGCAGCATCAAGCAACACCTGCCGGTGCAGACGTCCTACAAGGGCTGTATGAAGGCGCTGAAGGTGATGACCTCGGCTATTTCGCTCAAGCTCATCCCCACGTCGGGCATCATCTACGGCTGCTACGACAACTTCGTGGTGAGAGCGAGCGCTGCCCCCTCAAGCCTGGCCACCCCGTCATTTCGCCGGACGGCGGCGGCGGCGGCTATGCTGTGCTCCAGCACTGTGAACGCGGCGGCTGAGTGTTGGCGGCTCATGCACAAATGTTACGAATCTCCATTCCTCTGAGCATTGCCGTGCCGTACCCTGGCTGTCTGGGAGAATGCGGTGCCGCAAATGTGGATTTTCAACTGTTTCATCTGTACGGGATAGAGTGTTGCCTCGTCGCATGCATGGGTTACCTCCAGGTGCTCCGGTTTCCTCACACATGTAGACACTCATTAAATGACTGAAAACATAATACTTGTTATAGGACCGCAGCTGGCTACCTTCCCGCTTGTCTGCTGTTGGGTTAAGAGTGAGTGAATGCTGTGCGACGCGTTACAAATATCTTTTTACACTCTCGTCCAAGTGAATGGTCATTCCTGACCCCCGTGAATATTGAAATAATTAAGCAGACTCTCATTTATTTGTGCCATCCTCTACCTACTAGAGCTCAATGAGGTTCTGCCTCCAAGCTAATTCTCAGCACGCGCGCCCTCTCCCGATTCTTCTCGGCAGGTTTCCCGTGGTGCAGATTTCACCGGTGCAGGTTACCTGTCATTCCAACCCGAAGGTTTCGATGCCACCGACTTTGAGTGCGGCTTGACGTTCAAAACCACGAGTCCCTCCGGCCTTCTGATGGGCTCTGCCGACAGGGTGAGTCCACTTCGCGCGTGCTCACTCCTTCTTTGTTCGTTTATTTTATGTCACCCATGAGGCGGGGGCAGCGCGTGTTGGGAGACGGAGCGATGAAATTGGCTCCCCGTGCAGGTTGTTGCCGGCTGGATTGTTGCATCGCGGTAGCTGTGAGAGATGGTGGCGACTTAGGAAGGCCTTCATCCAGCAGTGAATAGATCACGGCTGATGAACGATGATGATAATGATGACAACCCTTTGAGACTACAAGTCTTTGGTTTTTTTTTTTAGGGAGACGTGAGTTCCAGGGTAGTTACACAACAATGAAAATTTTATACGAATTGTCACGAACAAAGCCGAGATGAAGCGCGTTTGTTGCTTGTCACAAAAGTTCGGTTCAGGTCCAGTGAGGGCTGCCCTGGTTAATACTGCGGGTTTATTAACCGTAAATATGCGGCCGCCTGATTAACAGTGGACTAGGAAAAAAAATCCCTCGACATTATTCAGAAAAGAGTTGGCCATGTGTGCCGATGTCACGGTCCAAATGTTGCCACGGATGGAAAATTCCTTGCACATTTCTTCATTGAGTTAAACTACACAGTAATGTCACCCTCTGTTGGCAGACTTTTTGTCTGTGAATCATGGCACCGTTTTAATTCCAAACGTACTGATTTATATCGTTGTGCTTATTATTATCGTGTTGAGCAGGACCTGCAGATCTCCATGGTGGAAACAGGCAAAGTGCAGCTGAAGCTCGGCACCATCACCATACGGAGTCTCACCAATGGGTTTAACGATGGCCTGCCCCACTATGTCAAAGTCACACGCCAAGGCAACACGTGAGTGACCCCCAATTCGTTGCTTTCACCTGATTCCCTGTCACCAGAATAGACGGCCACAGATGCTGCGGTGGAATAATGGTTAACGCACTGGACTAGCAACCCAGAGGCAACTGGTTCAATTTCGTGGCAGGGCCGTTGAAACAATGGTACAGGTTTATTACATTTCCTCTGCTGCCTTCTGTCCGCCCTGCGGTATGAATGGGTGCGCCGCAGTTAGTCGATTGGCGGGTCATGTGCGGTGGGGTGAAGTGTGGGTGCGCCCACATCTTCGAAAAGGTCTTGCCAAAGTTCCATGACGAGGGGTCTGTAGCACCCCCCTAGTGGAGGCCATTCTGGCAGCAGTGGCATCAGTGGTAAATTGCAGGTGTGCACCTTTAACTTTTCCTTTGTCTGCTATCAGTGACATGTGGGCTTGAAATGTTTGTGATTGTGAAGGTTGCAGCCAAATGTAGCGATTTGTTTAATTTATCACGGGGTTGGAATGTTTGTGCAATGTTTTAACAAACTGACACAAGTCAACAGAGAGTCAACAAACAGCATCTGCAAACTGTGTACCAGGGCACTTGTATGTTTGTCTGTTGAACCTCTTTGGCACGTAGACAACCGTGCTAATCGGAGGTGCGGGGGAAGGACAAAAAACTAAACACAAAAAGCAGTTAAAAATAAATGCGTTTTCAATCAAGATGAATAAAAGTTGCATAGCTCCGGCGGCTTCCGAATATCGAAAGGAAGAGCGTTCCACACTGCCGCAGATGCCGAGTGTTCACGTGTGTGCGCGTGTGTGTTTGCTTGCACGGGGTCCTCGACGTGGCTGGGTGAACAGGGTTCGAATGGCGGTCGACAACAAGTACGAGCCGGACACGGAGATGGTGCGGAGAAGGCGGGCGAGCCGCCAGGCCCCTGGGCAGCTCTACTTCCTGGGTGGCTACGCTGAGGCCTCCGCCTCCAGGTTCAACGGCTGCATCGCCAACGTCTACGTCCGCCGGTACACGAGCGGCACTGGCAACAACAAACAACAACTTCAATTCGTATAGCATCAAGGGGCAATCACATCTCAAGATACTTCATGCAAATGAATACACCTGCATTCGGGTGGAAGGGGGATTGGCAGTCAGGTTATAGAGAGTAGCACTTGGGCACAACCCTGAATAAAGCAACCATGGGCCAGCACCAACAACAATGAGCCTCAGGGAAAGCTGGGGCAGCCAGGGGAACACCAACAAGTCCCAGGGCATCCACGGGCACGCGGCCCATTCAAAAAGGATGTTTAAAGGCAATTAAAATTAAAATAAGTGAGGTTAAGTGCCTCAGCATCAACTTCACTACCACCGCCACCACCATCACTTAACATTATCGGCATCACCACTACCACCAACAGCAACAAGAATCCAAACACCACCCACACCACCACCAGCACCAAGACGATGCTTACACATGGCACCAAGCAGTCATTTGAGGCTGCGTCGACCTTCGGGGAGGCCCCAGGACTGCTTCAGGCAATCGTCATCGATGTTCACCACGAGCGAGAATTGAACTCGGTTCGCTGGGTTCATACCGCAGCCCACTGACCACTGTGCCATCGAAACCGATGAGATAAACTCTATCGGATACGGCCCACTGAGCTATGCAGTTCTTTTTCAGAAGAGACCTCCTGGCCACAAATGATAGCTCAGCGAAGTGGCTTATCACGTGGAAATGTATAGCAGCCAAATACTCTAAAATTTATGTTTCTAAATGTGGAGGGAAAACCGGGGGACCTTGAGAAAAATCCACGTGACCACGGGGAGAACACACAAACTACACAACCTCCTGTATACCAGGCGAGGTAGTTAACATCTCGCCACCAGCACTCCGACCAACAACCCAAACCTCCGCCACCACCGTTCCCCTCAAGGTGCAAAAATGACCGTGCGTGCGGTGCGTGCGGTGCGTGCAGACCTGGCGAGGAGCACGTGGAGGACCTGCACAACTACGTGGAGAAGCTGGACGCTTCGCTGGACGGCTGCGTGGGCAGCCTGCTGGCAGCGCCGTGATGAGGCACCAGGGGCTCACCACGCAGGGGGCGGCCGCTGACCCCTGCCCACACCTCCTGCTCAGGGCTGGGGGGCCTCTAAGGAGGACAGCTCATTCTCACCCCCACCGTGATGGGACCCACGCTTCCAGTCATGGGCAATGCCACCGCTTCACTAGTAGAGGGCAGTGCGTGGTGGGGAGGGGGGGCTGCCGAACTGACTCCATGATCATGAGGATGGGCGAGGGGAGAGTGGGATGGAGTCAGGGGTGGGGAGGGGGGGCTAACGGCAGGGCTTAGGGAATGCCATAAATATTGAGTTGGAAAAAAATCGGTGCCTGTCCTATAGCTGAGAGGATAGGGCACAGAAACAACACAGTTTAATGCCTGAGTCAGAATCTGGTTAGTTTTTCCCCATCCCCACGGCTACATTGTCTCAACCGAGCTACTTTGGTTTGTTTTAACATTCTTAAAAACTGGTTGTATGTACGATGGATATACATTTTACAGGACAGACATTATTTGATTATGATTGTAGGAAAAATGCATTTTACTGAGTAAAACATTTAAGCATTTGGCTTCTTGCCCACTATCTCAAGTCGGAGGGAGATATTCCCTATCGCTCTCTCCCGTTGATCTTTTGTCTCCAGCGCTTGAGCCAGTGTCTAGGGTGGGAGTTTCCCAGAAGCAAGCGTTCTTCGACAATGGTACGCTCCACAGTCAGCTTGAAGCAAGGACATAATGGAGCGTGCCTTTTCTTTCAGGGGTATTTTTTCACATTATTATGATTTGACACGTAAGGTTTTTATCTTCGCGGGCAATATTAGAATTCATAATTAATTTCTGGGTTCAGGCACTTCATGATGTGACCAAATTTCCATCGTTAAGACCCTTCACCATCCGATATAGCCAAAATAAATGCAATCGGCACGTGTGCTAGTGTTTAACTTGCCAATTATGATTATTTTAGCTCACCTGTAAGTTGAAAAACTATTTCCACAAACAAGTTTCGCAATTAGGAAATTCCTGGATTATCCATTATATGGCCAAATCTAATACTCAATAATGAATCATTGTTATTATGTGATGGTACCACTTACACCCGCACTTTCCACAATCCTAAGTACTAATTTCACCCTGCCTATGTCAGCCTCGCCATCGTCTCTTCTTGAGAAAACTACCAAAGAATTAGCTGCATGGGAGAAGCCATTCATAAAACAGTGTTCATATATGATGTATGATTAATTTTAGAGAGCTGTTATATGATGTTTTCATTTAACTGTTGGTACAAAAGAAACGTTTTGAGAACTGGCACACACTGGGCAATTTTACAGCCTTTGTGTTCAATGTTGTGTTGATAGGAGAGGGAAAATATCAACGTGAGGTTTTAGAGGCCACAATAAAACGAAGAAAATAATCTTAAAATCTACCGCAATAAATTGAGTAATGCAGGCACTTTATATCCGTACGACAGCACACGCCGTGCCTGGGTGTTTTGACGGCATTTTCTCAGATACAAATATAAGACAAATCGCATCCGGGCTGAAATTTGGCCTCGTGCCACAGGGAGGATTCCTCGTTCGGTCAGCGAAGCGCGTTCACTCGTGCGAGCTCACGGTCCATCCCGTGCCAGCAGGGAGTGCTATCGAACAAAGGGCCGGACTGGTCAGTGCCTCCTTCACCGGCCCTCGCTTAAGTTGTGACGGACAGGTCACTACGGAGGGAACGGGGGGGGGGGGGGGGGTATTACCGCGTGCCTGGTGAAATGACGCCAAGGCTGTGTTATCATTCCATGGTCACGTTCCACTCATTTGTGATTTTAAGATGGTTTGAGAAATTTAACGGGGGAACGTCCAAAACAGACAACCGGTATACGGTACATTCGGGAATTCTGCATATTTCGGTTTATGCTTATGCAATTTTACTGTTCAGAATATAAATGCGACGAAAACATGTTATACGGTACAAACAACATTTTTTTAAGATACTCCAATATTTTCACAAGTCGGTGTAGTGCCATTGTCCAGAGTATTTTTTAATTCAAAATTGTATGTTTTATATATACGTATACATTGTCAGTAAATTATCGATTGAATCGTTGGTCAGATGAATGAACTTGGTGAACTGATGTACATTTTTACGCTCGACATTCGCACACGAGATATATTGCATGAGTGGGAGCGTTGGCGTGGGGGGGGGAGGAGGGGGGGAGGGAAGAGGGGGGGGGCCGTGTGTGAACAATGTCAAGGTGCTATATTTGTAATAATTGAGACGCGTTAGACGCCCGTGCTGTCGATAGTTGTGTGCGCGTTTAGTTGTTTTCTCTTTTTAAAGCCAACGGTATATATTGCACAGACTGTTTAAGGAAGTGAATTCTCGTCGAGCTCGTACTTTGTGGTGCACACTCTGCGCCGGTGGAGTTTGGAAGTCCACGCCGGTTCTTCTTAAAACGAGCGAACGCCGTCGTGAGCGGTGTGAGGTTTCCCGTGTGTGCGTCATCGTCCGAGTTATTAAGCCCGATGCTGGGGGGGGAGGATGCCAGAGGACAATCGTCCCATCACTCTTTGTTATTCTCGCAAAATAAATGCAAAGGGAGCATTCGACCACCTCCTCCTTTCCTCAGTCTTTTTGTAAGTGCCTTTTAAGCCGCAAAAAATAAGTCGGGAGACTACTGCCGTCCGGATCACGCATTCACGCTCGCATCGATCGGACGCTTAATCACGACGATTGCACGATAATCTCACGCGCTGGCAGCTGCTCATTCTACGCTGCAAGCGAATACCGGTGCAGCCATTTGAGGGCCCTGCACCGCTCAGAGCTACAGATCTCAGACACAAATGACCCCGCGTGCCCCACTTTGGGGATTTGTTATTCCATGCCCTGACAGAGAGGCTAGCGCGCGTGTTGAATGCAAACACCGCGAAGACCAAAGGCTTTGCTGGTTATACATCGGTTATCACCTGCGGGGGCGAGAACACAAATAACGACACCCAGTGATGTTTAGATGGAAACGCTCTTGTGTTTAAAGAGTGCCTGTTAAAAATAAGACCGTCTTGAGGGCAGCACTCATCGAGTGTAGCGATCTTGCTGACTCGGCGTGTAAAAATAAATGGGTTAAAATGGATTCTAAGGCTGACAATATATTCGTGGAATTGCGCATGTAATATATATTATTTCCGTATTCTTTGGTTCTTTCGGTAAAGTCACGTAGATGAAAAAAATAATGAAAATAATAAATAAAATCACTGTGATTTAATTTAGTTATTTTCATTTGATTATTTTCAGCCATTCCACCTGCACGCGTTATAATCGGCGCCGATGCATTCACTGCCAGCACACTCCACTTTCTCAGCCATTCCACCTGCACGCGTTATGACCGGCGCCGATGCAATCGCTGCAAGCACACTCCACTTTCTCAGCCATTCCACCTGCACGCGTTATAACCGGCGCCGATGCAATCGCTGCAAGCACACTCCACTTTCTCAGCCATTCCACCTGCACGCATTATAACTCGAGACTGTAAACCAGAGGCGCACCCCGTTGCCTCCTCCACTCGGGGCCACGAATCGCAGCGAAGTCACTGTGATCCCACGTGGCTGGTCTTGATGCATCAGTGTGAGTTGGTGCGTCTGAACACGGAATTGTCAATTTTCTTGTGTTTGAACATACACTGTTTCAAAATTGTGTTCATTGTGAAAAAAAATCACTTAAGGAGCGAAATTTTCGTACTTTTTGGTGCTATGGTCATCTAAAAAAAAGTTCATTCTCTTGCATTTAAATGAAAAAGAAGCATGGATTTTTGTAAAAAAAAAATGCGCTACGTTTAGAAAGCAATTCAAGTATACTGAATAAAAAATCTGTAACTCTGTTTCAGTACTGTGTTTAAAGCAAGTGATTTCTCTAAAGCTGTTTAATAAATAATTATTATTCATTTAGCTGCTGGCCTTTTGAATTAAGGTCTTGAGTATTCGACAACACGAACATACAGAATTATCAGCAACCAAGTGGTAGAGGGACAGAAGTACTGTATCTGCTCGACTTAAAGCTATCACATAGTCATTATTATTCAAGGCCAATTTTAATGAAATATTCACACTGACCATACACTTTCTATAGGGCTCCGTCATATATTCGTGTAAGTACTGTATACGGCAGTGTTCGAGGATAGAGCAACCATTAAAAAGTTATGTAGTTCAATACAGAGCTACAGTCACATTTATTTTATTACTGACCGTGGGCATAATTAAAACTGACCAAAATCAGCTTAACGCTTACCATTTTGCTTGTTTTTTTATTTTCTTTCTACGTGACTTTACCGAAAGAACCAAAGAGTAATTTTGCTTGTTACTAACGATTAAATATGCCTCGATTAAAAATGGGCCATGCAGTTGCGGAGACATCTCTCTCGGATTTCGTGAAACCGAATCGCCACCGACTGCTTTGCCCACACCTGAACGAGTTGTTTCGCAACGAGGACATCGGGCAGCTATAATTCACAATGATAACAGCCAATCACAGTTTGCAAATGTGCAGCACGTGGTGAAATATACTTCACTCACACATCGCTTGAGCAGATCTCTTGAAAGTAGAGTCTCTGCTGTAAGAAACCGGTTGGCCAATTGCTTGCAACTGGTCACAAAGACTTCCACGTAAAAGCGATGCAATTGCATGCAACCCAAGGCTGCGCAACTAATCGGTCGTTCAGGTGGGCTTCGTATGGCAGTGCAGGAGCTCGCTCAGCTGGAAGCTGGAAGCGGCCTGTGCATTGCCGGTCTGTTGTGGGTCCTGCTGCTATGTTTTCATAGTAACCACAGAGGCTTGAGGCGATGCTGCAATTAAAAGAGTTCCAAATGTGTGGAGTCATTTGTTGCTTACTATATATACAAGTTAGTCGTGCTTGAATGCGGAACGATGAGGGATCAGAAGATAGCGAAAAGTGTAAATGCACCACCAAAGCGATGTCATTAATTTTACTCTGCTAACCCATTCCAATGTTTTTTTTTTAAATCGTCTGGATTTTATCCACGGCGTGGCTCCTGTGTGTTTTATTTATTTGTATCCGTTGCTTTCACTTCAAGTGTGTTTACTTCTGGGGTTGGCGATCAACCGCGGTATAAAACACATTCCTGCAGAGGGAGCTGGTAGGAACGTTGGGTTGCTCGGTCAATGGCCAGGGTCAACGGCGGCGTGGTGTATTCCGCAAACATGCCCGACTGTGAGGGCGGGCACAAGCCGGCATGAGTAGGTTAAACGTTGAGTTTTATAAGGGCACCACGGGGTGACCAGCCCCTCCCCACCCAGCCCCACCCAGCCCCACCCCTCCCACCCAGCCCCTCCCCACCCAGCCCCTCCACACCCTGCCCTCTTCACCCAGCCCCACCCCTCCCATTCTGTATGCACGACGGACGGACGGACAGACACAATTATCCCCTGTGGGCTGGTGTAACCAGGAGGTTCCTACCAGTAATAGTGCTTCATCATCATCATCGTCACTCGTGATTTATCCACTGCTGGATGAAGGCCTTCCTCCCCCAAGCCGTTGTCAAATTTCACCCTCTTGCGTTGTAACAATAAGTTAAAGTCATTTTGGGTGCTTATTTCCCCACACTTCTCGGTTTCTGAGACACGTTTAGTAGAAGGCTTCTTATTTATCAAAAGCACACTGGGCGATGCATTGTGTAACGCAGCTACACATAGGCGATCCTAACACGTAGCCCCATCTCCGGCTTTGCTACACAAGCTGTTCGACCAGCGCAGCGACGGTGATGGAGGGAGTCTTCTAGAAGATCAGCCACGTGGTCGGAGATGAAGAGACGACGATGAGCAGCAACGCAGCCAGGACCCAGGACCCGCAACAGCCCCGAACCTCTGGTTCGGTCCCCCTGATATCTGCCCGGCGTGGCCAAGCTCCACCTCTGGCCACGCCCCCTTTCCAGAACCTTCGGGCTGGTTCCTGGAGCTTCTCGACTAATTCTGCCTTTTACCTTTACCCCAGATATGCCCCCCCTTATAATAAAGAATTATGTAATGAAAGTCGTAACCGTAATTACTCCGCCAGGCCGGCAGGTGTCACTCTGTAATTACACTTCTTCGCGCGAGGGGACATGGTGGTTGATGTACTTTTACTTTGAGACGCCTTTTTGGGCCATTTATATCTCTTATTCTGAAAGATCATGGGGGCACTCGGCGTTCCTCGTTTACCGGCCACTGCACCTCATGAAGACTCTTTAACAGTCTGTGTGGTCAAATGTAAATTCGCGTGGCGGGCACTTGGAGCCATTGGCATGTTACGGAGTTGACGTTGGGTTTTTTTGTTTGCCAGTTGTCAGTGGGATTTTTCCCCAGATGGCAGTATTGGCAAGCCTACACACCTGGTGGGGGTTTGTAGGCTTCATTGTTCACTTATCAGCTTTTGTGCATCGGGTTTTGTTGGTGTTAATAATGACCGTGTTATTTAACCACGTCCCCCTATAGGCACGATGCGCACTTGATTAAAACATTCATTTTGAGGCACGTTGTTGGTATGCTACTTTGCATAATTAAGTTCCGTTTTCCATCAAGAGCACTCAACCGTGCTCTCGTCCACCTCTTTGTCTCATCAATTTGATTACGAATACACTTTCAGCAGTTGATACGGGTTCACACACATTTTGACGTGTTTTCCAGTTAAATTTTTATTTAAAGCTTTCGTGACTGCATGGATTTATATTTTTGGTTCTTTCGGTAAAGTCACGTAGAAGGGAAACAATAAAATAATAAAAATGTAAAACAATTTTTTATTGTTTCCCTTCTACGTGACTTTACCGAAAGAACCAAGAATGTGTTTTCCAGTTGTTTCCCTCTGACAGTTGTCAACAGTTGATTGAAACTATGTTTCGCTAATTTATCCCGAGACAAACTTAGCAGACATATTCATTAAGTTCTTCTCATACGTCATGCACATTGATTATATTGGTAAAAGGACAAAAATAAAAATTGGTTTTCTGTATCGACACAAGCACTGCTTCCCCCCTATGTTCCGTTTGGAATTGATAAAAGCTACCATACTGCCTCTACTTGATTACTGTGATATCGTGTATAAATCAGCCCCAAGTAATGTACTGAAGAAGCTTGATTCCATCTATCACTCGGCCTTAAGATTTGCATTGAACTGCCCATATAGGACTCACCATTGTGATCTCTACATTGGGTCAAACTTAACATCTCTTAATGTTCGACGGCTTGTGCACCAGATCTTATTTATTCACGATGTACTTACAAAAAAATCCGCAGACTACCTGCTGGATCTCCTCTCTGATTCAAAGAACAAATTTGACCTCAGGTCTTCGCTCATTTACCAGCTTCACATTCTCTATTGCCGTACAAAAATCGGAGGAAGGGCCTTTGCTATTGATGCCCCCAGGGTCTGGAATGCTATTGCCAATAAACTGCAACTTGAATCACTACCTATGAGATCTTCACTCAAAACTGCTCTAGAGGAGTTGTACACCCCTAGCTGCCACTGCTATTCAGTGGCCTAAAATAAAATAAAATGTTTCGCTCCGGATGACCGCTGCAAAGTATTAACTGTATTTTGATTTAGTGTGCTGATCTTAAAGGTGCATTGAAAAATTTGATACTCCGACTGATGCTCCTGTTGTTGTGGAGTGACTCATGCAGCCAGCTATGGCTCTAGGGTTTGGTGTTACATGTTATTTATGTAGTTTATTGTTAAAAATTCGGTCACAGTCCCTATGATCACTGTTACATTGCATTTTTGGCTTTATTTTGGTGATTTCGAAAACGTTATTTGGTTTGGCCATGTTTTTGTTTATTGTAGTATGGAGTTAGACTGATGGCCTTAATCTTAGTTGTCTTGTGGTTGTTGTTGTTTGACTTGCATTCCACTGGGATTTTTGCACACAGCGTTGGTGTACCGTGCTATTTCAGGAATATTTTGATTTTTTTTCCCCTGGATTTTCTGTTTGCACAGTCACATAGTCACTTTAAGATGTTTCCTTGTTCGTGTTTTTGTTTGTTGCGGTTGCACCCGATTCAAGAGCCGAATGGCTCACAGGGCTATACCAAATAAATAAATGGAAATGGAACTAAGTTAATTTTACACTGGATGTTATAATAACGAACGGCCATGTCATCCGCAAAATCTGCGATAATTAAATTGCTTTCTTCATTAATTTGTATTCCTTTGGTCCTCAAATTCCAATTTTCGGAAAATATTTTCCAAGGTCAGTGTGAATAGTTTTGGCGATACCGTCTCATCTAGTACAAGGGGTCACCTTTAAAATGGGGTTTAAATATCGGCAACACAACCGCTTAAATGGGTAGAGTTGTAAAAGTACCGTACGATACATGTGTATTGACGTGAAATGAGTCACTGGAGCGCGTGCTGCTGGGAGATTGGTAGACAATAGAATTAGGGGTAAAAGCCCGTCTACCAGTTGCACCTGTGGGCAAGGCACGGAGCTATCTGGGGGATTCAGAAGGGTGCGGGGGGCCGTGGGCGGAGCCTGGCCATGCTGGGCAGGGTATAAGGCGAGCTCCGACTCATAATCGGGCTGCTGCGAGCTTGAGTGGAACTTGTTGTGTCATCGTCGTAGTGATCGTCACCCTCTTCAAGCTGTGGGTCTGGCAGCATGTTGGCTGCCCCAACCCGGTGTGTGGTTATCCCCTAAGGCTTTGAAGGGCGGAATGAAAGAGTGCCTACTACTAGTGCCTGTGAATTAGTACACTACACATGCACCGTAGTCCGAGTGTAAGACGGGACGATACATTGCTCATAGCCCATAAGGTCAGTCAGATAATTATTCACTTGTCTGTCGGTACCACCTGGTGTGGCATAGCTTTAGCGGTTACAAATTCTTTAAGTGGCCAATAATAATAATTAATAAGTATTACAGCTTGTATTGCAGGACCGTTCACACAAACTCAAGGCGCTGTAACACCAATGATATGAGGGGTAGGTTTGGGTAAGAAGTGAATTGTGAGATAACCATTTGAAATGAGTGGGTTAATCAAGTAATTAACTCGTATTAGCCGTGTAAATAGATCGAAACTACTATGGATGAATTGGCACTTTGGGTGGTACAGTACCAATTTCTGGTCTGGCCATGGCCCATAACACGAGTTCATGGGGGGGGGGGGGGGGGTGTGGGGGTGATTTAAACTCGACGCGTTTAACGTTGATGCCCTTTGCACTGAGAGCACACATGGGGAGACAGATCCGGTAGAGGTCGTGACAACAACGGGTCGTTACCTCATTTCTATTGGTGTGTGTGGGCAGGAGGGGGGCGTCTGGTATGTGGCCGCGGAATTGGTGTGACAAAATAAAGCCGTCTACTTTAGGGTGACCGAGAGACGCTGACGATGAGCGTGAGAAAATTCGCAATGCACAACACACTTCGTTGGGTGACCAAATACAAAGATCCTCTATGTAGCCTTCACAGGCTTTTGGGGCAAGTGCTGTTAGCGAGTCGAACCTATGAAGGCCCGCGAGGCACACGACGGGGTGGTTGGCCAGCACCACGCCCGGCCGCCTTTGTCTTCCCAGTGGAAATATTTAGACATCGCACCAGGTACTTATTTGACGCTGAGACCACCATCCATGACACAGGTAGGCTGTTGCCATAAGGACAACGGTGCAGCGAAATACATTGTACGGTACTTTCTATGCTCTCTGCCGTCATCAACTCCGCCCTGACTTCCAATGTGGTTGCTGGTGAAGTATGGTTAAGGGGCCGTCCATAAATGACGTCACGCACCTAGGGGGGGGGGGGGGTCAGATTTTTGTGACGATGTGTGACGAGGAGGGGGGGTTTGGGAAATGTGACGTCACATCAAAATGCGCAACTTTAAA